TGGATCACCCCGAGACCATCATCATGTGGGAGCTGAACAAGGCCGTCCCTGCCAACCAGACCACTATGGACTCTGATGCTGGTATCTTCCTTCGACGGGAGCCTAAGAATGCTGCCGGCAACGACGGTGATGCTGCCGATGTCATGATGCACTGCTACCAAATTCCTTTCCACCTCAACACAGAGCGTCTTGGATACCCCAAGATTAAGGATGGTTACGCTTTCTGCATGACACCCAACATTCCTCGCCCTCGCTCTCGTGGCCGTATCTTTTTGACCTCGGCCGACCCTACTGTCAAGCCTTCCCTCGACTTCCGCTACTTCACCGACCCCGAGGGTTACGATGCGGCTACTCTTGTTCACGGTATCAAGGCTGCTCGTAAGATCGCCCAGCAGAGCCCCTTCAAGGAGTGGCTCAAGCAGGAGGTCGCCCCTGGCCCCAAGATTCAGACCGATGAGGAGATTAGCGAGTACGCCCGTCGTGTCGCTCACACCGTCTACCACCCTGCCGGTACCACCAAGATGGGCGATACCGAGCGAGATGAGATGGCTGTTGTCAACCCCGAACTCAAGGTCCGCGGCATCAACAAGCTCCGAATTGTTGATGCTGGTATCTTCCCCGAGATGCCCACTATCAACCCCATGGTGACGGTGCTTGCTTGCGGCGAGCGGGCTGCCGAGCTCATTGCTGCCGAGGACGGCTGGAAGCCCAAGCACTCCCGACTGTAAAGTGTTTCGGATGGTTTCCTGATCCTCCGCGAGCGACTCGGCTCGAGAGAGTTGTTGTTATGGATATCTGTATGATTAAATGATTAGCGTATGATTGCATTCGTAGCGAGTATAGTATTACTGCCGCATATAGGTAGTTGGAACAAAAATAAAACAATCCAAACCAATTCTGTCAATTCTCGGGAGTAATGGGCCCGATTTACCGTAACTGAGCCCACTGTTTCGGATTGGTGTCGGGTTGTCATTGTCCGACTTGCCCAGCTTCTCGACCACGCGAGATTTTGCCGCACTGCTTCAGTTAAACAGGCACAACGGGCCGGCAGCTTTCCACCACTAATCAATTCTGCCGAAAGTCTCATGTTCGCTGTGCCTGCCCGATCGAGACTTCAAGCGCCAGAGTTTAGCCGTAGTGGTTGACTATATGGATGATGTGAAACTATTTGCTCATGATGAAATAAAACATGTATGCGAATATGGACCAGCTCAAGATCAATAACGAAATCTGACATTTTCTGGATGTTACATCTTTTGCCAAGGTTTATCTTTTAATATTTTCACAACATGTTCCCGTTGGCTGACGGATCGACGGGGGCATCTGGAATACCATTAGCAATGATATCGGGGATAAATAAGCTATGTGGCAAGATGCCAAATGGGGGGGGGGGGGGGGGGGGGGGGGGCATCGATTATTGATTACAGTATCAAGGCGGCATAAAGTATAACGAACTAGAGAATAGTTAACCACAGCACTATCTCTTATTATCATGCAAGTTGCCCCTTCGCAAGTCTCATGTGGCCATTTCTTATGTTCTCTGTCTGGCCTTCTGGTCATTGATAGACGGACTATGGCCCGTAGAGCCGTACGCCCATCACTTGCTCCAAATGGAAAAGTGTGGGGTATTGCCGGGGTTTCGGGACGGAACGTTGGGCAAGAAGAGAATGGTTCGACGGATGACAGGCCCGAACTGCGTACTAAGAGATCCATTCGTAGTTTGCTGGCAGGGACCCTCTACTCCTCCATGGGGAACATCGACAGATTCTACTCCGGGAAGATAAATGAGACGAGATGGTCTTAGCAGAGCCCCGGTCCGGCCAGCCGCCTGCTAAAAAGGTCTCAATCAGCAGCAGTACTGTAGGGCTAGTTATAGAAGAACCGCTGCGAGCTTTGTGATGGTTTCCTCTGCTCTGGTCTGCATTGCTTTGTTTTCGAACTTTTGCAATTTGATGAACAATTCGATTTAACACACTTCTTCGTACATATGGCCGCGACACTCGATATACAGAGAATTTTCGTTTTCTTTTTGAACTATTAACAAAGGCTCGGTATAGCACAGCGCAACGTTGGTTTGAATCTTGAATCCGTTGTCAGCACCTGCAACCAACAACAAGATACGACGCAGCGCTACACAACGCCAATATGGCTACACCAACAGTCGATTTCCCGCCGACCTGTGAAGAAGAGGTTTCCGCGCCCATACTGGATCATGCTCAAGGCCTAGTATCGGCGATTGGAGTAGCAGCCGTCGCAGCTGTCGCAGTAGGAGATGGCCTCACGAATGGACTCGGATATACCAAGCCAAAAACATTTCAGGGTCACATGGGGCAAGAAGATTGCCAAATTCATCATGTAGAACAACAAGATGCACGAGAGGCAAAACAACAGAGGAGCCTAAGAGAAGCGCAGGAGAAGTGGGATGCTGCAACCATGGGAACGGCAACAAGGGTCGAAACAGTTATAGCGGCGGAAGGAGTAGGAGGAGAAGTAGGAGGAGGAGGAGGACCAGAAGATGGAGGAGGGCCTGAAGGGGTGCATCTTCCGCCTAGAAAAGGCGCTGATGCGGCAGGTCAACAGGTCAGAGCTGCTCTTTCCCGTACCCGCCTTGGCCGTTCGAACCCCTCCATCTCCATCTCCAGCTCCAGCTCCAACTCCAACTCCAGTTCAGGCTCAGGCTCAGGCGCATCTTCATACAACACCAACAGCACCACCACTTCACCTGCTGCAGCTTTACAGAGCAACGCCCTAAACTTGACAAAAACTGGTCGCATTACAAAATCTCGTCATCGTGTCTCTCTTTCAGCCCCGATCGCGGCGTCACTAGTAACTGCTGCTATTACAGAAAGCGCCAGGTTATCTTACGAGGCAAAGCTCACTGCGGCGCTCGCTGCTAATATACCCGGCAACATGGTCGGCAGCCATTCGAGCACGACAACAACGGCTTTACCCTCAATAAAAGCGAACGGCTTGCCATCGCTGTCGCCAACTCCCAGAACAAACAGTTCGACACCAACTATAAGCAATTCTTCCATTGACAAAGATCAACCTGTGGTTTCCTTCTGGGGCCCTGAACCTATCGCTCTCCCCTCACGTTTTGCCCGCATCAAGCAGAACCTCATTCGCGGTCACGAGGCCGAGCTCGAAGCTAGCTGGGCTCGTCTCATTACTGCACTGCGTAAAGAGGTCAGTCATATAGAAGATCTTGGGGCCCACCTAATTCCCTCAATTGAGTTTGGCGATCTTGATGACTCTGTTCAGACTGCCCGCTTCGGGCATGATCTGAGACGCTACGGTGTTGGTGTTGTCCGCAAGGTTGTTCCCAGAGCAGATACCGATACTGCAGTCCGCGAGACGGTCGACTATCTTGACAGCAAGCGGCACGTGAAAGCAAAAGCATTGCAGCAACATGATCCTGCCTGCTTTGACTTCTTCTGGACTCCCGCACAAGTCCGCTCAAGAGCGCACCCTAACGTTCTGAGCGCTCAACGCTTTATGATGGGCCTCTGGGAAACCAGCCCCGACGACCAACTTGTCACACGCCTTCCTATTACCTACGTCGATCGCATACGTGTGCATGGGAATAGCGAGAACCAATCTAACAACCTCAACGTCCCACCTCTTGAACCACCACAATCCGCCAATGATTGGATACAAGCTTTGCAATCATCCGCAGGTATCACCGCCCAGGTCGATAACGGGTCCCTTGAGCGCTGGGAACCCGATGGGTACCAGCACGCGGGAACCTATAATCACATCTTCCATGGCAAATGGGAGGATTACGATCCGTGGAAATGTACCAGCCGAACTTCTGTGACTACTGACCTCTACAATGGCTACGGCGCTTGTACTATCTTCCGTATGTTCCAAGGAATCTTGGCCCTCTCTACCGTTGAGCCCGGGATGGTCCGTCTCTTGCCCTCACCCAAGCTTGCGACAGCTTATTATCTGCTTCGACCATTCTTCACAACCAGGAACCCACCACCAGAGAATCGCAGTGGTCCCGAATGGGATGAGTATCTTGCTCCCGATAACTGGAAGTTGCAAACAGAGCCTGATTCCATTATTCATGGGGCGGTTCCAGGTCACGCGCAGAGAATTACTGAAACCTGGCATCCTCATCTGCATCTAAGAAACAGCATGATTACGCTGCCAACTCTGCAGCCTGGCGACTACATATTCTGGCATCCGGACCTCCCGTACTACCTTTCCAGTAACAATTATGGTCTCAAAACACCCAGTGGTAGTAAGAGTGAGGTAAGCATGCTGGTATACATCCCGGCAGCTCCACTCACGCAAACAAATGCACTTTATCTCGCACGACAGAGGAAAGCATTCCAAAGGGGCCACCCCGGACCTGACTTTGACTCCACTGGGAGAGGTGTTGTTGAAGAAGATGCCGAAACTCGGCCCGGAGAAAAAGAAATTGCTGAAGTCGGAGGCCCGTCCTCATTACAGGCTATGGGACTCGCTCCGTGGGAAGTCGCTGGCACTCGTTCTGGTACGCCACCTCCCGAAAAGTCGAAGCCCAAGAGCGAGGTAGATTCTGAGATGGATATCGATGCCGATACAAAGACCTCTACAATCGCATCGCCAAACTCTCGAGCTGAAGCGGAAGTTGTGCGTTTAGCCAACATTATCCTTTTCCCCGAAAGATCGATGTTGGGGTATTCTGTGTGAACAAGTAATGACGCTCGTTCTTAATTCTTGTTCCTCGGCCACATCGACTCTTTGGATACCTTTTCCCTTTGCTTCTTTCAACCTACAATAGCATATATCCGGGTCAGGAACTTAGCATGTCTTTGAACTCTATCGCGAGATCAACATAAAGCATTACACAGGAGTTACGGAGTTAAAACGGGAATTCATGTTAGACAGAAATCTTTAACAGTGATATACAAAATCCAATTCATGTCTACCATCTACAAAAACATCAAACCTAGTCTACAACCCTAAACGCCAAGTACGAAAAGAATGTGCATCTCTTTCCTCTATATTATCTAAATGTTCCCGTCCAAGATTTCTGTGATGCTGGCAACTAAGGTCAAGGCTTCTCCAGGAGAGATCTGTTGCAAAGAGCCAAAAACTCCAATGGCTAGATTCTTGCCATTAATCGACGCTTCAATATCGATAGCCAGCTACGACAACCTTTGTTAGTGTCCATGGATAGTTTGGTACAAAGATGAGGCGACTTACCGGAATATCGTCCTTGACAATGTTTTCCTGGGAGGGTGTCCAGGAACGATCAGGTACGATGTCTTTGACAGCGATATTTGTGTTCTCGGGTACTACCATGATGGAGTTCTCAGTTGGGCCGGCATCGCCGGGAAGGGTTAGAAAATTCACGAATGAGGTTATTCCGATTCCTGTCCACTGTGCAATCTCCCAAAGACCAACCTCTGCCCGACCGTCGGATGTGATCAGGTGAATATCCCTTTGAATGTCGGCGGCGACAACTACTAGAGGTCGATTGACAGGCAAGCTGACCCTTAGAGGAACAAGGTTCAAGGTGGGGTAGGTTGGAGGGAGGTCCTCGCCAGCAGCTCGATTGGCAAGATACACACCAAACACAACATCAGAGACATTGTTCTGCTTGGCAAGTGCTCTAGCGTAAGCCGAGAGAAACAAAGACTGGAAGGAAACGCCAGACTGGGTAGCAAGGACCTGGATAGGACCGATGTCTGAGATCGCAGACTGGTTCAAATGTGAAGTTCGTATCTTGACATCTACTTCCGAGTTGATCATGACAGGACTGAGAGACGAGCCCTTAAGATACGTTGTCCAGAATTCTCGTCTTGTAATACGAGCTTCATTCACAGTGTGGCGTATAGCAAATTGCTTCCACTGGAAGAGGCCCTTATTTTCCATAGTGCCAGCGCCACTCAGTAACTCGGAGAAACGCTTTAATAGTGCTGGAAGACTGACTCCGTCATACAGGGCATGGTGTAGTTTGAGTCGTAAAAGCCATATGTCTTTGTCCTCCTGTTCAATATTCGCCTCGACCAATGGCCGGATACAGCAGTCTGAGCATTCTTTCGATTGCGAACTTGAAAGCGGAATATCGAGTTCCTTGAGAATGATTTGTACGAAAGGCATGGTTGGAGACTGTGTGGAAGCAAAACAGGTTCGTAAAAGTGGTGTCTCGGATACAAGCTTACCCCAAGCTTGATCAATTTCTCCCAGGCTAGCTGAGGTTTTGATCCGACAGGGAAACTCAGGGAAGAATACGGATCCATCGGACTTTTCCCATGCAGTCAACATGTAAATTTGCATCGGCAATGCAGGCAGAACGTCTGCATTGTCGTTCTCAAGGCCATTGTCGGTAAGAAGCTTGTTCACATCAATGTCAACGGGAGGCACCCATTCTTTAGCAGTTTCAAGAGTTCGCGAAAGCTTCTTGTGATTTTTGTCGGCCTTTCGGGCCATTTCTGAGATGCTTGAGGATTTGATGAGATCCTGTGGTCGGAGATCTATGCCCGCCTTTCGTAGAAGAGAAGACACCTTGATGGCACTGATTGAGTCCAGTCCAAGGTGATACAGATTGTCGGAACGCTTGATGGAGGAAATAGGCACACTCGAGACTAGATGGAGAACCTCTCGAATTCCTACTTCGTTTTGGTTCCACTCAGCCTTCTCATCTCTTGATGGATAGCTACTGGAAGCATCTTCGTGGATCATGCTCTCCGATAGCGCCACTGGAGGCGTGCCACAAATAGACACGCCTCGTTCGCTGAAAGACAGAATTCCAGGGTCGTTTGACTTCAACAGAAAGCCCATGACACTATCTAGCGTCTCGAGCAGACTGTGAGGACCTCCATTCCAACTACACTGGGGCTGCAATGCGAGCCTCCACACTAGAGAGTCCGAGACAGCCTCAGCTTCCACGCAGAGAGGATACTCGGTGGACGACGACGCTTCAACTGAGGTGAATAGAGGACGATCTGTCGTGTCACTAAAGACCGGTGACCTTTGAAGTATGAATAAGGTATTGAATAAGTCTTGTCCGTCAACCTTTGCAGCTAATTGAGCTTTGCGGAGAGGATAATGTTGGAAGTCCCGAATATCAGCCATGTTTTCTTCCAGATAACGCAGGAACTCAGCTGCCGAGCCGTGCAGTATACAACGCAAGGCAACTGTGTTCATTGTTGGGAATACCAGACCTTCGGCTCCATCAAAGTCCCTCCCCGATAAGACGGTACCGAACGTCACGTCTATGCTTTGGATCTGGCGCGCCAGAGTGACCGCCCAACAGGCTTGACAGAGTACCTGTACACTGACGGACAACATTTTGCAGGCTTCTTCTATCTCCAATAGACTGACGTTTGATACCGACTCAAACCGCTGAACATTGTTCTCAACTGCAGGAAGCGAGGCTTTTGTGGGAATAGCTGATGATGGAGCATCTTGTAAATACTGTATCCAAAAATCCTCAGCCCTGCGCGTTGTGGAATCCATTACTCTTGAGATGAATGGTTCTACTGGAGGCCGAGTGATTGATCTTTTCTCTAACAGTGCCTGGAGATCTTGGAAGAGCAAACTCAAAGACCATCCATCGTAGAGAGCATGAGCAATGGAAATAACCATGTATCTTTCTTGGCCTAGGATCACCAGCTTTAACTGAAAAAGCTGCTTTTGTCCTTGTCCACTCTTAGCCACGGATTTGGCAGCATCGGTAATAAGCTGCAACTCGCTGAGGTCTTCAATTCTCGTTGCCTCAAAATCGATATCAAGGGATTTTGATACCACTTGGCAAAATGTCATGTCAATGTCCTGGCTATCCACTTGATAAAAGCCTGTCCTCAAAATTGGTGTTTGGTGTATGAGGTGCTTCCAAGCTTGGATGAGCTGTGTAGTATCAACATGGTCGGACACCCGTAGAATATCGTGGTTGAAATAGGACTCAAAGTCAGAATGGATCATTCCAACTACCATTGATTCTTGGAGATGCGTGGGAGGTAACACAGACTCCACATTGTTCATATCCACCCCCGAAGCCTCAAGATGTTCGCGTAGCCTGTCTCCAATATGCGATAGGAAGTTGTCTCTTAGGGTGTGTAAAGCATCAGCGGTGAGGCTTGCCAGCTCAGTGATCATCTTGGCGATTGTCTGCTGACGCATGATCTGTGAAGGGGCTAGATTGATGCTCTTTCTTTTGAGCTTGGCTGCAAGTTTTATCACATCAATGCTATCAAGGCCGAGCTCCAGGATGGAGGTGTCTTGCGCAATGTCTGCGGGGTTAATGCCGGCCAGCAGAGAGATTTCGTTTTGGATCTCTTGCGCTTCCGACGTCCATTCGAAGTTGCCCTGACTATCTTTTTCTACAGCTCTACCGTGAAAGCTGTCGGCGAGGGTGATTTTGAATTGTGGAACAGGCACCTCACTCCGTGGTGACTTTGCTGCTAGTTCTGCGAAACGCTCGATCTCGTTAAGGAGGTTGTCCAAGGTTGATTGGGAGAGCACATGCCCCTGGGCAACAATTGTAAACCGGAGTTTGCCCGTCTGTGTATAGATTGCCTCAAGAGCAAGAGGGTAGTCAGGAGTTACTTCACTATCCTCAATCTCAAAAGGCAGCTCGTTTTCACCAGTTATGGCCTGCTCAATTTGGTAAGTGAAGAGGGTATCGAACAGAGCCCTGCTATGAGAGCACCACTTTTGAATACTCTTCAAAGGGACGTGTTGGAAATCAAGGACTGAAGCGTTGAACTCATGGCATCGTCGGACTAACGATTTCCAATCCTCGTGTTGAACAGCTTGGCGGAAGAAAGGCACAGTATTAAAGAGAGGGCCAATGGTGTTTTCGACGCCTGGGAGATCAATTGCTCTTCCCGATACAACCACGCCAATAGTGATTTGACTTTGAGCGAGTTTCTGCAGGACAGAAGTCCAAAGTGCCATTACCACAGCCTGAAGTGTGACGTTGTGCGAAGATCTAATCGCTTCGAAGTTCGAGATAAGTATCTCACGCTCAGCAACAACGACTGACTCATGGGCACTGCTCTCATCTGCTGTAATTGGAGAGGGGACCCAACCTTCCAGATGCTTCTCCCAGAAACTCTTACAACTGTCGTGTCTTGTCAAAGGGCCAGAAGTGAGAGCTTCAAGGAAAGAGGGCGCTTTGGTAACAGCAGAATCTGCGTAATTTGCAGCCACCCTCTCCATCATGAGATCGAAGCTGTTTCCGTCATACAGTGCGTGGAAGATGTGGACAGTGAACAATCTTGATGTGGGTGTTTCGACATATGTCAACAACAAAGGCTGCGTGATCGAAGATTTGTTCTGTTGTATCCAATTCTCCTTTTGCTCCGCAAGATAGTCTTCTGCCAATTTATCTGAGTCAAAGGTAGTGGATACCCAGGGAAAGAGAGGGTTTCGCAAAGCAACTTGTAAGAAGCCATCTGTGGAAGGTACGAAAACAGTCCTCAGGATGCTCTCAGATAATACCAAATCCTTCCATGCCTGTTCAAGCTTTGTTATAGTCGTCGTCTGACGGGGTCTGAACCGGAAAGTATTAAAGTAAGCCCCAGGTTCTTTGCTTGTAAGGGACCGCGAAATGATTCCTTGTTGTAACGGTGAGCATGGTGTAATATATTCAATATCCACTAGTCCAAGATTAAGACTGTTGCAAACTAGGCCACGATGTCGGTGGGCGTACGCTTGGATGAACTGTTTGGTTTCTCTAGCGAGCTTCTGTCGTTGAGTTGAAGCGGCCTTGGCAAGACAGTTTGCGAGATCACCAATGACAGGGTTTTTGAGCAATATGGCTGGCGACACTGCATGAAGGCCAAACGATTTGAGGAGCGAGGCCAGTCTGAGTGCTGTGATTGAGTCCACGCCAACGTCAAATATGCTTGTCGTTGATGAAAGATCATCTTTGTTGATGTTACTGAACTGCGCCACAGCGTCGTATATCAAAGTGAGAATGTTCTGGGCTCCTTGAGAAACGGGAGCTGTTGTGGCATGGGAAAACTCCATGAGATTTTCGGGCGCGAGTTCACTGAAGAGCTTCTTCAAGTCCTTTATCTCGGCCTTGTTGTTGGAGGAAAGCGGGATATATGGAAGAGAGAGAATATACGTCGGCACCATGTATCCCGGCAGCTTGGCACGGCAGGCTTCCTTTGCTTTGGTAGCCAGGCCCTCTTCGTCTGACATAACTCTAAGAGGCCCTGCGGTAGAGTGTTTGCCAACAATGAATGATACCAAGACGTCCTTGCCACTAGCTCCATGTCGAGTCACGATCGTTGCAGCGTCGTGAATCTCAGTGACGTCGGAGCGGATGATATGATTGATCTCTGCAATTTCGAGCCGTTGGCCTCGCAGCTTAATTTGGTCGTCAGCCCGGCCCAGGAAGTCGAAGCAGCCATCATGCAGCACGCGTACAAGGTCTCCAGTTCTGTAGACTCGTTCGCCAAACTCCTCTAGTGTGGGAAACCGTTCCTCTGTGAGTTGGGGGCGGTTGAGGTAACCTTTTCCGACTAGTCTGCCTGACACACAAAGTTCACCAACACCACCACGTAAAACAGGTGTATTTGTGTTTTGTTTGAATACGAATGAGCCAACGTTGGGGAACTGTTTCCCAATGTTACTGGGTCGGCCATTGATGGGCACACGCTGAAACATGGTAACACCGATAGTGGCCTCTGTTGGACCATAGGCATTGTAGATAACAGCTTTCGGTCCCCAAACATCAAGAATCTCCTGCTTGAGCTGTTCGCCACCAGTGATAAAGACACCACGACAGAGGCTAGGGATCTCGTCAGGGTGTGTCAGCCGTGCTAGACTTGGTGTTAGATCAATATGCGTAATCCCAAGCTTGTTGATGGATGCCGTCAAGTCGTCTAGAATGAGATCTTTTGGGGCAGAAACAACAGCCATGCCCACAGACCAGCTCCAATACTGCTCGAGGACAGAAACATCGAAGTGTAAGGCTGCGAATTGAAGCCAGCGTGATTCGGCATCCCAATAACCCCTGAAAAGTTCTTGGAAGGCCATCATTGCTTGAACAGCATTGTCATGGGTGATCTCGCAACCTTTTGGCGTCCCTGTAGTCCCAGATGTGTAAAGACAATAACAGGTGTCTGATGGGGAGATAACTGGTTGGAATACAAGTTCTTCTTCTTGTAGTACACTCAAAGACTCGACCTCTACTTCCAAAATAGCAGTTTTGACTTCAAAGTCCAGATCTTCCGACCTCCGTGTCAGAAGACAAGGCGCCTTTGAATCTTCAACAATAAACTGTTTTCGAGCTCTTGGTGCAGAGGGATCAAGAGCAACAAAAGAGCAGCCAGCTTTGAGAATGCCCAGGATGGAAAAATACGCCTCGGGGCATTTGTCGAAGTGGATTGCAACGATACTGCCAGGGGTAAGCTTTTCATGAAGCATGTTAGCCACTTTGTTCCCCATAATGTTTAGCTGGCGGTAGTCCCATTGTTCCTTGAGGCATGTGTCCCCATCAAAAGCCGAAACGAATTCAAGAGCAAGTTTATTTGGGTGGACAACAGCTCCTAACTCCACGAATTGGTGCAAGAATTGGACAGGGGCATCAAGCACCGGGTGCGAGGGAGGCAGAACAGAGTACAAGTCCGGGGAAATATGAAAAGTCTCGTCCTCAGCACCGAGATAATTGCAGGCGATGTGGTTCAGTGAAGAGTCGAATTGTTTCATCAGGAGCTGTGCCTGCTCGCGAGGAAGTACGTCGTTGTAGTATGTTATACACAAACGAACATTGTCATTCTCTGTAGGCTCAATCTCCAACGAGACTGAATACTCGACTCTTGCCTCATCCTTAACTAGCTTCCACGGTAAATAGGAAGATCTGGTGTCTGGCATCTTTTGATAAGCAATCAGAGTATCGAACACAGGGCCAGCTGGGTGCCCCAGCCATCTCTGAACTTTTCCAAGTGGTGAAAATTGATGTTTGTGAAGGTGCTGATTGTATTCCATCATGTAGCTGACCAGCTCGGCATTGGATGTAACATTGCTCGCCACAACAGGAACGGTATTGAGACATGGAAACGCGGCATCTCTTGTCTCATCTGTGGTTCGTCCGGACAGCGCAACACCGAAAACTACCGAGTTCTCACCCAGATAAGAGGCTAGTACTCGAGTCCAAGACGCTTGGATAACTGATTGGATCGTTACATTTGAAGCTTGAGTAGCTTGCTTGAGTTTGGTGAACGGCAGGGTTGCCACAGTCGTGTCAGCCAGCATACATCGATCTTCGACTCGCAGCGGGGTCATCAACGGGAACTTATTGACAACAGTGCTGCTTGCCTTGGCCTCCCAAAAAGCCTTGTCCAACCCTTGCTCGTCCACTGAGTTACTTAGAATAGCAGACACTGCTGGCTCAATCCTTGACAATGGCGGTAGCTGCTCGCTCTTGACGAGTCGAGAAAGATCAGCAAGCATAATTTGAAGTCCAGGTGCATCATAAAGTGCATGGTGGACGACAAATTTCATCAAGGTTTGTTGAGGGGTCTGGACAAGAACCACTGTCCAAGGGGGGTGATACAACGCAGCAAGAACGCTTTCGCTCTTAATGCCCTTAAGATGCAACAAGTCTGATACCTCATCGCTCTCAGGTTCTGTAATACTCAATGGCGTTTTCATCGAACCTGGTGCATATCTAACCATAGCGAATGAGGCATCAGGGTGTTGGACAGGTACAAAACCAGTTCTCAGCATGGGATGTCTCTCATGGAGCGACTGCCACGCCTTTTCGAGACTTTCTAGCGGGATCTCGCCTGTGACAACGTACTCCATTGCATTGAGGTAGTTTTCGCCCCCGGACTGTATGAAAGAGGCCAGCATGGCGGACTGTAAAGGTGTGCAAGGAAGGACTGCTTCAATAGTCGCTGTCTGGGGTAACCGGCCGACGACCTCTGAGTAGACTTGATGTGAGAATAAATCAATGTCATATCTTCTCAAATCCTCGCTCTCCGTTCTTGAACGGTTTTCCAGGAGCTTAGCAGCGATCTTAGAGCAACTCGGGCATTCTATCACATCAGACGCTGAAATGAGGAACCCGCGCTGACGGAGAATTGAAGCCACTTGAACTGCATTGATACTGTCCAAACCCAGCTGGAAGATGGTTGTGCGGCGCTTGATCTTCTGGTCGCTCACTCCTGAGAGTTTGACCAGAACTTGTCGGACCTCTAGCTCAACTTCACTCCATTCTTCCTCCTCCTCATCAGGCTTTCGCCCCGTGTTATATTTCTTTTCATACTGGGGCTCAAGCTGTTGTAGTATGGAGCGCAAGCTGTCAGGAAGTTCTTCTGCGGTCATTGGGGTCGAATGAGGAGCCATCAAAACAGCCTTCAGTATTACCTTAAAGGCGTCAGCCATGGCTGAGGCAACTTCTTCAGTTACGATACTCATATCCCGATGAAGATTGATGACTAGTGAGTTCAGCCCCGGACAAGGAACTACCTCACACACTAAAGGGATGTCCATGTCTCCAGAATCTCCTTCAAGTATCCAGACAGTTTGGTCGATGTCTTGCAACGGCTTCTGCAGCAGCAGTAAGGTATCAAAGATGTGTTTACCAGTACGGTTGATGCTGCGTTGTATGAGACGTAATGGAGTGAATTGGTATGTGAGTAGCTCCGTGTTTAGCTTTTGCAAGTGTTTGACCATGTTGATGTTGCTTGATGTTGTCGGCAAGTCAACTCGAATGGGGATAGTATTGAAACAGGGCGCCACAAGCCTTTCCAGGCCATCCATGTCCAGCGTTCGACCGCTCATGACATTTCCAAAGCACACATCTGATTGGCGGTATGCCATAGCAAGAACAGTGGCCCAGCTTGCTTGACAAACTGAGAGAAGAGTCGCACCAAAGTCGCGGAGACGCCCCTGTAGGTCGGCAAGGGGCATGTCTAGGGATGTGGTGCAAGTGCTCTGATCAATATTGTTCGAACTTGACTGTGTGAATATCGACGATGCCTTGTAGCCTCGAAGTTGTTGCTGCCAAAACTCCTCGGTATCGTTAGGGAGATTGGTCGAAATCTCCAGAAACTCCTTGTAAGACACTGGAGGTGGTAGATTCTCGCCACCAGCCAGCGCTTCCACTTCTTTTAGAAGTCGCTCCATCGCCACACCATCATAAAGGGCATGGTGACAGATGAATGAAAGGAACTCAGAACCTCTATATCTAAGAAGCGCTAGAGACACAGGCGGGGTTCTAGAGTCAACTGGATTTGGCAAAGACTTCAAATGTTCTTCGATCGCTCCATCGAAAGATGGTTCACTAATGTCGAATGTTCTCCAGGGAATTTCCCAATCTTGCAGGACAACCTGAGCAATAGCATGCTTAGAGTCTGTCGTCGTAGCGAAACAGGTCCGGAGGATATCATGTCTCTTTGACATCGCTTTCCAGTATGATCGGATTGCCTCGGATTCCGCCTTCAAACGCAAGAGAACTTTGTTATAGTAGCCTCTTTGTCCTCGAGAAAGCATTGCTTCTTGTAAGGGTGTGCAAGGCAAGACATCTTTGATGGTCTTTGACTCTCTGACGAAGATTTCCTTGATTTCGGTGGTGAAGGCAGCAGGGAAGAACTCCCTTTGGGTGCCCACAAATCCCGTCTCTCTGTATGAAGCCTTCCCTTCCAGATACCTCGCCAGTTGAGCGGTTGTAGGATTGCGCAGAATGTCAGACACGGCAACTCGGGTAGCTAGTTTCGAGCTTAGAACACGAGCAAGGTCAATCGCAGAGATGGAATCTACCCCGAGGACGGTAAAAGATGACCATCGACCGAAGCCACCCACGGGTGCTGCCACGGATTCTTTGATGGCTTCCGAGATAATCAAGTCCATCTGGCTCCATTCACCCTCATCTGGGTTTTCTCCAGACAATCTCGACACCTTTTCAAGATAGGGCCGGTCCAGTTTGTTAAAACAAGCGTGCAGCCGACGCTTGTCTACCTTTCCGCTCGATGTCATTGGTATAGAAGATATCGGTATAAGGTAAGATGGTACCATGTATCCAGGTAAGCGTGAGCTCATATGCGCGGCCAGAGACTGTTGAGTTTCATAGTCAATCTCCAGCACACGAAACTCAGTAGGTCCAAGCTGAGGAACAAAGAAGAGGGCCAATTGCTTGGTGGAGCTTCCCTCGTGTTGCACTAAAACAGTAGCAGCTGAGGTTGCAAATCCAGCCATAGTGACTGTGCTGTTAATCTCGCCAATCTCGATCCTCTGACCTCTCAACTTCACTTGATCATCGATACGACCTAGAATCACCAAAGATCCATCGGGAAGCATGCGGCCCATATCTCCGGATCGGTAGAGCCTTCCATATCGGGGATGTTGGATAAACTTCTGCGTTGTGAGCTCTGGCATGTTAAGATAGCCTTGAGCGACTTGCGCACCGCCAAAACAGAACTCCCCGACCCAGTTAAGGGGCACGACATCAATGGTCTCTGGGTATAGGACTACAACGGAGGTGTTAGGGAACACATGCCCCAAATGCTCAATATAGTCATCTGCCGCCATTTTCTTAACTGTGCAGATATTCGTGGTTTCAGAAGGCCCATAGCCCTGCCACAGCTGACGGCACCATTTGTTGTGTACGGCCTGTGTCATGGGCTCACCGGCAGTGACAAGGAATTGCACACTCGGGACGTTTGAAGGATTGACGAGGGCAGCCACAGTTGGTGTCATGCTCAGGTGCGTGATTTCAAGGTCGCGTATCGAACGTTCGATATCCTCTAGAATTGTGTCATTGGTGCCTGCGCATAAACACATACCGGCGCACCAAGTATAGAATATTTCGAAAACCGATACATCAAATGCTTGAGAGCATGCTTGAAGAAGCCGGCCTTGTGAGCCGGAGGGCTTCGGGTATGTCGCCTCGAGATGCTCAATGTTCGCGACAATGCTCTGTTGCTGAACGGCGACGCCTTTTGGAGTTCCTGTAGTACCTGACGTATAAATCACGTACGCAAGTCGAGATCCATCAACTTCATTGTCCAAGTTGACTGTGGAGAATTCGCCGAGCAACTTGGTCTCAACAGTAATCTTTGACAACCCAGGCATAGACGGCAATTGGTCGCATGAAACACCGTCAACCAAACAGGACTTAATATCGGCCTGTGATAGGATCTCGCGAGTACGGGCAACAGGTGTTGAAGGGAGAATTGGCAGATATCCACACCCGCACTTGACGATGGCCAAAATTGATGCATATAGAGCAGGTGATTTTTCCATAACCACAGCCACCACCTGACCGACTCCAATATCACAGCTTCTCAAGTAATGCGCAATCTGGTTCGCGTAGTCATTTAGTTCGCGGAATGACCAAGTGATACGGCTCGCAGCTTCCAAAGAGGAGGAAAAGAGTAGGGCAGATTCTTCGGGACATTGACGAACTGCATCCTCGAAAAGTTGCGCCAAGTCAGGGACTCGTTGAGGAGGAGATGTATTAATGTTGTCAATGGAAGGAGTGCATTTGGTGTCCCTCAATGCATACTTGATCTCTTTAGTAGGCCTTTCCAACATGGAATGGGCCAACGCCTCAAATTGATCAGCCATAAGCTGAACTGTTGCTGGTGGTACGATCGCTTCATGATATGTGACTTGTAACACAAATCCGTCTTCTGTCGGCTCGACTTCGAACAATATGGGAGTTTCCAAGCGGTCAAGATGAGTGGCTTCTTTTATCGTGCAGTCTGTTCGCTTTGAGCTAGCGAGTGACTTCTGGTACACAAAGAGTACGTCGTATAGGCTCTCTCCAGGTTGTAAACCAACTAACTTCTTGACCTCTGACAGAGAGACTGTGCAGTATTGCATGATCTTTCTGTTGCTAGATTGTAGGCTGTTGAGTAAGTCCAGACTGATAGAAATCTTATCGAAGTCTACCCTGACGGGCAGCGCAGCAATACAAGGTCCAATGATCTGCTCAATGCCTATCACTGGGATAGTTCTTCCAGATGTTACTGAACCGATGGTAATATCTCGTGATCCAGTGATACTGGACCACAGCAAAGCTAGCGATGCCTGGAACAAAACCTGGGGGCTATAGCCATTCTTTTGGGCTTCAGTAGTAACTCTTCCATGAGAAAGTAACATTGGCCTTCGGAATGAAAGGACCTCACTCGAGTGAACAAGCTTATCGCGCAACTTAGGTAACGGCATTTGCTTCCATCCAGCGAGATTCTCAGTCCAAAACATTCGTGCATCATCACTGGTTTGCTGTTGGTAAAAATTGACAACTTCGCGAAACGATGAATGCTCCGATACTGGTTCTTGCAAAAGCAGCTTAGACCAATCAGAAAGCAGAACGTCCATGGACCAACCATCATATAGTGAGTGATGTATCTGCAAAAGAACACGGGATTTTTCATTCCTGGGATCTCGTTGAATATGAAGTCTCATTGGGGAGCAAAACTCTTCGGGTGATGAAAGCGAAAAGCCACCTTGAACCTGGTCAACGACTTTGATTTGCTCGGGTCGGAGTTCCTTGCAAACAATTGTGACAAATCTTCCGTCGGCAATCGCAAATCCCGAACGTAAAATTGCATTCTTCTGCGACAGCTGTATGAAAGATTCAAATATTTGGTGGGCAGAGTAAGTGAGGGGAATAGTGAGCTCGATCTGGTTGCAGTTAGCAGTTGGGTTGCGGGACGTCTCAGCCAGCATAGCCGCTTGCAACGGAGTACACGGGATTATTTCTTCGATCAAGCCATTCATGTCAGCCAGTGTGGTGTTCTGCTGCAAAACTTGGCTGAAGTCCAGAGACAGGTTTGTCGAGGCTGGCAGGGAGCTGACAGTTTGATTTTGTGTCTGCCTCCGTGCAGCAAAAACGATGTCGAATACAGTTTTCGCTGTGAGAAGAACAGTTGTATCAATGCCATATCCTGCATTCCGAAGGCCAGAGGCAAGCTTGATTGCGTTGAGAGAATCCATCCCGATAGCAGAAAGAGGCGTGGACTTGTTGACTTTGAAATTCATGACACGAGACATGACGGCTAGAAGCTCTGACTCGACATCATCCACAGGTTCAGAGTCTGCAATATCTTCTGACATGGCTTCTTTGCGTTCCTCGTACTCTGACTTGAGCCTCTTCCTGTCGACTTTGCCGCTAGGGAGGCGAGGAAATTCAGACATCAAGATTACTTCTCTGGGAACCATGTACTGCGGCAGCCAATCTCCGCAGTGCTTCAGAATAGCATCTTCTGTGACACCTGAATCCACAGCGCAAAATACCACCAGGATAGATCTCGCCACTGCTGCTACAGCGCCATGGCATCCTGATGTTCGAAGAACAGCTTGTTCCACTTCGCCTAGCTCCAAGCGTTGTCCTCGTAGCTTCACTTGCCCATCTGATAAGCGACCGAAGCATTCCAACTTTCCATTTGGAAGTAGCCGGGCTTTGTCGCCTGTACGATAAATGCGACCAAATTGCGAATCAACAAAAACCGAATTTGTCTGTTCGGGTCGGTTGATATACCCAGTCGCTAGTTGGTGACCACCCACAGCTAGCTCTCCAATCTCCCCCTGGGGAAGAATTCTTATTTCAGATTGCTCGCTATCTGAATCGAGAATTTCAATGATAAAACATGAGACTGTGTCTAAGGGCACACCGATGTTTCCCGTTGAAGAATCAGAAGAAAAGTCTGCTTGAAGTGTACTTTGAACATGTTAGCCTTGAACTTTGACCAGAATGATTCAACTTACCAATGAATAGTTGCCTCAGTCGGACCATACATTGCCCAAAGCATGCTTGCTCTGTTTTCATCGCCTCCAAATTCTTCGACAACTGGTGCATTCAGCATTTCACCGATAGTTAACAACACCTTGAGGTTCGGTGCATTCGCTCTTGTCCGCAACAGACTTCCAGCGACTGTTGGTGTGAGCTCACAGGCGTCTACCTCCATAGCACGCAATACCCCAGGAAGATCGTCCAACATCTCGATTCTTCGCACACTGACTAAAGTTGCTCCTCGGAAAAGGGGGAAGAATATTTCAAAAACAGAAACATCAAATGTTGGTGCTGCGAATTGTAGAAAACGTGAGAATGATGGAATGTGTCTGTCGTGTGCAATAAGAGCTTGCGTTGCAGCATCATGGGAAATTCCCACACCTTTGGGCGTTCCTGTTGATCCGGAAGTATACATGACATAGGCCAGGTCTTCCGGTTTGGGAACTCGAGAAGTGACTTCAGTCGATAGACTTTGAAACGTATTACTTTTCTCTTCTTCCTCGTCAACAATAATTACAGTTGCACTGATGCCGTCGGGTATAGCAGAGACAAGCTCTTTTGACACAAGCACCACTGTTGCCGCTACATCGCCAAGAATGAATTTTACCCGTTCCGGTGGCGCATCAACGTTCAGAGGACAGAAGGCCCCTCCACCCTTCAATATGGCCAGAAGGGATATATAGAGTGGAGGAGATTGATGGATGAGGACAGGAACAACAAACTGGCCCTGGGTATTGCCCGAGGCTTTGGCGATACGATTGGCAAGGGAGGCTGCAGCTTCATGGAGCTGATGGTAGGTGAAATCAGCACGCTGGCTGCTTCCCATGTAGTCCAAGGCAGCATGTTGGCTAGGAGGCTTAACCAGTTGGTGTAAGAGATGTGGTCCAGGCTGCCTAGATGCTTGAGCATTGATGATCGAAAGCCCAGTGAGCTCCATTGTTGCTTCAGTCAATCTCTCAGCTTGTTGGTAGACTGAAAGACAAGTTAGTTAAAAATGATGGCGCTTTTAGGCATTCAAGGTAATGATGCTAGTAATGATAGAGGTGATGGAGGGTGGTTTCGATCAACAAATGACACCAGTAACAATCGAGACTGGCGACGGTAGCGGTAACGTTGGAGGTGTGTGCATGAAGCAGAACGTATGGCCCTTTTAGGGAATATTTTGGTCAGCCAGAAGCCTCATCCCGGTGCATGTATCACAGGCCAGCTGCTATTAGAGAAAATAAGGTGGACTAACACCAGGTTGTTTCGGTCACTTAATGACCACGCGGAACCAGGACTCGGGACGAGTGGGCGTCAACCAGGGTACAAAACACGGAAGCTGCGAATTGGAATTGCGACAAAACAAACGGTCGTAAGCCGTGTTAGAATCGGCGTCACGGTGATTCGCTCGATAAAAACTCGGGGCGTGGGATGTGATACAACGCGGTTGACCTGATCGAAGGGGGCGTGTGGATGATAGTATAATCCAGCCTGTCAACGTCGAGTAATTACTCATCGAGCCGCGAGAGTGGCAGGTACAAGCAAAACCCGGCTATAATAGTGTTCTGCATGTGCATGGTTAGCAGCCATGACAAGTTGAAAGGAGGGGCAGTCAAGGCATGTACCAGGTCCAGGAGAGGTAAAAGTCAAGACCCTGACGTGAAGCCGTTGATGTAGCGTTGCGTTTGGCTGATTGAATTAAAGTGGTGTGAGCCGAGATACCTTGATCTCTGTTTTGGATGCATGTATGGTGGACCTCTTTGCCGTTGGGAGTACAGTAAAATGAGCTTACTATGTCTTATGCTAAAATCGGACAGCACTGCACTGTTCCAGGATACGGCGTAAGTGCGTGTGATAGTGTTCCTTCATTGACAAGGCGATAGATCTTTGGTGCCAAATGAGCAGGAAAAACGCTCGGTGAATTGCGCCACGACTTGGTTGACGTACTTAATCGTCGAATGTGACGGGCTTACTCGAACGTTGGCTTCGTCAGCTACTTCAAGTCTACCTCATATCCGAAACAACAGAGCACAGACCAAACCGCGAAGAATGACTCTCGTCATCTGCTGGGTCACAAATATAATGGTTGCTTATGAAATTCGTGATTCCGTATTTAGTAGCTCGGTTGATCACACTGGGCCTTAGATCGGAACCAACCCCGACAAGGGAAAGGCTGGTCCAATTTTGCACTTCGACACAGGATACCTGGTAAGTCGTTGGGTAAAAAGGCTTATGGCGGCAATCGAGGCAAAGAGAATTGTAGGTTTGAAGGCTGGTATCATGCGTGCAGACGAATACAACACTAGTTGCAGGCCAAGCTATTGCAGTTGCCCGTTGTAACCGTCAACTCAAGTCTCAGCACTTGATGAACTTTGTGTTTGATAACCTCGTCGTTTCTGGTCCATGCAGGTGAAGGATCCTCAACGGATCGCCCCGAGATGAAGGGAGCCACATTCTGACAAATGATTTTGCCTGCGACATCCATAGGGGTTTTTTATCCGACTGGCATGCGTTTGTAACAGAAGAGCGAGGGCACAAATTGGAATACGTCCGATGCTATCATGTATCAGACACGGACCATCACCCGCAACAACCTTGCCGATGTTCCGGCGAGTATATGTCGTTATGGAACCAGAACGCTGAGGCAGAAAGCCAGAGCGAACTGAGTTATAAAACGGACGCCAAATGTGGATAGTAGTGTGAGGCGGGGAGGAGAAATGAGCGAGATGCAATTAAGTAAGAAATTATGATCAAAACATTGTAGGTGAGTGCGAGATCCTCGGCAGAGCAGAACGTTGTCAACGCAACGCAGAAAAAAGCAAGAGGGAAAGTCTCAACACAGAACTTTTGTGTATAACATGAATGTGCATTGAACGATCTGAGGACTAGTCGAGACGATTGGACGCTCGCTGACTTACCTGTTCTACAAGATATGAAGCATATCAATCAATGAAGACGCGAGAGAGCCGTGATATGTATTCAATGAACAAGTGGTGTGTTGATCAGGAAATAACATTGGTGCAGAAATCAAACCGACAACGGAAAGGGTTGAGGCCATTACTCAATCTTCGAAGTGACGATGCCTCAGAGCGATCAAGGGGTTTGTCAAGGACAAGGGTAAACCCCTGGCTCATCAATTGAGAAGGACCCATACTCGGTCGGTGCAGTCTCGGACACCCGAGGCGATGCGGTTCACAGTGGTGAATGGCACCGTAACGTGGGACCTAGGTGAGCTTTGCACTCGATTGTAGAAGCAGAATAGTAGCAGACGGTCCGTCTGTTTGTGGCTAATGCGACAACGACCACGACTTTAGTGGGCGGTTCAGCAAAGTTGAGCGGCGTCAGCGGCTGGCATTGGAAGCAATGGTAGACTCATCACATGTGTGCAGCTGTAGATGATGCCTAAAAAAAAACAGGTGACAGGCAATATCCAGGGTTCAGAATAAGACGATAATCAATTGAAAGCAATGATGAAGCGGGAGTGATGATGGTGGGATTTAGGCCCTAGCTTTCGCCTTGGATGATGCAAGGTGCAGGTGGGGAAACAGAAGGGAGGTGTGGGCTGCCTCTTCATACGTTAAGGACTTGACCTTGGAAGGTGCATCTATTTATTGGTCGACTTTCCTTGCTGGGGGCAGGAAGGTACCCTATTCTCACCAACAGAAACTATTAGCGATCACAAAACCTCTGAGATGAAAAGAGTTTGAGATTATAATGGAAACCCGGTTTTATTTCCTATGTCTTGGTAACCGATATCCGAGTGAGGGTCGAGGAGAGTGTGATGGTGTGAGAAAAAATTATCAGAATGAGGCACTGGTCACAGCACAGAATTCATGCAGCAGGTGACATGCTGATCTTCGACTTGATCTAATCAGATAACCTAATAGTTGATCCATGTTCAAATACATGCATGACCCACGTCACCTCTTCGAAAGTTTTCCGAGATGTACAATGAAGATTGCTTTTGTAGCGATAAAAATATCTTGTCAATAATAGGCAGGTGGCCAGGGCCTCTTAATAACATGCAAGAAGAGGAAAAACTCACAGAATGTCTTTCGACCCTGAGAGAGTTTGGTGTTGAGCCTGTAACGCCTACTCGTAGGTACCTACGACGGGTATAAACCCTAGGTACGCACTAATTTATAGAAAGTCACCTAAATTTGATTGATACCTAGCTCGAAGATCCAAAGTAAGTTTATTATCTTTAAAGAAACCCCAATTGCATTGGACCTCGGGATGTTAAACCACCCGTCCTATTTCTACCTGTAAAATATCTGCCTTCCACCATGAGTAACCGCTCCGCTGCATCTGCATGTCGACAGAACCTAAAACGAATTTGGTCCCTGATGGTGGCCTGTGGCTTCGCATCGACTGATTACCAGGGGTTCTTGACGGGAGCTCTTGTGTTAAGTCTTCCCATTTGGGATAAAAAAAAGAATAGACGCCGTCGAGTTGGGTGCTGCTTTCAGTAGAATGAACCAACAACGATTATCGACTGCCGGAGCGTTGGTAAGATCCAGATGTTCTAGATTGCGGAATGTAATGTATCTAAGACAAGGGTCTGAAGTTGTATGAGAGAACAAAAAACACCAGGTGTCGGGATATGTACATACTACCTACGCTACTACGTACGGCGCGGAAAACATCTTACGGTTTCGTCGATCCCATCGCGCCATGCCACGGGTATATCCATAGTTGTCGTCCCATGAATGCGTGTCTCATGCATAACTCGATAGTGTTTCCATTGCAACATAATGAACGCATCGACCAGGGGCAAACATCCCTGCTGCGTCCCGCTTGATGCAGTCTCAGAATGTCTCGACAGAGATTCACAATCTAATCAATCAATGGAACGGCTTTTGCGAAACCGCTGTCCGCTAGCCCGGCGAATCTTGATCGTCAAACGTAGCTGCAAGTCCAACTCTGGATATCTTATCGATCAGCGGCGAATTGGGACTGAAACGCTAACTCACCTAGCTTGTACTGTAATCGGCTAAGTCTTCTCAGCAGGGACGACCCCTTCAATCCACGAGTGAAGAAAATTTTTCTCTCTGCGACTACCTCCCGTGATGTTTGGGTTCGATCGGTACCTGGCCCCAAAGAGTAAAAACATAGTAATCGAACCCGACCTCTTGCAAGGGGCCTAATCCATGCAACCAGGGCTAGTGCCTAGTAGAGGACGGACCCCTGGGGATCGGGAGCCAGTCAAGTTGAGGCTGGCGTGCTGCGCTACTGTGACTTGGCTAATTAGATCTTATCAGATCCGGTTTATCAGATCATCAGATAATTCCCTCATCTCCACACTGGAGTGTATTAGTCTTCAGAATCCGCTTCAAGTTGTCAACGCTCCAATCAACAAATCAAGTCCAGCCCTCACTCTGTGGACCCGCCCCCCATTTCCCTCGAACGACATTACGCTGCGAGTGATCGGCCTTTTGGTGTCCATTTATGCCGTCAAAGCCGTTCTTCGCCGCCCTCTTTGCTTGTCAGAAATTTTCGTTCTTGTTTCAGGGATTGGCGTCGTATCGTATCGACCGGTGTGAGGCTTCACATGAGAACCGGAGGTAGGTGGGGGCTGTAGAAAGCCGTCATCGGCCAAAACGTCCGAGTTCAGGCTCTTTGCCACACCATGTCACGTCCACTCCCACGCTCACGATCCCACGGACCAATACGTAGCGTATTCAGGGTCTACATCGACCCATTGCAGCAGCGAGCAGTAACTTGATCCCTTTGGTGAATTTCCTTCCTCTATGCTAAGTGCCTCCGGTACTAAGACTCTCTGCCGCGACCCCTTGCCCGGGAGTGGCCAGACCTAGAGAGTTCGCCAAGACCACCTCTCGACGTTTTGTTCATGTCAATCTTATCTGATCCTTTTCCCACCGGCATCGCATCACTTTCGTCTAATTCCGCGCTTCGTTACCGGGAATCCCTGGTTAGCTCTGCATCACATTAGAGGAAAAACTTCCATTTCCTCCGACCGGCCATCAACACTCCGCTTTGCACAGGCGAAACTGGGGAGGAATGGAGATACAATGCTCTCAACCGAAAAAAAGCGTTCAAGTAAAACAACAAATGGACCGAGAAGTAGTCGAAATTTTCGCTGCTGTAATGAAGAAAGTGGTGCATAGCAAGCCTGGTATGCTTCAAACTCAGACAGGTTTCACGACACAACACCCACTTTTTGATTGAAGATGTCAACGCACATGGATCATCATGCACGAAAAGCACCCTTATTACATACCAAGTCGTATCGTATTCGTCCATATAGGTAGTTAGACGATGGGTATATGCTTAAGATCATCGCCTTTCAAACTTTAACCAGATTTAACGACTCTTGTCAAAGCGATAGTCTGTTAGGAGTTTATGCTTGTTCAAGCTCTGGGTTTTCTGCCATCTGATGTCTATCGTTTCCTTGTTGATCGTTGAATGTCGGTCCTAAGGTCCTAGCCTAGTCGCCACGCATCCCTGAAGAGTCCCAAGTCATCCACGCCGGTGCTTGCGACGGGTTTGGCTGGCGCTGGGAGGCTGACTGCTGGGCCCGCAGACCAGCATGATGGATGATGCTACTCGGGGGTTATGGTGCAGTGCGTTTGTAGGTGGACTGGAAGTTTTCCCTCACCCTCGCGCTACGGAACTTCACGGCGTCGATGAGGTCCCACGAGGAGGGTCCACGAGGTACGCCGTGGCCATGGACGTGGAGGAGCCACTTCAGAGACATTCGATTGAATGTGACTGTGACTGTGCGACATTTTCCTTCGATTTGCATTCCCTTGCAGCTTGGTGACCGGTCTAACCCGTTGTTTCCTTGTATGGTGCCGATGATGGTGATGATGCCGCGGCTAAAAGAGTCTTCATATGAGGGAAAGGACCAGGTTGTGATCAATTAGTATGAATATATCTTTCAGAATTTGTATCAATCCTTATTGATTAACATGGTATGCTCATGAGTGAGTAGAAGGAAGTAACTGCTTAATCGAGGCCTTGAAGGCAGTACTAGGGTAGGTGCTGCCCAGTACCCAGTTTTGGCAGGTGCATTTCCCTTGGACGAGTATTAAAACAACTTGTACGGAGGTATTACAACATCAGGAGTCAGCATGAAAAGTAAAAAGAAATACAGCATGCAAAAACTATACAACGGAAGCTGCCCAAAGATGGTATGTATGACCCCTCCAAGCTAGAGCTCCAAAGGTTGGTGTGTTCTTTCTCTCTTTTAGCTGGCGCTGGATACACCCCCTCCCCTTGTAGCTTTAGCCCACCCATTTCCCGATCCCACCCTTGTTTTTAGAGCACTAAATTAGGCTGCACGCTACTCATGAGCAAGGCCTAGGCTTTGGTTTTTGGGGGATTGCAAGCTTCTAAACTGACGTTGACTGAATGAATTCCGTCACCATTTCTATTCTCTTTACAGTGCAGCAACCGACCAAGGTTCCTTTCTGCTGTTGTGATTCAACCCATTGCTTGGCAACCGTAGTTCCACGTTGGGTTCCGGGATAAGGATGTACGGCACTTAGATCAAGAAAAGAAACGAAAAGAAAGCCTGCAACAGCAATCCTTTCCATCGCTCTACTGCAGTGGGTTTAGCTGCGTTCTTTAGGTACCTACGTAGTGTCCCCATCATGGATGCTTTCCATCGCAAATGTACCTCCTCCCCATACGTACGAGCTTGACAAGGTTGTATTATACATGGGGAACTTTGACTGATAGACTAAGTAAGGTACTCGTATCCGCCTCTTCCATGTACCTTTACTGGGAGTGCTATTCTCATGTAATGAAATGTAGGTACCCCTTCCCTCTGATGGAGAAGAACTTTACCGTGAGCTATAGTCTGTGATAGGTAGTAGGGATTTCTTCTTCTTCCTCTCGAGGGCCCATCGTCCGGTTCTAGTTCAAGAATGGGACCGAATCAATGAGCTCCTTGTAGATCAGAGTCCATCCCATCCCATCCCCGTCTACTCTAAAACTACAAATGCCCATATCTCCCCCATCTCTCGGAACCATCCCGTTCCTCCATTCTTTCTATCATACATCAAGAAGCTTCGCCTTTGCCTTTTCAAGACCTTTGTGGGATTGGACTAGACTGGATTACATCAAAAGCTACCCATTTATCGTTCATCTTGGAGTCAGGCCCTTATCGTCTCACTCTTGTTCATTCTATATCCTCACCCAAATATCGCAGCTTCCCGCAACCTTCCAACTCATATATAACCCGCTTGTTATTCATTAACCGACTCGGCTGGTTTTTGCCTGATTTTTGAAAGGGCATTCTATATCTCAAGTTGCCTATCTACTCAGTGGAACTTCTATCGACTCCTACACATCGCGACTTGCAGGCTTCAATCTATATACACATATTTTGTGTTAGCCTCACTATTTCTTTTTTCCTAACAGTTACATACCCCATCAGAACAAAAATCAGTCATCATGAGTCCCCACAGCGAGATTTCTTTCTCTGGATCAGATGCTCCGGTCTCCAACGGCACCAGCAATGGTACCAACGGACATTCTAACGGTACCAACGGTATCAGAAACAGTCACATGAATGGCCACAGCAATGGTAACGGTGCTCCCTCGGCCGTCCGCCATGGACCTCGCGTTCATAAGGAGAGATCGCGTTATCTTGAGACAGCCCCCGCAGACGCAGAATTTGATCTCATCTGTGCCGGTTTCGGCCCTGCTTCTCTGGCCGTGGCCGTCGCTATGCACGATGCCATTGCCGAGGGCAGGAATCTTCGCCCTGACGGCACACCTCCCAAGGTTCTCTTCCTTGAGAAGCAGCCCAAGTTCGCATGGCACGCCGGCATGTTGCTCCCTGGAGCCAAGATGCAAATCTCATTCATCAAGGATATGGCTACTCTCCGCAATCCACGATCCGAGTTCACTTTCCTCAACTACCTCCACAGCCAGGGCCGTCTAGTTGACTTCACCAACCTGGGCACTTTCCTGCCTGCCCGTACTGAGTACGAGGACTACCTCCGCTGGTGTTCCTCTTGGTTCGACCACGTCGTTAACTACAACAACGAGGTTCTTTCCATCTCCCCCGAGAGCAAGGAGGCTGGTGCCGTCAAGATCTTTACGGTCCAAGCCCGCAATGGCAAGACTGGACAGATCCAGTCTTTCCGCAGCCGACATGTTCTTGTTGCCGCTGGTGGTCAGCCCTCCCTCCCCAAGAGCCTTCCCGCAAAGCACCCTCGCGTTCTGCACTCTTCCCAATTCGCCAACTACGCCCCTCAGATTCTTACCAAGCAGAACGCTCCCTACCGAGTTGCTGTCATCGGTGCCGGTCAAAGTGCCGCCGAGATCTTCAACAATGTCCAGAACCTGTACCCCAACTCCAAGACCTACCTCATCATGCGCCAGGAGTTCCTCCGTCCCAGTGATGACTCTCCTTTGTAAGTTGTTTACCCGCACATGTCTACTCAGACTTGAACCTTTGACTGACCATGACGTACAGTGTAAACTCCATCTTCAACCCTGAGTACATTGACAACCTGTGGCCACGATCTGTTAAGGCCCGTGAGACCCTGCTGACCGAGGCTCGCGCGACAAACTACGGTGTTGTTCGTCTGGAGCTTATTGAGCACCTTTTTGAGAAGATGTACGACCAGAAGCGCGAGATTAGCGACGATGAGACCCAGTGGCCCCACCGAATCCTTTCAGGACGCGAGATTGCCAGCGTCGACACCAAGGGCGATGCTCTCGAGATCAAGGTCCAGCGCGTAAACGATGGTCCTCTCGACGGCTTCGTTGATCAGGAGATTTTTGATGTTGACTTGATTATCGCTGCTACTGGTTACAAGCGAAGCGCCCACATCGACATGCTCAAGGATGCCTGGACGATGCTCCCCAAGACTGTATCGGGACGCAACGAGTCCCTCAAGGGAGCCAATGGCTGGAACGTTGAGACACAAGATGGCGAGCGCAAGCTGGCTGTCGGAAGAGATTACCAAGTCAAGTTCTCTCCTGGCACCGTTGCCGATGACTCTGGTGTCTGGTTGCAAGGCTGCTGTGAGGGTACCCACGGAGTAAGTGAAACATTGTTGTCTTGGTATCATCTGTACTAACATTTTTCTCAAGTTGAGCGATACACTTCTCTCTGTTCTGAGCACACGTTCAGGCGAGATCGTTCAGTCTATCTTCAAGCAATAAATTGTCACGACAGCATGAATGAATGGAATGTTTAATTGAAAGTGTTATGGGTTAGCACGGGCAGCGAAAATGGTTGATTGGACTCGAAGAAGAAGTTCTCTGACTAGCATCTTTTTTATATCCTATTTTTTTTATCTCTTTGTTGTCAATATTATCATTGTCTAGAGATGGTGCGAACAAAAAGGTGGATTTGTTTTGTGGTGTTTTGTAGATATTAGAATCATACCATTACATGAAGAAACGTCCGTATACAACAAGCTTCACTGTGGAAGATGTCCTTTAGTTTGTGTCTGTCAGTTTACAACAGACAGGTGCACGGCGCTTATACTATTTCGCAACAAAACAATTACTAACCAATCCTTGGCTCTCGATTTCTGCTAACACTTCAATCATTACATAGCACCCAGTATGACTTCATAACCTTTGCCTTCTCCTATACCGAGTGTTGTTGTTGTCCAGTAAGCGTAGTATCTCCGCTACTCCAGAACGGATCAGTTTCTGGAATGGGCAGTATCGATGAGAATCCCCCGATCGAGCGAGCGTGGTGTCATTGGGCAGGCAAACCAAAACCATTCAGGCGGCGCATGAGTTGGATGGGCTTCAATAGCGATCATTCCAATATCGAATATGGCCGGCTCCAAGGCTCAAGCTTTGATGTTGAGCCATTACACCCTTTCCTGGAAGACTGTTGTTTATAGAATTTTAACACTCTCTAGATATGATGCAAAGCCGGGCCGGACATCCTTTACTATACACTGCACACACTTATTCGCCAAGACTTTGACTATATCGGTGGTACTCTTATTGCTCAAAGCAAGGGTGGGTTTTTGCACACTTAAAGAGGTATAACCAAGTCAGGCATGCAAAAGACGAGCCTGACTTTGCCCCAACTACATCACATTTTGTCAACTGACCCTTGGCGAGTTTCCATATTGAGGTTCGTACAGGAAATTGCACGATGTTGCTTGAGTAAGCAAATCATTCTGTGTCCCAGACAATGACATCGCAAGCTGACAAGGTTGCAATCCCTTGTCAAGCTACGTTATCCGTCTTATTCTACACGGGCCTCGGTTCAGTTTGGCTTTTGATCCATGTGTAAAACGTGGGCTGTGCGTTGTCGATAGCAACATCTAAGAGATAGTAACTGGTTTACAAGGATAAACCAGTTAGATGTTTACTGGGAATAGTTATGGAAAGAAAAGAAGAACGAGATAACTTGGTACAATATTTTCTTTACTATCAACAGAAACTAACTAGAACGGAGCAGACAGTCAGAAAGCAGGGGATGCATTAGCAAGGGTTATCTTGACCGTGCCGTTCCGTGCTGCAAGTAAAATGAACCGTTGGTGGTTAATGTCTGTTTTTTCTGTTCTCTTTTTCTCTTGGTGATTGAATTTCCCCATAATTGATCAACCGATTTTTATTCCGACCTTGTCTAGGTATCCAATTTCCGCACCAACGAGAGAAAAAAACAGAAGTCTCTTATTTCCTGCAGAACAGAACAATCCAAGGCAAACTGGTCTTGGTTACATTAGTAGTAGGCCATCAGTACCTACCTATGTGGGGGACAACCTACCTAAAAACAGTATCTATTTCCTAGGCAGGGACTTGATCCCCCCTAACTATCCTTGTCTAGCTCTTTGAGGTAGGTAAGGAAAGCAACAAAAAAGGCAAGGCAACTGAACAGAACTGAACAGGGGCTGACTGGTTCTCAGTCAATGGAAGCATACGACGAATGTTCTGTTCTCCTCTTGGAACACAAGCCCACGACCCGACCCGACGACTAAGCCATGAAGCCCCTCGGGCCCCAAGACTCTGGATCTGAGTCTGGTCTAACTGGTACTGAAGCAGCTGGAGCACAGCAGTCGGCAGGACTCCGGTCTACTGCCTCTGTTGCTGTTACTGCTAATACCGCTTCTGCTCCACGAAGACTTCCTGTCAATCCCCGCCGACACAAGGTTGCTCCCGAGCACCGCAAGCGTGTCGCTACAGCGTAAGTCGTCTTTTTTCGGTTCTTTAGTCAATTGTTCTACATCTTTCCTTTCTTTTTTTTTCTTCTTTTTTTTTTTTTTTTTTTTTTTTTTTTTTTTTTTTTTTCTTTTTTTTAGATTTCCGTGGCTGTTGATACATGATATCTTCTCGGAAAAAGTGTTATCGATCAATTGCTGTGCACCATCAGTCTGTCTATTATCTATCAATGTCATCTCTCTCCAGATAGCGACCTATTCAAATGTCGCTGCGCATGTATCAAACTCTCTAGGAGAACGAATCACGTATTGGTCTAGTCTAACGAATGTCTCTTTCAAAGGTGCAATGCTTGCAACGTGAGAAGAGTCAGATGCTCTGGTGAGCACCCGTGTCGGCAATGTCAATCCTCTTCACGCGACTGCGTATATCCTCTTCCTGTTGAGAAGGTCTCTATTACACGCGCAGAGCTTCAAGAACTAAAACACAAGGTCGATCTCTATGAACGGGTGCTTCGGGATACTGTACCCGCTGCTATATCCAACGCGGTTACCGATGCCAACAGTCGCCAAGAGCTATCTGCATTGCTTGGTCGGACATTGTCTGGTTCTGGTCATAACGCTGGGCCTGGTACCGGGTCAACAATTCATTCACATACAGCATCAACCATAGATGGGCACACAAATATCGCGAGGGGTACACATGAGCTTCCTCAATACCAATATCCCAGCGTTCATCGACAGTTCCAACAAATCCCCCAGTCTCAGTCTCAAATCCAATTCCCAGATGCGCGGATCCAAGATCTTAACATTGGTCTTTCACGATCGCATCTTCCCCCAGCACAGTCCATATCGAATACAAATCAGAGGCAAGATGAAGACGAGAACCTGGCAACTACCGAAGGTCGTCTACTACATGATCCTGACGGCTATGCGCGCTTTCTCGGCGAGACGAGTGGTGCAACTTTTCTTGATTACCTGAAAGAGTTCATGACAACTGTTCTGCCTCTTGCGTACCAGAACCTTCGCCCAGGCTCTGATGGCAGTGCATTCTTGTCGAGTCTCGGCCGCTATCAGACCTACGACTCTCGTCCTTTGCACGATCGTGATGTCGACCCTACATGGTTCCCTTCCCACCCGGAGATGGACGCCATGTTATCCGAGCTACGATACTTTATTCAAGATGGAAACGGACATTGGCCAAGCGGCGGTATTTACTGGTGGGGGAATCTCTCGACGACACCTGTGATCCCTTCACTAGAGCGAGACCCGCCGGTCGTCCGGTTGAAAAAATGCCGTCCTCTCGCTCTGTATCAGACGGCATTCGCTGTGGTCTCTCAGGCTACAATCATGCCACCCCAGGATATTTCGATAGATTCTCATCTCAGCGAGAGCTACTTCAGCAGGGCCCGTATGCTCTTGGGAAATCCTCTCGACATCACCCGCTTTACGCCCAATGAAGTTGCTGCGTTGACTCTGATGGGATTCTACTTGATTGAGATGAATCGCCGCGATGCTGCCTACATGTGTGTGAGCAGTGCAATGCATATTAGCATCATGCATGGCTCTCATAGGGGTTGGCTAGATGAAAGCGGCAAGCGAGTCTTCTGGACGTTATACGTGCTGGATCGCTATCTGAGCTGTCTAATGGGAAGACCCCCAACTATCATGGATGATGCTATCCGTTTAGAACCCCCCCGTGATGCACCGTATGTTCTTATATCTATCATTTTTTGCTTCCTAAACTTACCTTGAACAACAGGTCTATGCCCCCAGCCGATGGTCTCAGGGCACACGTCGAGCTTTCAAGAATCTCAAGTCACATCGTGTGTAACACATATCGCATATCCCCTTCAGAAGATGTTGCGAGACCTGTAAGGAGTCTCGAAGGAGAAATTAGAATGCTTGATAATTGGAGTCTAAATCTTCCGCCAACCATACGACTTTCAAGCAACGGACTGAGCGATGACCCGGCCACCTGCTTGTTACATATGCACTACAACCAGGTATCTTGTTTGATCATCCTTTGTTGTTCTTTCGGCTGACCTTAGTTTGCAGCTCATCATCCTCACTATACGCCCGGTTTTCTTTACTCTAGTCAAAAAGTCATTCGCAGAAAAGCTCGTCTCCCGCCAATGCTCCTTGAGAACACACCCCCAGCTTCCTCACCTCAAGCGATGCATTGCCTCAGCAGAGCACAACATTCGTCTCGCACGCCAGATCTTACTTGTTAACCAACCTCGAAAACTGCTTCAAGCTGGTCTTCATTTCATATTCAACGCTGCTATTGTGCTGATGCTGCAGCAGCTGGTCGAGGATCTGTGTCCGTCATCCAGAACCGAAAAGGCTCGGTCACTCGATCTTGACTTCGTGATCGCCAGGTTCGAGGATGAGAGCCGTGTGGGCAGCAACTATGGGCGAGACTGCGCCACGGTTCTTAGAGACCTTCGCGTTCTTGTTCAAAGACTTCCTATACCTGTGGACATCAGCGCTGCGACGCGCTCTGTCAACATGAGTCAAGCTTCGACAACCTACGATCCAATTGCAAACCGAACAACAGTAGATATGGGACAATCATGGCCGGACAAGTTGACTTCAGAGGCACTGCAGCAACCTATTCTTGTTGATCAAGGTCACATGCTATATAATGAGTTGGTGTCGTGGATAGATGTCGATTGGCAGACCTATAATGGGTATCTCATTTAGACCTACACTACCTAATGTAGACAAATTTCGAAATGCTGAGGCCTGTTGTAATTAATTATTTTAATGAATTCGGAAGAAGAGCTAGGTTAGTACTAAACAATCAAATTGAATTGAAGAAGATTGGGGGACTTTTTGAGTGTTGATTGACACTTAAATGTCAGGTATGTATTTATACCGTCTCCAATTAACAGCAATGCCGAACCTTGCCAAGCCCTTTCTCGACATGCATCGAGAAATTCATATGTGAGAATATGGAAATAGTAGGCAGAAACAAAGCAAAGCAAGGTTTCGCCTATCTAGTGAGTCAACTATTCTTGCTTCTTGAAGAGGTAATGTAATAATGAGGAAGGTGACATGAGTGTCATGTGATGAGGTGACTCTGGCGGCCTTGGTATCGAGGGAAGAAATGTCTTACTCTTAATATATTTGTCCACCTGTCAAATGGACTTCAATATGAGCTCACTATTGTCTTGAGTCATCATCACTAGTGCCAACTACCAGGGTTCTGCAAATTCCTACCGCATATGCCTCTCAAGCGCAGAGCCGTTGCAACATGCTTCATTTTCAAATTCCCATTTAACGACCCAAACCAGAAGCCGCAAGTTGCTCTCTTCCGCCGGAGTGGTAACGTAAACACTTATCGGTAATCCTTGTCTCCTTCTATAGTTGTCAGATAATTGTAATTTGTGCTTACTACCAACCAGACACAAATACGCGGGCATCTCCGGCAGCGTAGAAGAAACCGACGCGGATCCACTCGACACAGCCTGGCGAGAACTTGGAGAAGAAACAACACTTAACAAGGATTCTTTGCGCCTATTTCGGAAGGGTAAACCCTTTTCTTTTGTCGATGAATCGATTGGAAGAAAATGAACAGTCAACCCTTTTGCGTTCATCCTCAAGTCAGGGACCGACGGTGGTCGAGGTGAAGCTGGTATCAAAATAGACTGGGAGCATGAAGGCTATGAATGGTTCTATCCAGATGCTGTCAACGACTCGGATAGCTTTGAGGGGGTCCCGCGCACCCTGGAAAGCTTCCGAAGGGTGTGGTTCAATATTGACCTGGGGGATGCGGCCGGCAACACCCTCGACCAGGGCTTGATCGCTTTACAGAAGGATCACGAGAGCGGAGCTCGTCAGCTCGTCTCTATAGCCCTTGATACGTACATCGATGTGATCAGAAAGATTGACATTTCTGATAAAGACCGATGGTGGAGAAATGTGAGGTTGGCTGGCTGGCATCTATGGAAGAATGGGCGGGAAAGTATGGGGGCATCAATTCTGAACAACGTTTTGGCAAGTCTAAGCACGATTGATGATAAACTTTCATCCAGCAACTCACTGGATAAAGGCATGATTGACAACATCATCGTAGCTCTTGAAAAGTACGCTCGGGACCGACAGGCTACCAGTTCTAGAACTGCCGCGTCATTCCAAGCTTTCTTGGAACAGCACCCATCAGGAGACGGTCCACTCAGAATCCTTACTCTCTCTTTCAGCTCTACTATCGCATCGGCCATAACCCACGTTCTTGGGAAGGTGTCGCAACCTGTACACATCCACGTGCTCGAATCTCGCCCGCTTTTCGAAGGCGTTAGGATGGCTCAAGAAATTACTGCCTTTGCCAATGAAAACAAGATAATGCTTGATCTGAAAGTCCACACTGATGCAAGCGTCGGTATTGTGGCGAGAGGTATCGATATCGTGCTAACCGGAGCGAACCTAATCGACAGAACAGCCGCGGTTAGCAATAAGGTCGGTTCGTTACCCACTATCCTGACAGCCAGATACATCGCCCCGCAAGCGAAGGTTGTCGCCCTTTCTGAGAAAGAGAAGTTATTCCCCTTCTCGCCCCCAGGACAGGGGAGAATGACCTTCAAGAGGTTACGCAAGCTTGGGAAGAGCTCTCAACATCCCTCGTTCAGGGCCCCCACTGTCGAGTCAATGTCAAGAACGTGTATTTTGAGTGGGTTCCATCTGATCAGATTAATTATTATATCAATGAAGACGGCGTTATCGATTCTATGGGAATATCAAGATATGCAGAGGAAGTTGCAAAGAAAGCTGACCAATACTTTACCAATCTTTGAGAGCCAAATCCGAGTCAGCCAAATCCAAGCATGGTGCTTAGCCCCGACGATATGAAGAGTTACATTGCTCCTGTTTGTTCTTTAGCCAATGGGCAGCGGTATTCAACCTTTTTCGTCGTCTCTGCTGCCTTGGAAGGTCTGACAAGCTCTCGGGCTCACGCTCACCGTGTGAAAACCTGATGGAATCAATGCGGCTGTGGAGACTGTCTGACATTTGCCTCTTCAGTTGTGAGTTCTGAGCCTTGGGTCTTTTTAACACAATCTTTGGTTCTGTATCCACTGTCATGTTGCAGTCGTTTCAATCTCAAGCCCCAGTGGAGTGCTGGAGAATCACAATGGGAACATTTGTTTCAGCTAGGGGAGGTTATGTCGGTGCTGGTGACGAGTTCTTGGGACAGTCGACTGCTCAATTCGGCAACACGATCGCCTGATGTTCGTTTTCTAGAAGCCCCATTCAATCATTCATAAGCCCTTGTACGAGCCAAGGCGTGACACTGGGTTCCAGTGCGGTAGTACCTTCTCAGTAAGCAGCGCGAAGGATCCCTGATTCTGGGGTATATGTCAGCCTTACAGCCCTAGCGACACAGCCCGCACGCCATCTAGTGACTTAGATCACTACCAGCATGATTTGGTCATCATGGGAAACTGGTGATAATCGCTTTCCTGTTTTGCGCACAATTGTGGAGGCGCTTGGCGACTATTATGCGAGTCCCGCTCCTTAGTGATGACTCAAAGATGGTGCTCCTTAGCCGCATTCCCGCTACTCTTTGACACTCACATAGCCCTTCATCACTATTAGCGTGCCTGGTGTGTAGGCTAAAGATGCGGTCAGTGGGTGTCAAAGAGCCCATGTAACCTCGATCTAGGTTGCATCAGTGGCGTTGTCCATATGCCTATTCGAGGCACTTTCCTGTCAGCCTCAATCCCGAGCGTCTGGTCTGCTGTCAGATTCTTACTTCATGATAGGTCGAGAAGAAACCTTGATTTTGGACTATGGTGACAAACAAGATGACACCCGGATCGGGCCTTCACATGGATCACGCTTACCAGTTCCTTGGGAAGCCCGTAGGATGGGGGTCCTTTGGATAAGCCCCAGAGCAATCCCGGACCTGAGGCATCTGGGCGAAGTTATCACGGAATCTCAATAGGGATAGGAGCGTTAAGGATCTCTGCTGCCTATCAACCAGATGTGTATATGAATGAGACGAAGACGCCTAGGTACGGATCGTGGAGTTTGGATAATACACTACAAGCAATCTGTCCCATTTTTTATTGATCTATGAGGAAAGTCATTCGTCCCCCCTCCTCTTGGACTACAATTACCTACCGTCAATATGACCGATCAAAATGTTTTCCAGCCGACGCAGTCGACCAAGACACAATCCAGCCATGTTGCTACTGCTTCAATGGATGAGACCCGAGAAAGAAGTCGAGCGTTGAACCAGAAGCTAGATTTCGCTCTTCTTCCTCTGCTGTCTCTCCTGTACCTCTTCAATGGCCTTGACAGGGGCAACGTTGGCAATGCCGAAACACAAGGTACAACAACTACCCTCCTCAGTTTTATTTTGTGGTGCTCAGTCAAAGGGCTCGGTCGACTAACTTGTTCTAGGATTTACTACCGACATAGGGGCAGAACCTGATGATCTTAATGAGGCCGTATCCTTGTTCTTTGTTACCTTTGTTGTCCTCCAGCCTGTTTCTGCCGCCGCTGGCCGTTACATTGGTGCTAAACATTGGATCCCATTTCTGATGGCAAGTCAACAAGTCAACTCACGGTTAAGCACCACTAGAACTATCTAACACTCGACAGTTTGGTTGGGGTGTAGTGACTATCGGCCAGGCTTTTATTAAAGGACGTGGTAAGTTGATCCTGTCTAAGTACCTTATGCGTTGACATTGGGTCATTCTAACTTAGCTCCAGAGGCACTCATTGCTACACGCTTGCTCATTGGAGCCTTCGAGGCGGGATTTTATCCAACAGCTGTGGCATACCTATCATTCTTCTATCCACGATATGATTTCTGTGTCAGACTTGCCCTTTTCTATGGACAATACGCAATTGCTGGCGCCTTCTCCGGCTCAATATGTAGGTTCCAAACTCAGCTTTGGGTAGTGCAAAAACTGACATCTCCTAAGCATACGGAATCTTCCACCTCCGTGGCGGCCGCCTCAAGAACTGGCAGTACCTATTTCTAATTGAAGGGACGCTGACTTGTTTCTTTGCTATCGTTGCCTGGCTATGGCTACCGAAAGGTCCTGGTTCTGCCTGGTTCCTTCGACCAGACGAACGAGAGTTTGCCGTCGAACGAATGAAACAAGATAACGCCGAATTTGTCGAGCACGAGTACAGTGAAGATGGGATAGAAAAGAATCGGTTGAGCAAGAGGGACTTTATCGAAACGCTCAAGGACTGGAAGCTTTGGACTGTCCTGGTGCTCAACATCTGCGCCAGTGTTCCCAGCAGCGCCTTCTCAGTTTTTCTGCCCCTGGTTGTTCAGGGGTTGGGATACGAGTCTATTCTTGCAAACTTGGTATGTCGCGCTTGAACGAGAACTTGAATTGGACTCAATTGACCAGGCATCAGATGACGGTTCCTCCCTTTGTCTGCGGCGCTCTTGGCCTCTACATCTTTGCCCTCAGCTCCGATCATCACAAGGAGCGAGGTTATCACATTCTGGGTGGTTTACTACTCGGAATTATTGGCCTTATCCTTACTGTCACGATCTCCTCGAGCACCGGACAGTACATATCACTATGCGTACTACTCTCGGGCGTATACATTTCTGCTCCTCTAACCATGGCCTGGCTCAGTGGCAACACGCCAGAGCCTGGCAAGCGGGCACTTGTACTTGGTGTTAACGGATTCGGTAACCTTGGAGGCGTGATCGGTGCACAATTGTACCGACAGCGTTACAAGCCCGACTATAAGTTTCCATTCTACGTTACACTAGGCTTTCTGGCCATCGCGCTGGTCGGGTATATATCATACCGATTCATGCTTATAGCAGTCAACAAGCGCAAGAGGGCGATATTGGACACAATGACACCTGAAGAGATCGAGAGCGAGAGACTAAATGATCGTCGCTACGCAGACAAGAAGTTCACTTTCATGTATGGTCTGTGATTATATACAACGACTCGGATATTGTTAAAGATTGGTTACCAAGATTGGAAATAGTTTATTTAGATAGATAGGCAACTGAATCTTTTTGATGCATCAGGACTATGTTTCCGCATCCTTCATAACCTCTAGTTGACTCTGTAGACCCTGTTTGCCTACTCTCATGGCCATCTCGATTTCTCTTTCCTCGTCTCGCAATCTGGCTTTACTGGCCGCTACCTCATGTTCCCGCTTCCTTCTCTGCTCTTCCACTGTGCGATTTCTCGACTCTAGCGCCTTCTCGCGCTTTTCTCGGGCATCGCGTAGCTTTCGCTGTTCTTCGTCCTCCTTTGCCGCATCCATGTCCTCGGGTGGTGGAGGTAGGTTGCTCACGTAAGCCTCGATCAGGGGATCGCGGGTCTTGGGCTCAAGGGATATGTATCGAATGTCGGTGAGAATCGGGTCGGGTAAGCCGGTAGATAGCGACTTGTTGTTAAGCAGGTGTGTGGGCTGGGCCTTGAGCAAGGCAGTCAAATCGGACTTGAGTTTAGATTGGGGCATTTTCAGCCGCCCAATATGTTCTCGATACGCCTTCTCGCGATCCTTGTCTGTGATCTTGTGATCTTTCATGACGTCCTCCTTCTTGTACTTCCTCTTGAACTCGGGCCAGTACAGCTTCGGAGTCGCCTTTTCTTGTAAGAATGCCATGTAAGCAATACGAGGATCCCGCTTTTCCTGCTTCGCTCGCTGCTCCTTCAACTCTGCAATCTTCTCACGCGTCCACTCATCCCAGCAGTCTCGGCGTGCTTTCGTAGTGCTAAGCGCAGTGTATCTCAAATCATCGATGATCTTGCCTTCCTCAAGAAGCTTCTCCCACGGACTGTAGGGGTTGATGTTGAAGTCGTTGAGGAGATCCTTGAACAAATATTTGGCATCATCTTCGGATAGGGGCACTCCCTCGACGCCTTCCGGCCACTCGTCTGCATTGCCATCATCATAATCGCCTGGTTCGAGACCGTAGTCGTCTCCCATGGCCTGCAATTGTGCTGCAAAGTCGGCTTCTGTGAATTCCAAGGGCGCGTCATCGTCCATTTCGGTATCTGCAGTTCGCTGCCTCTTAGAGGGGTATTCCCCATCATCATCTCCCTGGCCTTCGCCCTCATCGTCCGTAACCTCAACTTCTTCATATTCACTGTCGTCGTCCAGGCCTGTCATGGGAACATCTGCCTTCTGGGTTGTCGCCTTTTTCTCCGGTCCTTCTTCCACTTTATCGTCTTGCTTCGCTTCCGTCTCTTCTTGCGATTCGCCTGCTGCCTTCTTCCTTAGTCGTGCCTTGTCAAGCTCCAAAATGGCCGGCATCAGCTTCTCTGGTATGCGCCAATAGCTGGTATTTTTGACAGGGTTATACACAAATCGTCTCGAGTATTTGGTATAGACTAGTATCCACGGTTCATGGCCTGGAATTGCCTCTTTCCTCCTCGGCTTGTCTACAGGTTGTGGACGCGGTCGACCTTCGAAGCCCCCGCGGCCACCACCATGCCCGCCTCGTGAACTGTGTTGTCTTTGTCTATCACTATCTTGGCTGAATTGTGCCATATAAGCATTGGCGACATTTGGATCGGCTAGAGCGGGTATTGAACCATATGCAGGTAGTGGTGCTTGCGTTGGCTGGGGAGGAGGCTGAACTCCTGGTCGCTTGTATGTGGACTCTTTAGTTTCTGCATTGTAATAGTATGTATGTCCTGTCGGCGCTGTATGCTCACTCCATCCTGGAGGCAGCGGAGCCAGAGCAGCTGTCGAGGGTGTATGTGTCGACTTAAGCATTTCGTTCGGCGCACGCGTCGCAAACTATGACATTAGGTTTTGATATCGGAGGACGACATAAAAACAGCAATCGATATTAAATTATGTCCCAGATGATATATTCGTCGTGGCCAGAAGCGCGCAAGTTTTGTCTGCAAAAATCGCCTGATGGTAATAAAGTTGGATGAAAGAGCACTAGGAAGAAAGTTACAGAAAGTTATGATTCTCACGATTCTCGAAGTCCGAAGGAGCTTGGACCCAGCGAGATTTTGGTTACCCTATAGCTAGCTATTCAAAGTTTACAGCGGATGGCAACTGAGAATCTCTAGTTTGAGTCTTCTTTCCTCTAGGCAACATTTTGAACATGCTAGACTTTTATACACAATTCTCTACAATTCTACAGTCCTAGTACTGTGAAAGATAATGTCAATGATTGTAATGAATTGCTTTGTCTTGATCTCCCATTCGAAATTTGATAACAGGGAAGACGTCCCGAAATGGGCACCCATTGCTGGATGGACAAATTCACATCGGAAACCTGAACTTAAAATAAATTTTATAAAATCAGTATCATGTAAATATTCGCTGCAGCCTTGCTCAAGGTGCCGATGCCACTCATGGTTTTGTTGAAGCCTCTGTTAATATAGACGGCCCCAGAAAATCCAAATTCAGGGCCCCTTATTCCCGCTTTCGGCAACACGTCCAACCTCATCATCAACTATAATCTTTCAACTCTTCCCGATTACTCTTTGAGCTTTTCACTGACGATATGACACGGTATTGAAGAAAAATAACCTCCATATTCATCTCAGCCTGCGACAAACAACAACTCTCGGTCTCATGCGCATTTGCAGCCCGCTCATATTCCATCAATCCCGGCCTTCATTCCCATTCTCAATCACGATCATCAATCATGGCACCGACTCATAACTATGGCTCGTCTGGCGGGCCCATTTCCTTTTTACGAAGGTACTGGAAGGTCTGCAAATATTCAAGCCAACATGCGCCAAATAGAGACTCACCCTTCGCAGACAACTCATGCGCCCGATTACGTCGGCTTCCTCTTTCTCCTGGCTGGTTGGATCCTGGTCCGTACAACACATTCTACAAGAGAGTACCACTGTTGACAGGTTTACAGACGGTACTTTTTGTCAATCCATTTCATCGCATGTTCTTCATCAACGATCTTCAAATCTCTTACCCGTTTGCGGTTCATGAGCGTGTTCCTGTCTGTACGTTTGAAATATCGAGGTTCACCCTCTTTGATCACAGCTAACAGGATTCGATAGTCATGAACTTTGTATACGCCCTGTTCATACCGCTGGCAGTTCTTATTGCCTTCAATATAGTCACAAGAGCATCAGCTGCTAAGCATGAAGTCACATACCTATCATTCCTTATCTCCATCGTACTTACATCCTTCATCACTGACATCATCAAGAATGCTGTTGGCCGGCCTCGCCCTGACTTGCTGGACCGTTGCCAGCCTGCAGTTGGGACAAAGGCCAATACTCTTGTTACCATCGACGTGTGTACAAGAGAAGACGGCCATATCCTCCAAGAGGGTTGGCGGTCATTCCCTTCTGGCCATTCTTCCTTCTCCTTTGCAGGTTTGGGATTTCTCAGCCTTTTCCTTGCTGGTCAACTCCACGTTTTCCGCTATTCAGCTGGTGGCCGTGACCTGAGCCGGGCTTTGGTCTGCCTCCTACCGCTCATCGGAGCTGGCCTGGTCGCTATCTCACGATGCGAGGATTACCGCCACGATGTTTACGATGTCTGCGTCGGCTCGGCTCTGGGTATGAGCATTGCATATTGGAGCTACAGACGCCACTGGCCCCGACTTTCTAGCCAAAAGTGCGACGAGCCGTATCCGCGACCAGGAATCGACACCCAGCCCGGCTGGCAACGCATCACCGATGATGAGGAGGCGGCAAGAGGGACAGATGTAGGATTCGAGATGGACAACTTGAGAGGTTCGCGACGCTGATATTGGGGACTTAGGCATAGTTTGCGTGCTTGTTCGAGACGGCTCAACGTCATCCACATTGCATAGCGGTTTTCATCGAACCGTCGTATCCTTCAACGACAATCGTAGACTTTGGTGAGGTCAAGAGTCAGATTACGTCTTGTCTCGTTGTATAGTCATTTCATGATATTATTGTACAGGGGCAGATAAGAGGAGCCCCGCATTCCTTTCCTTTCACCCCATCTATCAAGAATCTATTGCCTTGTTCCTCACTTTTCCTCTGTCTCCTCGTTCTTCGCCAGATCGTGTTCCTTCAACAACGCCGTGATCTCGTCAGCGCTCCACAGGCGGTGGTAGATCTTGCCATCCTCGGTCTGTCCTACTGTTGCAAACTCAACTAAAACGAAATGTTAGCGGGATAATTGTAAGCGAGTTGATGACAAACGTACTCTTCTCGCTGCTCAGCTTGGTCGAGTCCATCGTCTTGCTGAGAACCTTGACTGCCATACCGCAAGCCTCTTGCAGAGTGCAATCTTCCTTGTAGTCTTGCTTGAGAAGACTCTGCGCGCTTGCATTGTTGGCACCTGCACTTGTGGCCTTCCAACCACCGTAGTTGCCGGACGGGTTACTAAGGTAGAGCTGGAATTGTCTTCGAGGATCCCAACCAGCATAGATGAAGGATACACCGAATGGACGTAGACCGCCGTGCTGGGTGTAGCCTTGCTTCAGGTCACAAAGTCGGCGCACGAGTTGTTCGCAGGGGATGTCTTCGTTGTAGGTGAGGAGGTATCGCTGAGCAGCTTGTCGGGCATAGTTGATAAGGATGTTGGCATCTGCGGTCATTCCAGCAACGGCGCAGATCATGTTACTGCACAGATGATATAGATTAGCCAGCCAGCTCTGCATAGGGGAATCTTAGCATGGAGGGGTTGCGCACTCGTTCAAGATGTAAAGCTTCTCAGCGGAAGTGTCCTGCTCCAACAGCTTCGAAGTGACCTTTCGCTCAGCGGCGAGGACAATACCATCCTTGGCTAGAATACCAATGGCGGTACCTGCATGTGAAATGGCCTCTAAAGCATATTCGACCTGGTAAAGACGGCCCTCCGGTGAGAAGATGGTTGTCTGTGGATATCGGTTAGCTACCTAGGTGGGAGAGCTTCCAAGTACTGGCTGGAGCTTCAAGGGCCAACGCACTCGGGAATCGTAACGGCGAGACATGATGAAAACCTTCAGGCGTCGAAATTTGAAGTGCTAACAAAGAAGGGATCTCTAACGAAGCCCAGGCGAATAGTGTCAGAGAACTGTGGTGATGGTGAGGATATGGCTGATTGTTGGAGTTGAGGCTGTGGATTCGTTTACGTCGGTGCAGCCCACGCCAGTTGGTTACCTGTAACGGAGCTCTAGGCCGCCGCGCCGCGTTAGCTTTCTGCTACCGAGCTGTTACCTGTTGAAAGGCTAAAGAGTTTCTGCCTCAGGCCTGAGAAGCTGGATGATCACCAGCCAATCTGATCAAAGCCTGCCCTGCACGGCTACGATTTTACTGATGACTAATGTCGCTCTTAGCTTGCTGACATTTGGTGATGGATGGCTTGTTTATCAGGCAATCATTTTGCCACAATCAGGCATCGAATAGCATTGTGAGCATGGGCACACAGAGCACAAGCAATTGCCTGAATTGAATTGTCTGTCACAAGCGCGAGTTTATCCTGGTCCCTGCCACCTGCCACCCGACCACTTCAACCGCTGTAGGGCATGAGCGGCGGGCGGAACCTCTTTCTAGTGCCGAAGTTTTCATATCTTCCTCCGCATAGATAGCTCCCTTCCCCCCTCCAGCGTCCAGCACCTTAGCACCTTCTCTTTTACATCATCATCATCTTTTTGAACAATTTTCTGAACGACAGATAATCTTATCAGTCAACCCAAAGTGAAAGTGCTGTCTTGTATTTTCCAGTGGGACAGATTGAGTCTCTATCAAACAACTTAACTTTTACAGTGCGCGCGTCTTCCAGGCTCGGCACGCGACCCGCATCAACCTACTGATACTGGATTTACATCACAACAAGCTTGTCGCGCAGTCTTGATTGAGTTTGCGACGCCTTTCGAAGGTTTCAAGATACCAACAAACGACCTTGCCCCCTCGGATATTTGAATTTCCTGTGTGCCAGCACTGTTGGAATATCTCTTTGCGCCAAGACGTATAGAGGTTGAAAAAACAGACAAGCATCTGCGCGTGGATCAGCTGGGAAGAACCTGAAGCTGTTCTTGACATAGTCGTGACTTTCAATCATCTCCCACGTAATTACTTCAATGCCCGTATAAGGGCGCACACCATCCTGCGCTTTGCTGCAATAGTAGAAATCTGTCCAACAACACCACTGCCTCACCGGCCCACGCCGTTCGGTACCGATACGCGTCGCACTTCCAAAATCCACGCTGCAAGCATTAACTCGACCCATAATCATGTCTGGTAAGCGACAAAGACTCGCCAAATCCCCAAAAACCTCACATTCTGTTGCAAGCCCAAATCGCGTCAATTGCTGCACCAACAGTTCTAAAGCATCAACTAACAGCAACGATCCAGGCGAAGCAGAACCTCGACGATCGGTACGCGCTACAAAAGGTCAACACACCAAGTCATTCGACGAACTTGAGCCTGCGACTGTGCCCAAGAAGCGGCAAACCAAGAAAACTAAGAAAGCCAAAGAGCAGGAGCAAGAGCAAGAGCAAGAGCAGGAGCAAGAGCAAGAGCAGGAGCAGGAGCAAGAACAGGAACAACAACAGGACCAAGAGGAGGAAGAGGAGGATGAGCTGATCCGCTGTGTCTGCGGCGCCACAGAACAAGACGAGGACTCCGGCGAAGCCTGGATCGCCTGCGAAACCTGCGGCGCATGGCAACATAATGTGTGCGTAGGGGTGAGCTCATTCGACGACGAGATCCCCGAACATTATTGGTGTGAACAATGCAGACCAGATGACCATAAGGAGCTTCTCGATGGTATAGCCAAAGGAGAGAAGCCCTGGGAAGCCCGGCGCAGAGCACACGAGGAGGAGTCCAAGAAGAAAAAGCGTGGTGGGCGTAAAGGAAAGGGCAAGCGGCACAGTGAGACTAAGGAAGAAGACAAGTCTAAGGTTAAGTCGTCCCCTGCACCAGACACATCGAAAGATAAGAAAGATGCAAAGGTTGGGAAGAGAAAGAATCGGGAGGATTCTCAAGATGCGGATGGCAAGGTATGTTACTATCTCCCTGATCTGGAATTGTTGATACTGACAAATTACTTATCTAGTCGGCTAAGATTCGTCGTGTATCAGAAAACGGAATCGTGCCTGTTCCCGTTTCGTACACACCACCGGATGATCTTGCCATTACAATCGCAGACTTGCCCGGCTCCAGGACAGGACCTGCTAAAGCGCTGAGCAAATCTATAAGCCATGTCCTGGCGTCGATGTTGAAACAAGGTGACCTTCAGCTCGAGGAAGAGAACACAGTTGAGTCTTTGTCAGAGACTTTCGCTCTCCAGGTTGAACGTAGCGTATGCGATGCGTACCCCGTACCCAAGGGACAGAAAGAGTACAACCAGCAAATCAAATCATTGAGTTTCAACTTGAAGAACAACCCGGAGTTGTGCCAGGGACTTGTTTACAAGACTCTGTCTCCCACACTTTTGGCAACCATGACTTCAGAACAGCTTGCCTCATCAGAAATGCAGAAGCAGACCGCTGAAATGAAGGCCAGGGCCGAGAAACAATCGATTCTCTATACCTCCGAAACAGGACCCCGTGTCAGAAGAACTCACAAGGGTGAGGAAGTCGTTGATGATGAAACGTTCGTCAATGACTCTGCTGTACCTCTTCCGCCAGGGCCTCGTCGCCCAGACCCTCAGCATGTTAAGAAGGAGCCTGCGGCAGGTGACCAGCCTGATCTGGCCTCACACCCACAGCAAAACGACGACAAGCAACGATCACCAAGCCAAGCCGAATTCGATATCGCCAAGGTTTTCTCGAGCGTCAAATCTCCAACCGTGTCTCAGAACCGCAGGCCTTCTGCTCTGGTAACTGGAGTTAACGGTCCTGGTGTAGACCTTGACGTGGATCGCATGCTTCAAGACGAGAATGAGTCACCCCCTTACTCACCTACAGAGGAGACCCAAGACCCCGACGTTGTGTGGCGTGGCTCGCTTGCTATGAGTTCGATTGCTGATTTCCAAGCAACAGCCAAGTATATTGGTGGCGCAAACTTTGCTTCAGTTGGGCCGTGGTCGAACTTGATCCCTAAGAGGTTGACTGTGGCTGGCCGAATTACTGAGCAGGCTGCCATTGAGTATCTCTGTGGCCTTCGCTACAGCAAATCAACCGACATCATCGTTGTGTCCCTCACACCCGTATCCCCAGTTGCGCATGCTGAATTCCTTGCTCTTATGAAGTATTTTACCGATAAGAAGCGTTACGGTGTCATCGGAGACAAAACTATAGCCAACGTTCGGGATACTTACCTGGTGCCAGTTCCGCCAGGGGAGGACAACTATCCTGAGTTTATGCTCAACTTAGTTGACAACAAAATTCCGCGGGTGCGCGAGGAGCCTATGTTACTTGCCGTGTTTGTCTATCACACCGAACCCGAGCAACTTAAACAACTCAGGGATGGAGTCACCGCCCAACAAGATACCAGCGGCGTAGGGTCACCAATCCCTGCTGCCCACGCACAGAGGAGTAACTCTACAGCATCGGCCGGTCCCGCGTTCTCGCCAGCAACCCCTCAAGCACCACAAGGAGGGTTTCCGCCGCAGTCATCCCCGGCTCAGTGGCAGTCTGCCACTCAAACACCTGTACCCATCCCGCAACCCCCGAATTACGCTAAGCCTCAACCACCGCCGCCAGTGGCGCCTCCGAAAGTGACAGACGCATACAAGCATCAAGCTCAACAAGCGGGCATAATTGCAGCCCAGGAAATGCTTGGACCTTGGATTAACGCACCGACTGTGCAGTTCATTCTACCTCAGGCGTATCAGATGGCCCGTAAGGAATGGGAAGTTGTTCGAAGAGTTCTAGAGTGCGACCCCAAAGCGCGTGACGATCTCCAGCATCTTGGTATTTTGCTAGAGAGGGAGACAAGCGAGAAGAATGGAGGAGCAGTTGCACCATAATCCATGTGACAGGACAAACGGAAGGCAAATAACATAACTCAATGATACCAGTAAACGGCATGTGGGAGTCTGGTGATAAGGTGTTTTGAGAAGCGTCACTACTTCTCTTTTTTTTATATGACTAGTTGGTACAATTTTTATTATTACAGATGAAATGACAATGATTCTTGGATTCATGATATTTCAGAGCACACATTCATAGGCCGTGTTCCTTTGTGCTTCATTTAATCTGTTCGTACACAGGGAGCGAGTAAGGTAGACTTTGGATTCGTTGAGCATACACACGTGTGCATGTCTCCCCATGTTAAACTAGAGTTGTCGCACGATGATTATATCGCCCTTAGAGCATAGTATTAATAAATGCTCTAGGAACCTTGGGAGTCACAATCATACATAGGTTAAGCAGAGTGCCAAAAAGAGCAAAAGAGAAAAAAACATACAACAGCGGGGATTCGCTGGTCGTCACCGACCCAACTACTAATCCGCCCCTTACCAGCTTATCTATGGGAGAGCGGACGGGATCCCGAGTTCTCTGATAGGTATGGTCGTATGTACTGAATGTTGATGTTTCAAAGCTTATGAATGTATTTGTTTGCTGATGCCGTGGTATATCCTATACATGCATGCCCGCAGTTAACTAACATGAATGTAGATCCAGAATTATTAAATTTCATGCGTCAATCATGTCGTTGTCCTAATTTTTTTTCTTCCTGGCTTCTTCTGGGTTACTCAATGATTCAATTTTCCATCTTGGGTTATCACTCTGTTGTACAGGCGCCCATCCGAGCTGAATCTGAATACAGGTTAGTACCATGGTGGACTTGATAAAACGGACTCCTTGCCTGCATGGTCTTTTGATCCCAGTCCTTTGTAAAGCTCCTAATCTTTCCATCCTCGACTTCGAATATCGCTGCGGCACACCACCGCGCATGTTTGCCGGTCTTCTCGATACCATTGTACGGCTCTCCGCAATGACTGCCCTGGGCTGTGTATCTCAGCAGAACATGTCCATCTTTGGCCCATGATTGATCGAACCGGATGATCTCAAGGTCAGCTACGCTGGCCATGACTGTTGAGTGAGAGTCTGCATAGTCCATCGGCGTCTCGCAGCCTGGGAATGTCGCAGGTGCCCAGAACCAGCTGTCTGAGTGGCACAGATGCTGAACTGACGATGCGCCCTTGTTTTCAGTGGGCGAGTAAGCGATGCGCATGTACTCTTTGCAAAGATCTATGTTATGCTGATAACTAGTCAACTAGTGTCTTTGCTCTTTCTTGTCGCTCACATACTCACCTGCTCTTGTTCAGTTTGAGATGGTGAAGTAACAGCCGGGGGGTGAACCTTGGTAGACATGACTGCTATCGTGATTATGTCGAGGAATGATTAAGCTACAGTTATAATACTAAAGCGTTTATAAAATCAGGAATTGAGTGTAGTCAACTTAAGTGAAGCTCCCTTTATTGTTCATGCTGTCAGAGGAGCGTCACCTTGGTGTCTATGACATCACTTGCAACTTGCATGCAAACATTTCATTTTATGCGATGTTGATTCAACGATTTTGAATTGCTTGGATGATATGATATGTTTAGTTACTTAGCAATTGAGGAATGTTTTACCAATAAAGTGGATTTCATACCGTGTATGAATGAGTGTAAGTGAGGCTGTATACGTCGTTTCCCAACCGCTCAGCCAAACACTTTATGACGAAACATTGAAATAGATAGTAGACAACGAATGCATTTGTAGGTTAGACTGTTAGCCATCAACTGACATTCATAATAACAGACCAATAAACAATATCCTGATCATGAAAGCGTTGACTACGGTAGCTGCCGAGGCTTAGCTTAACTTAACTTGGAGGATCGATATCTGCCAAGAGGAATCGAATCAAATCCAGGGTGCACACGTTGAAACTTGAAACCCACCCCCACAACCAGCAACTCTTTGGTGACGCAATCATAGCACCCAAAAATAGGGGACAGCGGCAAGCGGGCAGGCCTCGTCTTCCATGGTTCTTCATTTCATGGCCCAAGCTCGAAGTCTAAACCCAACCCTCACCTTCACTTCATTTCACTCTGAATCTCACACCCAACAACTTTCTTCTTCTTAAACCCCAGAGTCTCTCATTTTGTCTACACGCTGGTAAGTTTCCCACTTAAACTCACGTCCCTGAAATCGTCCAGAAACTAAGAAGCCCACTGTAGACCCACCTCAAACCTTCTCCTGTCAATACCCAAGCAACCTCCAAAATGGCCTGCGGATCCTCCAAGTGCGTCTACGACCGTAACGGTCCTGGCAGCGCCGCCACTTCAATCGCCGAATCCATCATCAAGCCCTCCGAGGCCACAGGCACCAAGACCAAATGCATCGAATGTGGTGACTACGAATGCTGCTGCATCCCCTGCACTATCTTGTAAAGAAGCATGGCTTTATTTTTCACAACGGAATGACAATTATGGAGTTCGTACGAAGAAGTGCTGCCATTTCTGGTAGCACGTTCTAGAAGGGACAATGAAGGATGGACTACAATGTTTAAGGAAGCGCTCGTCGACGTTTTGATATAACCTATGAATCAAATGCAATAACAAAAAATAAACAAAAAAAGATTCAATAAAGCTATATGGTACTATTATTAGGCATCGCAAAACGTACAACTTCCATGCATGGCTGTATTTGACCTGATTCACAGATGTCTTATTCATTTGTTGCATAACTAGGTAGGTAGTGATGTTACATTGTTACGTCAACCTCCGTTTGCAACACAGAAGGCTGTTTCTTTTTCGTATTCCACTTCTTTAAGCGGAACAATACCTAGGTGAGATTTTCATTTTTTAAATGATCAGACCCTTTGACTGCTATAACAATTCCTCTGTAGCCATACAAACAACTGAATCGAGATTTATAATCAACCTCAAAAGTCTTCATTATCCCCCCTCCTCTATGTCTCTGTGTACGCATGTATTTCTGTGCAATGTTCAGGCTCCTATTCTCATCCCGGGTACTAGCCTTATTCCGAATGCACAATCGTGGTCAAAGCCCAATCTGACATGTTCAAACAAAACAAGACAAGCGTCGATCTCATGTAGATTATTCGCCTCCTGTTGCGCCTATCAGGGCTGATGATGTCTCTGTAACTTCCCCGATAGGGAAAGAAATTCCAGTGTTGTAAATATTGTCCCATCATTCGCTTCATGGTCCCTGTTCAAGTAAACAAAGCATCTGTTGTAGCCCATACATCTGCTTCTCTTTGCTTTGCAAGCGCATCTCTGTTTCCCTCATCAGACTGTTGCCCTAAAGCCTTGGGCACACCAGGCACGCTCAAGCTTCCCAAGCCATCGAGCACCCTGCGAGCCTTATCCACTTGTGTTCGTATAGCCATGGTCTCAGTGCGCGTGCGGTCAAGATGTTCCTGCATGAGGGCGATAACAGATTCTCGTGCTTGATGTGGCCGATACTCATTAAGAATGTGATGAAAGTTGATGAATAGAGTGCGCAAATCTTGAACCTTTGCTTCAGCATGTGATGGGTTCCGTGATAATGTGCCAGACAGTTCGAGGAAATTCAGAAGTAGAGATTTGGCAAGGCGCTTGAGTTCAAAAGCGCGGTCAAAGCGCTTGGCGTCCTTTGATTCAGACTGTGATGATGAGGGGAGATTTGTGATGCCTTGGTCCTCCAGAGTTGGGAGCTTGTCATCGAGCTGGATAAAGACAGTCAGATTCCGCATATATACACTTGGGGAGACTTACCATATACTGATCACCAAATACGCGCCACCGCCCATCTGCCGGCTCAGCTGGTGGTTGGAGATTGATGAGGTCTTCTGGAACATCAGGCACACGAACCACCAAAGGATCCCCACCATTCTGGGCAATATATGATGTCCTTAGTTCTTGAATCCGCGATATTTTATCAGGTGTAAACTCTTGCCAAAAGGGTGGCGGATTAGGGAACATAGAGGAGAGGGCCTGCGCCTCCTGTTGTTGTTCGGCCATTTTTTGAGGTGTTGCGATGAAATCGCCCTATGAGGGATAGATGAGGTAGTTGAGAAGAGCAAACGGAACCAAAAGTCAAGAATGCGGCTCTTCGTTCCTGAGTAGAGCTCCCTTGTAGGCTTGTGGTGGGGGAGTAGTGAGACTGATATGCTTGAAATCAGTGAATGTAACCACAGACCAAGTCTCTTATTACAAAAACCGTAATATTTGGTTAGTAGATGATATGGGAAAGTTCTTGAATAAAATAATGTCAACAATCTTCATTAAACATTACTATGAACAATGGCCCAGGTCCAGGGATTTAAGTTAGTTACCTGAGCTTTAGATTTGCGCCGGCTAATCGTCGGTGGTTGCTGACCTCACCTTGTTACCCTCTCGATGACCCTGATTTTCCAAAGCTCCAACGTCATAACTATTATTTATTACTTTTCCCTTCTCTTTTGCTTTACATACTTGCCCATCTGATGCTGTTCCTTGTGAAAGATATTGCTCCTTACCCACGTAGCTAATTGGACGTTTGAACAACGTAAATCGCATTATCACATCCTCATCTGTCTCGACCTGTAGTCGCTTCTCGCTACACCCTTTCCTTTATACCCAAATCACGAGCTTCACCTACAGTCCACAGCCATGTCCGACGTACGATCTCTTTTACGGCAACAGCGCGCTGCTCGCCGCATTGAACACCCTTACGCCTCCTACTCCGAAGCAGGCAAGCTCCTCTGCACCCTCTGTCACGAACAGATCAAAACCGAGACGCTGTGGGACTCGCATGTTCGAGGCGAATCGCATAAGACTCGCTTGATAAAAGCACAAACCGCAGCCTCTTCAAATGGACGTAATTCCCAGCAATCTGCACAAAAAAGAAAACATGACGATACCGAAGAGGCCATCGACGACGGGGACGGTGATATCGAGATGGATGAGGGCAGGCGGAAACGAAACAAGACAGAAGATCCAGAAGGGGATAATTCTAGGGATCAGAATTTAACACCACCTCGATTGACGAGAAGGACGTCGGCGACACCATCACAAGGGATCGAGATACAGATTCCATCGCGACCTGCAACCCCAGCACACCGAGACGGCTCCTCAGCTTCTACCCCAGGAGGCCAGCCTAACAATCTTACCACCCAAAATGGAACTACCACGCTCCCCTCGCGCCGGCCTAGTAGCCTGACGACGGACGAGCGACAAGCTACCACATCAGCCTCAGTCAACGAGGCAGAGTGGGCGGCTTTTGAAGCCGATATTGCTGCTACAACAGCCCCTTATGACGAAGACGCAGTCATTTCTGCCCCGGCCATGACGACGGAGGAAATTGCTACTGCAGAGGCCCTGAAGGAGGCCGAGGCAGAAAAGCAACGCGCCCAGGTCGATGCTGATCTAGGGGATGAAAAGGAAGAGGCGACCCGCGCATTGGAGGAAGAGTTTGAGGAGATGGAAGAGCTTGAAGCGCGCGTGAGGCGCTTGAAAGAGAAAAGAGAAGCCTTGCGTAAACGTGGTGGAAGTTTTGGTCAAGATGGCCAACCTGAGAAACCCACGAGTCTGGGTAAGGAAAACTTAGAAACGCCCGTTATCCATGAAAAGGACGAGGAGGACGAGGAGGAGGAAGACGATGACGATGACGAGGATGATGATTGGGATGGCTTCAGATTTCGAAAAGCCTAAGAAGGATCACAGGTTTGAAAGAGCAATAAATACTGCGAACAAAAGGCTCGCCAGCGGCCTGAAGCAGTATAGTACAAGGGACGGAGTTTGTCGATTTTGTATCATCACCAAACCATTTACATAATGTAACATACAAGCAGTCCTGCTAACAGGATGAGAGCCATTGCAGAGAGCCGCCAATTCCTCGCCGGACTCGTGACCACTCAACAAAACAAACTACGGAATGGAAACCAGGTGCGCTGGTACACATGCCGGTAGCTAACACAACATATGTCTTATGTGCCATGCTACCACTACTCACCTCACTTGAGGCATCTTCACTAACTTACCAGGTCATTGATAATCCTCGCCGCGGCTGACCCTTTCCCAAAATCTACGGAGCCTCCACACACGCCCTATTCCGCGGCTCTCCTCCCATTTTCTTACACCATCCTGTCGCTCTCTGACTTCACGCCTCCATCGGGACGCTATCCATTGCCGAAGCCCATCCTTGACCTTTTCCTTCTCGATGGCCTTCTTCTTGGCTACAATGGCTGGCGCGACATGCACTGAGGCCATGCCGGGCACACACTCCTTTGGCAACACTGAACGCTCGACTAAAGATGCGACCGAAGGCCTTGCTGCCAAACGTCGAGATAAGCGGATCGAGACCAAGGATCGGGCTAGGCGCCTAGAAACTATGGAAGTATTTGTCCTGAAAATGGAACGAGTAATGAGGTCAGCAAGAGACGGGCGAGACGGCGACCAAAGACGCGATGTAAGATCTGTTCTGACTCGCAGGAGCCGGTAATGATGCAAGATAGGAGCTTGAGATATATCGCGAAGAAGATGGCTTGTCTAGTTCTCTATCAGCCCCAAGAACCAGAGACCTTTGGTTATCGACGGTCGTCAGATAGCTTGCATGTGTATCTCCAAGATATCATCAAGGAGTGGAATAAGTTTTTGCTAACGGTAGATGATGACCACTTACCCTCGACGTTGACAGGAGGTCATTGACGTCCAAGAAACCCATAATGTGAAACAAAACCTCGTTTGGCAGGTCCTCAAGAGATTGATGTTGGATGATAGCCTCTGGTAATCTGACCCTGCTCTCATTGCCACCGAAGAACAGAGAAACTGGAGAAGTGCCAACAATCAAAGAGTTTGGAGGTACCTCCGGATAGAAGTTGGGATTCATCGGAGCGATGTCCGGTCGGGCATCAGTGATGAGTGAGGTTGCAGGGCTGGATGCTCTTCCATCTTCGTTTAGAGCTAGACAGTCGGGTTTCTCATGATGGGGCGACGTGAGCGGCATTTGATGTACCTGCGAGGTGACTTGGCCGGGCGATGTGGCAACAGCGCTCATCACAACTTGGTGCTGATGATGGGCGTGTAACAGGCGTTGAAGAGCACCGGTCAAGGGTGTGGGATTGACAGGGAGTGCACAACGAGACAACTTCTGAGACCAAGAAGACCCAAATCGTGGAGCTCAAGCAATTCGGCAAAACGCAGGCAAGAGGCGAAGGTAGCTTAGTGTGAAGCAGGTGTCAAGTGGTTGTCACATGTGCCGCTTGGTTGAGGCTCCGCAGACCTGACTATGACAGTTGGTGTGTAATTGTGACAGACAACGCACCGATGTGGACTTCTGGTTTAATAAACAAGACAGAAGCCGGAGAAGCCGACAGAAAAGAAAGTGGCGATGAGTTAAAACGCGAGGAGGGATAAATGCAGTGCGTAGGAAGTGCGGTCGCCGATATGGTCGGTCGTGACCAATGTGCCCGATGGGTCAGAGGATACGGACAATCTAAGAACTGGCCGAGCGGCGCGAGGGGCTCCAATTGATGTTGGAATTGTTGACCGCCGAACACGAATTGACTCAGTGATGAAATACTGATATAGGTTAGAGTATTGATTTATAGAGAGAGGTGCACTAGATAGAAACAGTAACAGCAAGGTAGGTAGGCTGGTGTGGTTTGCTAGTCTTTTCGCAGCTTCGTTATTTGAGTTTTTGTTTTGCCAAATGACGGGTATGACTAGGTAGGAATCAGATGATCTGCTATGTAGTTTTATGCGATATTGAATATGAAGCTGTTATTAAGACACAGCAGCAACTGTATGTTTATATGTATGTGATGTGAAAGGTGTTTGAGAGCAAATGAGACTTTGAAGTTGTTGAAACTTGGAGTTGAGGGGAAGAGGTGGAGAAAGAAGGACGTATGTGGTTAGACAGGTATGTGGCCGTGCGTAAGCTGCCACTAACTAACGGCGGCTTAACTTAGTCTTACGAGAAGGCGCATGGAGCGGCACCTGCCATAGGTCGATTTAGGCGTTCAGGACCTCAAGTACCGTTTCCAAAGATCGTGCGTGGCGAGGAGACCTGAGAAGCAAGCACTTAAATCTTGATAGGATAGTAGGAAATTGAAAGGAGCAAATCACGAACCGTCCCATATATCATCGTACTTGCATTTAATCCCATCAAATTGTGCATTCAAGCATTGCAACTTTGTAGGAATTAGGTACATATAATTTCCGCCTCCCAATTCTTTTGCCTGCCTGCCTTCCTTCCTTTTCTTACCCGGCCATGCCTACGTAGTACCTGCCATATCAAAATCAAGGGATATCCTGGGTATCGGGGCAGGTGCCTACGTACCCAGGTCAGAACCTACGACAGCCCGACAGCCGACCTGTTTTAGGCCACCGTGCTGAACGGCAGGAGGGTTCCTACCAAGATAACATCTGTTGGTTCGTGTCTTGTCCTCACCGCCACCATTCTAACATGACAACAAAGGAAAATTCATTCATTATACGCAGCCCAATGTGCCTACTACTAGGTACTTACTTGTTAGATACTACCTATTTACTCTTAGGTAAACGTCGCTATTCACCTGACGACGCAACAACAAAACAAATCATCCTCGCGCTAGTCCTGCAAGCTACCGCAGGCACGCACACCCACTTGCAGCACATCATACACATCACATCACACATCTGCCTCCACATGCATATGCCCATCACAGCAGCCACCCGGAAGATCTCCTTCAACCTGCGAATGGTTGTTGTCTCACAAGGTTGCGCTTGGCACTCCAGGCACTGGACTTGCCTTATCGACATTCAGGCTGTTGTTGCACGCCTATACCTTGAGAAAGAAGCTGCTATTTGTTGACGGTAACGACCCACCGGAAGATCTATGACGGTTTTTCTGTACTCAGAAACGAGCGATGTTCATGCAACATTTGACCCAAGACTATGTCTGTTCAGCTTGTGCTGACGTCGTCGTGCACACGATTCCCCCGTTTCCATCCGCTGCCGGGAACTGTCACTGTTTTCCGTGTACACCTTCCCTACGCGTTTATCATCACCTGGGTGGAAAAAGAAATCAGGGCAAAATTAGAACTGTTTCACACAAGTTCTGTCCCGCTTTTGGATCACTTGCTACACTCAACTAGTCCATCTTTGCAGCCACGCGTTTTCTCGGCGCTGTGACGTGGTTGTCAACTCGACGACCTGAAGCTGCGGCCAGATTCTGCACCCTTACAGACAGGAGGACCCTAGTGTCGCAATGGGTAGACTCCATCGCGGCAATTGCTGGCAAGGCCTCGTTCCCTGAGCCACTCATTATATCGAAGACTTTGGCTCCAACTAAGGAGTTCAATAATTCACATCGCTCTCGTTGATTGGATTTCGATATTGAGTTTGCCATAATTCAAAGCACGCACCACGGCTTATGAAAGAAATGTTTCGTTCGAATTGCTCTTATCCAGAATCGCACACTACTTCAGGGTACACAATGCTCAAGAATGAATAGTGCACAAACACTTTTGTCTATACTCAGCAGACGTCTCACCTATCCTTCAGCGGTAGGGAGGGAACTCATTGAGTCCTACTGTGGTTGGAATGGCTGCTGGAATCGGTTCGACTGAGCTCGCTCTTACAACTCAGCCTTATTAACGGTCGTATGCCATCCGTATCTTGCGCCATCAAAAAAGATCTTAGTTTTGCCAGGATCATGTTCGAACCTTAATACCAGCCAATCATGCTCTCCAACAACTGTCCATGCGGCGACAATGGAAACGCGTCTGCCATACAGAAGACCCATCTTCCAGCCGCTGACCCCTGACTGCTTACTTGCCAGGTTTCGTCTCCCCACACGGCTGTAACGTTATAATTCGACATCACACTTTAACATATTCTTGCGATCAAGGCGAGCCAGCAATCCGGATAATGCTGGAATCCATATGATCGGAATAAAAAACAGTAAGAGCTAGGACTGGAATGGAGATCTGCCTCTGATTACCGTGCGCTACTAGAAGAGAAGAAGAGTGACAAGTTTAACCAATCGCTGCTCTCTAATTCTTCAGCTTTTGTAGCTGAGTTCCATACAAGTTCCAAGTTTGGAGACATGCAGCGGTCTTTGAACACATGATTTACACCAACCCAGGCATTTGGTTCAGACTGAAGTCGGACGGTTAGGTCGTAGCCTCTCAAATCTACACCTCGCCGGGCAATGCCAGTCACGGAATCTTTGTTGCTAGCTTTGGCTGGCAGAATTGGAGCCTCAATAAAGCAATGACTTGTTTGAGGTTGTTCTTGTGTCACTCCTCTCGTACACTACCTCGTTAAGAGGCAGGTAGATAGGCAGACAGGCATCATCATCACTCCACCTTTACAGTTGCGTTTGATGCTTGCAAAAAAACAAATTACAGGGAAAAGCAATACAGGGCGACGGGAAACGGAACACTCTCGTTCGAACACGCCATGGGCATCCCCCAATCAACAAACCAAAGTCCGACTTGAGACAGACGTGATGGCATGAAAAATTAGAAGCGGGCCGGCCCGGCCGCTGAACCGGGCCGTTGTGATCATCAGGCTGAGGCCCTGAGGAGGCCGATGGCCTATGTGTCCACAAAGACTGGCGAGATCGTCCACATGATACACAACCTTCGCGATAGTTAGACCCTGGCCTTCGAGCTGGATGTTCTTGACTACTTGACCGGATGTTCAGAACGGCGGATCCTCCCAAAACGTGAGCTTACACCTTGTGTATAGCTTAGTGCATACACCCACCCAAACGAATGCGTGTGCACGCAGAATATACCGGCGCCCAATATATGTGCGGAAGGGTATAGTCATTTGCGATCCCGCCACAGAGATCAAGTATTTGGCATGCATCCCTGTTGAGCCCAACACTGCCCAATTTGAGGGTCTAGTATCAATCTATTCCTTAATCTAGCCCCCTAACCTCTCATGCTGATTATCCCATGCAGGCCGTGAAGTCATCACGGCCGAGTCAGTTTCCCGAGACGCAGGCCATTCCCGAAGCAGAAGGCCAGCTCATTAGTATACAGATGCATTGCCATGGAACCTTGTGATGAATACTTTGTCACCGCCATGTTCCATGCTTATGTCTAATGCCACATGCGTTCATCACTAGGTTGGCTATCACACCCACTGAATGTCTGGGAGTGAGAGTATTGCCTTCGAGAAAAGGCAGAATATGGCTACCTTTTCGGCATACAGCTATGCACGTCTACGTAGTATCGGAACGAGCCACTCCCAAATTGTGGTTGTTATGGCTCGGTACACCGACTCCGAAGTATCTACACTTGGTGTCGTGAACCCTCTATAACTCAACCAGTAGCACTGCTGGCTAAAGGCTGTATTACTCAGTGCTGTGCCGTATGTGTCTGGGATAATTGTTGGTGGTTCAAGGCCAAATTAACACCAGAGGTAAAGGATACACAGACACTCAACTGGCCCCCAACCGAAGGTCTACAGCATGTTCAGCGGAGTCGATGTGATAAACCGAAGTTGATCAAATGAGGCGACAGAAGTATCACTGGAGGATGTCAAGAGGAGACGATGATGCGGCGGTATTCATGGAACATCGACAAGCATTTAAATCTCCTTCTCCTCTGGGAAGCCCATGAATGCAATGTCCAGGCTGCAGTCTGGTCCAGAGGGACGTTGCCACGTTGTCCATTAATATGCCTTGTGCGCATCAGCGTGGTCTTGAAGCTACCTTTGAACCGTCCGCAACCTAGTTCGACAAAGGAGTCCAGAGGGTCACAAACTACAACAATGGCCGGTGGCAAGACGGATGAATCAATTCATGTGAGCTGGCAGCCATGCATGGGGACCATGCAAAGGCCCCCCTATTGCCGTTTGCCATCGCTGCAATAGACACGCAAGCAGTCACGAGTTTCTGACCTCTTTAACCTCAATTCTGCTATAACCTCTGTATACACATAATACCCGTAAGTTAGCAAAGCGTACGAGAGCAATGGAGAGATTAGTACCAAAGTGTGAGCTCCTCGAGAAGGTTCATTATCGAGAAGAGTCGCCATCCCCAGAGGAACTGGAAGCGACCACAGCATTTGAACTTACTTAGGCTTTGACGGATTGCTCGCCAGGATAGCTATGCTGGCGTGCCACATAAAAAAGCAAAGATGCTGCGCAACTACGGAAGCAATCGACCCGGACAGAAGAACCATGATGTTCAGTTGGACAAACATGGCCAGCCGTCAGGGGTGATAGAAACACAAAAGAAGACTCAGAACGGTCTACAAAGCCAATGCTAAGCCCCTCAGTGGCGATATCCTTGCAGGATGTCTTATCCTGAGCTTGAAGTTGAGAAAGCAATTTGCAAGGTTTATGGTCCCAACAGAGTCCCGAACTGAGCGAGGAAAGAAAGCAAATCCCAAAGAAGGCTCTGCTGTCAAGATAGGACGACAAGATGTTGTAAAAAGCAGTTGATGTGCCGTAGGCCTCGAGAAAACCCGATGGTTGATCTTGACCTGCAGTCTCTTTTCCAATGGGCCGCTGGTGCCATCAAGCTCGAGTCCACCAGGGCCTGGTGCACAGAGCAGGAGTAATCAGCGAACCACAGCCCTTGCTTTTACCGAAAAAGTCAATCGTCGAGATTGCAAGCCATGGGAATCCCCTTGTTTCCTGACACTTGTCTGTCCTCGGGACGAACCATAACGCCCCACACGGCCGCAGATCAAGACACCACCTTTTGTATACTCGACTAGGACAAGACTTCGAGGGGAACATGGCCTCGGCCATGACTGCAGCGGGAAGTGCACAGGGCTCCTATCAATAACATGGCCGCTTTCGTGGCCCTGTTGCCTCATGGTTTCGCTACTAAGAACGCGCTATGGAAGACTTATGGAATGTTGACAGAACAGGTGCGAGTCCAGTACAGACGTGACTGGTACTCAGTAGTTAAAGAGAGAAGATGAAGCATGGAAAGACAAGTATCAGGTCAAGCTCTCTGATATCTCTTTTACACACGCCTGTGCTCTGCCAGGAAAGACACCCAGACCATATCATTTTGCCCGGTGCGCTGCGTTTTAGGACAACGATAACGGCTGTTACCAAGACAAATTGAATATAACAAAGGTAGATGCAGTCATGGAAATTCATAAAAGCATCCCCGCAGGTTTGTCAAGAGACTCTGGCCGGTCGTCAGCCCTGCTTTTGTTGCTTTCACTGCAATCACAGCATCATGGTGAAGTGCTGTACACACAACATACTGCAGTAGCATCTTGTGGTGTGGGGATGCCCCGTACCTCTACCCTGCTTTTACTGTAGTTACTGATACTGAGAGGGGGGCGTGTATCGGACTCTAGGCCTTGATCAACGTGGCAAGCGACCACCGGGCTTTGCTACCATGCTGTCAACTCTTACACTGGACTTTGATATCCAGAGTTTCTACCTTTACTTTTAAGAGACTTGCTGGTAGCAGTCGCTCTACTAAGCAGACAAGATGTGAAGTGCGACTCGGAGAGAAACAAGAATGGAGAAAAGTCTAGAGCAGCAGGCGGTCGCTGCTAGGCGGCTCTAACGTCTATATACATGCTGCAGGGTCTTTGGGAAACACATGCTCGCAGATTGGTTACTCCAGCACCACATCTAAACTCAGGAACCGCGTAGTTCAAGGCTAGAGCCGTTAAATAGCCACGGTAGGTTAGTGCGGCAGCGGTATGAGGTAGATAGAAGTGACGGTGGGTTGGGACGGCTGAGGGGGTGCGTCTAAGACATCCTTTGTGGTGAAGGATATGTATACAGGTAATGCGATGGGAGAACAGCTGTATGGAGCTTCAAGTACGGATACCCAATCGACGCATGCAAGCAAGCCTCTTTATCCCGCAGGAACAAAAGCAGACGCAGATGCAGAAGGGAACGAACAAGCACAAATAGTGGACAGCCATTAATCTGGCCTGCTTTGAAGGCCAGGGGGTTAGGGAAAGAAGGCGATTGCTTGTTGGGTGTGCGGGAGTCCCACATGTGGATGTGGGATGCCATATACAGCACGACGATCGAATCCATGAAGAGACTTTTCGAATCGAACAAGTATAAGTTGGCTATGGCATCCACTCTGTCCAAATCGAACAACACATATGCATCATTTAGTGCTTGCACCAAGTTTGCTTTCAAAATACATTGACGGCTCGACCCCAAGGGCCCTTGACCAAACATCACTCTTGAAAACCAAACTCAGTCACCCCTTGGACTCAAGACTTTGTCTTGAAAACCTGGAGAAATACCGAACAGCACTCAAGGGAAAACGAACGAGGCGGGATGCGAGGAACCAAGTAACACATTTTTGTTTTGTGTTATCTGTTTGCAGCAAAAGGAAACTCGTTGTGATCAACCTCAATATTGGATTAAGCTTCCAGATCACACAAAACACCAACCATCGACACCAGTCAGGACTATAAAACAACGAAACCTATCCTACCCCATCTGCATTCTGTCCAACAGCAGTACTCGATTCATAGGTAAGTCAGATTCATGAATCCGTTACACTAAATCCGCCCTTCAATGTCACCAGTTTGACCCTGTGCTTTGGTGGCTATACGGTCATGGTTGAACATGGCTCCAGTGACACCGGCCAGATGCCAAGGTATAACAAGGCACGGTGAGCATGATGCCGAAACAAAGCAGCCATACGTTATTACACCAAGAATAGATTAAGCCAGTGACGAAGGTTTCGAGGAGACAAATAAAGGATATAGACGATGGGAGAATGCCAAAGGCTGACCTACCATATCCTAGATTTCCTTCGATACACAAGAGCGCGGCTCATATTTGAACTATTTTGACTCGACCATATTGTTTGACTCGTTTCGACTTCACCGGACCGGATAGGACTGTTCTTGGATCGCTTCTAGAATTGGATAGTTGATCGAGTCGAGCTTCGGGATTCGGTTCGCATCGACTGCAAGTTCGCCTCCTGGACTCCGCTCTCCGCCCTCGGCCGTTCCGCTACTTATCCTCTTCTGTCCAACCAGTTAGAGGCACTCTGTCTCCTCCATCTCGAAATATCACTCTAGACCCCTTGTCATCACACAACTGCCCTCCAGCCATGTGCTACTTCGACCAGACTCGCTGGGCATGCGGCTTTTGGCGTTGGGGTCACTTCCGTCAGCAGTGCAACAAAGAGTACCGTATGGGAGAGACGTGCGGGCTAAAACTTGTTTACGAAACCAAAAACGATCCTGAGGTTTGTAAACTTTGCAGCGATATAGAGAAGAAACAGCGCCGCTATGACAAGATGTACCGCGACGTCCAACGTTGGCAACGTGAGGGTAACCGCGATGCCACCATTGAGCGAACATGCATTGAAATGAGCGAAGTGGCAGGACAAATGCACCGTATGAGGGAGGAGCATGCTCACAGGCTATATACGCTTGGCCAGGTGAGTTTGAAGCATTACTTACCTTGATTTCATACCTACCCCCTTCGAGTGAAGAGGATACGCCAAAGAAAGACGGAAAAGAGGCAACGGACGCAAAGAAAAGAACAACCCTCCACAACTGAGACAAGAGAGGGACGGGAAGGCAAGAAAGGGGTGTGAGGGGCGTGTGCCTGGACTGTAATGGTGGTGTTGCTTGCATACAGCGCGTGGGCCGTGGAGTTTGGGTTACGCAGAGATTGTGAGTGACTGACTAACCTATTCTTGCAGTAAAATGACAGGATCTCAAAACCGATTTGCCAACGGGGTATATTGAGCTACCAGAGCAAATTATGCTCTACTGCTCTGCTTTGCCGATAATGGTGGCATATGGCTCATTCGGCGAGCTGATGACAGAGCAGAGGTCTACTAGGACACCGACGCATGTTATTTTATAATGATGATGATTATGACAACCTTGCTTTCTACACGCGCGAAACGAGACGGACGAAAAAAAGGCGGCCTACAGTTGATGCCGAAAGATGGAGTTCAGCCAAGAGTGAAAGAGGGGCAGAAGACCAAAGGACGGACAACGGATGAGAAGGCGACCTTTCCTGTGGGCGAAGACTATTGAGAAGTGTTCCTTCTCTTCTTCATTCTTGCCATCTCCCCATGTATCAGAAGAGGCAGGTCGTTTGCTCTCCGGCATCATCCTTCCAACATTTCGGATATATTGGCAGAGTGTCGTGAAACACACGACGCGAGAATGGGAGAGACAAAGAGGCTACGGATAAAAGAGTTCGAGAAATCGCAGGCAGGCGCCGGGGCAGGCACAAGCAGCCTGTGGGACACAACACAAAGCTCTGGGGACAGTCAGGTCATGTTTATATTCTTTCCTTACAGCCATGGATGTGAATCAGGTGGAAAACAGGTTAGTTCAGCGTGTTATATCCCAAAGAACAGCGGCGTTCTGCTCATCTGTATCTTAAAATCAGTTTATTCCATGAAGGTCCCCCGCCCAAGTTTGTACCGAAATGTAGAAAATGCCGACGGGGGACCGTGGCAGTGCCAGCATTGTGTGCATGGATGAATAGGCGGAGCCAGGGTGTGTGGACCAAAGTACATACATGCACAATTAATGAGGATGATTCTCTGTTTCTGGCATAGGTTATTCGGCAATGCCGCAAGCTCTGGGGCAAGGACATCGACACAATGATGACCATATCAGGGTAGGGCATAAGTTTGAAATGGTGTATCAAGATGACCAGGTAGACATAGATATGAGGAGACAAGAGACATCAACTGAGGGAGCACGACAGAATAATTCTACCCATGCAGACACAATTGACTGAAAATGCCCTTGACCGCACGGGATAGGATAATAATGGAAGCGGGCCACTTTCCAAATGCAGTGAAGTTAGGTAGTGTAGCACGACCAAAGATGAGCTGGATCTATCTTGAATTTTCCTTATGCTGAGGGGCGCCATGTTCTATTCTGGAGGTCATTGCGTAACGTGCAACGTGCAACAAGCCGTTTGATCAAGGTATGGATATGTTTCTGTCTAATCGGGGTTTGGCGGACCTATGGGTTGGAGCCCCAAGCCCTTCATCATCGAATAAGAAGAAGGGCGTGTGAATCTGCTGGTGCTTAAAATTAACCAGTGTCGGGACTTGGGATACCCCAAATGTCGCAGATTAACTTAGTGGCTTAACCGTCCCTTGAGTGGCAGCTTGAGGCATGCTTCTCATGCATCATAGGCTTAGTTAACGTCTCTAACGACGCGTGTACTGTACGGGCAAAGTTTGCAAAGCGTCGCCCGCAGTATGGACTACCCGATATGGAGCGACCAAGTACATACAGTACCATGTGTAGAGATCGAGGCGGCGGGGACCGAGCTGGGGGTTGAAGTCGTGGTCGGTGAGCGTGGAGTTTAGGCGACAATAAACTAAGATAAGTACAACTGCGTAATCTAATACAAAATCAATTTTGGTGCAGTGTTCTGTCGAGGCGGATATCAGAATTGTCAAATCGCGAGACGGATTTGGTGGGAGGACCACAGCAAATGCCAACGAACCATGTGTCAGAGCGGTCCCATAGACTGGCACATGGCAGCGGCATCAAGAGCTTGGGGGGCCTCAAAACAACGAGCGTCGAAGAATCATGCAGCTACCAGTCCTACTTGGTATTGTGTAGTGCGGTTCAAGGAAGCAAGCGCAGCAAGTACAAAAGTAGAAACCTGTGAGTGTGAGCGAGGGTGGCGGGTGGAGACAACTGATCATCAGGGCTCATGCTCAGGCTCAGGCTCAGATAATTAATTAGCCAGGCAAGCTAAATAGTGCTGTAATTGCAGGCATTCTGCTCTTGAAATGCGGTCTGCCGGACTAGTCAGGGTTGCTCTCCATGGAAACATTCGAGAAAAGAGACTGCGGTGAACAGTAGCAGCATGTGACGAAGGGTCAATGCGAGCTCTGCTTGTCCAACCTGCACAAAAGCTGCGAACGATTTGGACAAAGTCGTAGAGGGTTTGAACCCACGAACGCGCTCGTTGTCGTATCTGACTGGTCGAATTCATGTCTGCCTGCCTCTGACGACCTTTCCCTTGCAACCCCCTGGTCATCCCGGCCTGACCCGCGCCGCTTATAGCGTCCGTTAGGTTCCTCGCACACAGACTCTTTCCGTTTGGGCAGAGTACCTGAGTACAGTACTGTACGTAGTACTTGGGATTCGTTCCAACATCCGCGGCCCGCCCCTGCTTGAAGGAAATTCGAACCTCGTCTCAGACGGGCCCGGCCTCCCGCCTACGGGGTTCAGGGGCCTAATGTCTCACAGAAAAGATATGGTTAATTATGGATGGTTGGTTTGTTTCCCGACAATATGGCTCTCCTAACCCGAGGGTATGGATAAGTTCCGCGCCTACCTGCTAGACGCGGCCACTCACCCAACGCGATGGCGAACCAAGAGTGACTCGGCACACCCCCATCTCCCTGTTAGCGACTCCGTGATGTCGTGGTGTGGTGGAGGGCTGCCGTAGTGAGCCATGATCCTTTAGTACTCAAGCAATTCCCGAAGGCTTGGAACGTGGACGGGATCTTGGTCGGGTTGACGAAAGAGATCCATCAAAATGCCACCTGTGGATGGGGACCCATGTAAGTTGCCCATCAACGGTGCGAGCCGAAGACGGAGAAAACCAATCTAAATCGAGGGCCGACGGCAAGCTAGAGGGCCAGACGGACGCCGACCATTCACCTCTTCGAATATCTGACCTCTCCCCTGGTCTAGCGTCTGCTACCACCCCACTGACTGCCGGGCCACCCCAAGGTCAATGAGCCCGCAAAGTGAGGAGAGAGCACGTGTCTGCTGCTTAATGGGCATTTTAAGCCAAATCAAATCACGCCTGAACAATGAATTGGTAGGCTCTTTCATTCTGCAAGACTCTATAGCTCAACGCTCGTGCGCGCCGTGTGCCGCCGCTGACTGCAAGAGAAAGAACGGCCGATGGTATGTACAGATTGATGACGAGGGTCGAAACACTAAGCCAACTAGGGTTGCGCTCCCAGGGCCCAGCTCAATATGACGAGGGGGGGATTTTCCGTAAGTTTCGATTGGGTGTCTGTTTGTACAAGTCCACTTGCTACCCACAACAATCAAAGACGAAGTCCCTGCAAAATTCCAAGCATGGGAAAAAAGATATGAAGAAATACTATGTACGAGGTAAAAGAAAGATGATAAGAATTAACCCTGTGCCGGATACCGACTCCTAATTGGGTTCCCACGATGCAGCGACTATTTCTGCTGATCAAAAGGTTATGCTGTTTCTGTGAAACAACAACCATAAGAGGCCGCAATAGCCTTATTAGTTGCGGCCAGTATAAAAGGGAAAACGCGTTGGTCGGTTGTCCCCTGCGCCGTCCCGCTCATTATATCGTTTCCACTTCGCCCAAATGCCCTGACAAGACCAAACCGATACAGATGCCAGCCAAGCTGAACTAAGCCAGATGAAAAGGGAAATTGGACTGGGCGAGCGGGACCTTCCGCTTTCCGAGGCTTTCAACGTCCAAACGGACGGCGTCGCGTCTTCGAATCTTCTTTCAAGAAGGAGGCAGTTGCCTGCCATAACTGCCGACTCCACTCTGGCGGCATCCAGCTTCTAGCTTGAAATTTCCTGGACGACAAAGGTTTTGCCTCATATGTATCTTGAGGACGGACCGTCATTACTGCATTGCCGCTGCAGCATCAGCAAATGTCCCCACAAGGGGGCCATCATCGCTCTCTATCGTCTTAATGCTGGCCGGTCCATTCTTCTGCGTCTCAATCGTCTCGTCTTCGGGCAGCCAGTCAACCTTGACGCCGCTCACAGGAGTGTTGTCGCCCTGGTTACCGAGCTTTGCCACAAGATGCTGGTATCGGGCAAGACGTGCACCTTGGCCAGCATAGGCGAAGGGGGTTGTGGTTCCACGATTTCCATTCTCTTGAGGCGCGATATCGAAGATGTCTACCATGTTACTGTCCACCGATATTAGCTTCTTTTCAACCTCGGATTCGGCAAGGCAACGCACTCTGATGTTTTGGCTATTACTCGTTGTAATGCCTCGTTCTCGCGTTGGGCTTCGAGGGTATCGTTCTCGCCATTTATGGCTTGGTCTCCAAAGCTGCCGTATTGCATTCCATTTGCCTCATCGTAAAGTAGGCGACTCTCTTCCTCCTACACGAAACGTCAGCTGGTATTCTGGTTGATGGTTCTTTGCTATATACGCGCCGTGAAGGCTCGCATCTATTCGAAACGTACCTCATCGTAGCTGTTGCCATCAGCCCGTCCCAAACATGATGCGCAAGCTCCCATTATGGCGTAACAAAAAAGCAGGTTCCCATAGCAGGTTGTAGACAGAAAATTCGGTATGGAGCGAGTATCGCAGTCGGTCGAGAACTATCGCATGAGCATATGCTTCCAAAAAGACGAGATGAAGTTTGTATTAAGGAGCGTAGAAGGTTGTAGCTTGGTAGTACAGCCTCGTGAAATCGTGATCTTTGGTCGTCTGTCGCGCCTGCTTCACGACGTACGTTGCTCCCTGGGTGGGTCCTTCCTCAGGAACGAACCCGAGGCCACTTCGGATAAACACCGGCATAGTCGCCATCTACATCTTTTTTGGGCATGGTACGATAGGGTACCTGCCTATAAGAGCATTGATGACGAAGTTAGTAGGTACCGATACTCGTCTGTTCAGCCAAACAACTTGATCTTATACTGCATAGACGACCGACGATGATGATTGTAACGATTAAAGCGCATGCCCAGAGCTGAAAGAGGGATCTTTCAAATTTGTCTATAGATGGAGCACAGATCATTTTCTGCAAGTGCTGACTATGCTTAATGTCCATCCCTTAGATAATGCCCCCTTCGTCAAAGGCCCTGATCAAGGGAGCATCACCAATTTTGCCAGTTGGTTCGCCCTCACAATATGTTTGTGAAGGGCAAACGATTAGTTTCCATTGCAGTATTGGTAATACTCCCTTGACTTCCATCCCATATTTGCTTGGGTCTTCTCAGCGCAGTCCCCTTCCTATCTTCAGATATCAAGTTGACTGTCCCTGGCCCGCTCCGTGCAGGGAGGACACTACTCCTGTCCTTGTTCTATTGCCAATGTCTTTCTATCATGGGCCTTCTACGTTTGAACATCACCTTGTGCCGCAAGTATCGCTTCTACGCTTGGCAATAATCCTCTTCAAACGCCTTCCCTTTCAATAATAATAATAGCATTGCCCTATGTTCAGTTTGAAGATGCTTAGAGCGACCATGTATAAATATGGACGACTATCGCCTGACAGAATCAATTCTCATCATCCTCAACACTTCTCCATCAGTTTCCATCATCTTCTCTTACCTTCTCTTCGATCAGTGATTGATTCGTGAATATCAACTCCTCAGTTCGCCTTTTTCTTCTGATACTCCACCTCAAGATGGTTCGCTTTGCTCCGTTGGCAGCTCTGGCTTTAGTGCCTGTTGCTCAAGCACGATTCGACTGGCTGTATGCACGAGACACCATTGCGCAGTGCCCCCCGTGCACAATGGAGGGCGAGCCTCAAGAATGTTCTTATACGGTAACAGTTACCGAACCAGCTGGGGCTTACGAGACCGTCACTATCTCTGATCCCAAGAACTCTTATCACACAGTCACATTCACAGAGTACGGCCAGCCTGGCAAGACTGTCACTATCACTCAGAACTATCAGGAGCCTGTGACCAGGGTTGTATACGTCAGTCAAGGTGAAACTCTCAACCCCCCCAAGGAGACCGTTACCGTCACTGCACCCGGCAAGGTTGTTACTGTCACAAAGACAGAGACCAGCGAGCATGTTGTCACCAAACAGGTGAACGTGTATCCCGGCCCTGACAACTCGAGCGGCAACGGATACAAACCCGGTCCCAAGACAGTAACCATCAGTAACGGCTATCCCGCCCCCAGCGCTGACTCCCCTGGCTATGATGGGGCAGTTGTCACCAAGATTGTCGGTGATGGCGATAACGTGAAATACCCCAACGGCGCTCACACTGTCACTGTTATCGACGATGGCAAGGTCAAGACTTTGACATATACGGACGGCCACTACAACACGGTTATCAAGACTGTTACGCAAGACAACGGTGAGGAAAAGGTCGTCACCGTCACAGCTAGAGATGACTACGAGGTCGTCAACACTGTGACTTTAAAGGATGGAAAGAAGATCATCAAGACTGTCACTGTCGAGAACACGAACAACTATGTCGTCACCAAGACCATCCACGAAGATGGCAAGTACCACACCGTCATTGTCAAGCCAGAGCCGACCGTCAGTACTGTCACCAAGGATAACGGCGATTACGTTACCACTATTGTCGAAGCTCCTCACACATATACCTTGACCGCTCCTATCCGTTATGGATCGCCCAGCCCGACTGACGATGACTGCGAGACTATCACTAGGACTGCAACGTACACAGGCCAGCCCGAAGTTGAAATCATCGTTTACGATCCTGAGTCTGGTGATTCCACCTGTACAAAGGAAGACGGTCAACCCTGTCGTCCTGAATACGAGAACGACAAGACTGGTTATGATGGCAATGGCAAGGACCAGGAGGGTGATGACAGCAAGGGTCAATATGAGGTTCCTGCGTACACCAAGGTTCAGAGTGGCAGTGACGGCTACAACTCAAACATCCCCGTCTACACCAAGATCCGCACTTATGGCAATGGTGACACCTACACCGAGGTCTATGGTGCTGATCCAACAGGATGCGAATCATTTGCCGTCTCCACCAGCATAGCAACCGTTTACAACACCGTGGTGGTGACTGTTGAGCCTTCAAGTACTCTGGCTGCCGACAACCGAGTGCCAACGAAGGCTCGTTCGCCTCTATCCATTCGGTGGTGATTCTTGACAGTTGGATATGATGCATTTCTTTGGGTAACAAAAATCGAGAGGGAGTTTTTATTGGGATGATATCAGAGACGTGCCAGTGGGGGATTTTAATATGGGGCTGTAATTAGTATTGGAGGAAGTAATTATGTTTTTTTATAGTAATCAAGTCTGAAGAGTTCTATCAAGATTATATCTGGCGGATCAGAGTGAATATTCTTGAAGTCTTGAGCTTAAAATTTACGAAGGCAGATTGGGGGTAATTGGAAGCGTTGGAAAAGTTGACTGTCACAAAACAATTATAGTAGTTTAACTTTTGTTTCCAATGAAATCAAATCACCGAGGTATACAAAGCCCACCCATGTTAGAGACCAACATGTCTTCATACTCCGTTAACGCTGCAAATCGAGTTATAGTCTTTTGAGATAAGATTAAAAACTAGCGATTTACCCTACATCGTCTTGTTTGACACATTTGTTTAGGTACTGTAAGTCACTTGGACGGACAGATTACAGACATCCAATAAATCTTCTCAATTGTAAGCGTCTGGAATGATGGCTTGGTTCAAAGTCTCAATTCGGGGCCATCTGAGACCAGAAGCGTCCACTTAGTGGCATCATGATTTAATAGTTCTGAAAACTGGTATCATCACTGAACACATTCGAGACACAAAAGTGAACTACATCATTCATCAAGTTGACTACTTCTCCTATCATGACATTCCCATTTCAGACCTGAGTTGATCAGACACTGCTGTTGCTTGCACAGAGCAGATGAGTGCAAGACGCCACGATCTTTTACTGGCTCATGGGAAATGTTACCATCACAACATGCGTTACTCTTCACTAAATCCATTCTACATGTGCCGAAATAGAATGAGAAGTGAGATCTGATATTTGCACAAGTTCCGGAAAGATGATCGTCACTACTTGGGCTAGCCAGTAACCTCGATGCAGAGTAACACGACCTGTTGAGATACAGTGATCGAGTCTTTGTAATACTTGACGGGTTACATTCCGCAGATTTGACATACGCGTGGTCACAAGCGTGCTGCTTTCATCCCTTTGAATTGAAATGGCTCCGCTGCGCCGTCTCTCGGATTTCAAATCATGTCCCAAAAGACCTGGCCAGAAAGTCTCGGACTTATCTCGACTGAGACAGCCAGCCACTAGAGACTGTCTTAGTCCCCTTTGGCTTTTCAGTTTGTGTATCATTGGCCATTATTACATCTACAGAAGACTTAATAAATGCTATATACTGTTGCAATGGCAATACCATGCTTATCAAGATTTAGCCTGAAGATACGATGGCTTCAGAAATCCCACTACTGGTGGACTTTGCGAGACGTGCAAACCCATTAAAAGCTTCTACCGCAATTCTTCCCACCCACATTACCATATCCGGATTGCCGTGTCGGATCGCCGGCCCTAGCGACATCAGATACAGGGGGGCTCCTTGTGCCTGGACTGTCCGTTGTTCCTGAATGCCAAGACCTGACTATAATAGTATGAGGCGTATGGCTTTAGGACGGTTGCATGCATCTGGCGATAACTTCCCATGACGGTCGTGCCGGTACTCCGTGTATCGTTAAGAAGAAACCGACTCCATTGGGACAAGAGCCGTTTGTACTTGTTTTGTCGTCATCAAAGGCGGCACACATTGACTCTGGACCTCTCTCGAGTCAGAGGGACTCGACCATTATGGGGTCCGATCTTTACTATAACGGATCGACTTCTTTGTCTGTTCCCAACTCTTATAAGCTTAATTGTCAAAATGTCTGCATCTAGTCCTATTTGGTGAACTTGAATGTTTATCGTGCAGAGGCTCATGTCGACTACTTAGGCTTCAAGGGTCCCTCAGTCGAGTGTTCATTACCCAGTGTGTCTCATCATACAGTCAATCGATACAATGAAATCGGCACAACAACCGGCTGCAGCCCCAAACAACGCATATTGGGCGTTGAACTGCACACGAAGTTATGTTGGGATCTGTGCTGTCGTAGTGATGTTGATGATGTCTACTATGGTTTGGAGACAGACAGACTTTGTAGTCGTTCGACTTCACGCCCTTGAACCGCAGCCGCAACTCACTATAGCAACACCAGTCCCTGAGGAATCCAAACCACCCAAGACCTCTGTAACACTTCCACGTTTCTGGTCAGCTAATGGAGAGAACATGGACGATCTAACTCATTGGGAGAAGCCCAAGGGTATTGAAAAGATCATGGGACTCGTCTTTTACGGACGGCGGCAATCTGTCTCAATTTTAGATTGCTATCTCAAGGTAGGTTCAATCTCACCAACGCATGTCTACAGGAACTGATATCGATAGCGAAATCTTGTCAAGAATGGGGGCTTACTTGATGGGGTTATATTCGTGGAACGAACTAAAGACCCTCAGGATCTGGCTCTCTTACAAAAGCTCCTAGAGAGTGAAGACACGTACCAAAAGTGGCAAGTTGAGATGTCCGACGAAGATAACTTCTCTAGTGGGTTCGGCAATTCTTACGACCGAGTTGAAGACGATGTGATGTATGTCAAGATTGACGACGACATTGTGAGTTCAAGTTGACTTAATTCTGCGCGAGGTGTACTAATGCATGAAGGTTTTTGTGGAAGACAGTGTTATTCCCTCTATTGTCAAGAAAAAGATTGATCATCCCGAGTACTATATTGTCTCGGCAAATGTCGTCAATCAACCGCTACTAAGCTGGGTTCATTGGAATCTAGGAGCTATAAGACCTTATCTTCCAGAGGTTGACACTTCAGGCAAGGCTGTGCCTTTCGCCACGTCTGGTCCGTTGAAGGAGGAATGGAGCTCGTTGCATCTTCCCCTGTGGAACGGACCCGAGTCCTTCTTCATTCAAGAATGGGACCCTGAAGGTATCAAGCACCGCTGGTTGCCACTCGACCAGGGTGGCGAGGATCATATACTTGACACAACTCCCATTGAAGCCACCGAGTACGACCCCATGGGCCGCGGCTGGACCGAGTGGACAATCGGTGCACAAGAACACTTTAGCTTTTTTGAGAATCTTGGGAAGAACAAGCTATCCGCTTACAAGTTCGACACATGGGACTTTCAGTACGAGAGAATGGGCATCCAATTCGTTGCTTTGTTGGGCCGAGATATCAATCGTGCCAAGCCGATCGAAGCAGATGATGAGAATCATTTTTCATGCAACATGCCACGGATGCTTGGAAGACGTAAGTAGACACTGTAAAAGAGAGCCGGATACTTCTGACGATGTTTATAGATGCCGTAGCCGATGGACAAGGTGTTGTTGCTCATTACAGCTTCGGAAGTCAGCGCGCCGGTATGGATCAAACCGATGTCCTCGATCGATACAGATCTTTTGCGAGCAATCATATATGTGCTGAACCTATCCTATGGACACCGGAGGAGGGCTGAACCTCATCAAATCCATCGTTTGTTTTTCTTTTGTACATAACTGTAGATGAAGGACAGGCGTCAGAAGCCTAGCAGGCGAAATACATTCACTGGAAACATCTGTAAGGCGTGGGGTTTAGGGTGATACATAATCAAAAGATAGGTCCATACAATCAATCAGCATACCTAGACATGCACAGATCAAGGGAAACAACGATGTAGAGAAGAAGAGGTAATATAAAGCTTATAGAAAACCTATTGACGATTGAGAATTTTTTTTTTTCGTTTCTGGTTTTAATTTCGTCGAGGTGCCATCCACCGTTATCACATCAGAACACGCTTGCTAAAAAATAATACAGTCAAAGATCGCAGAGTCTAGCTGAAGCCAAAGAACCAAGTCGAGCATACCCAAATCGGTAAAGACTACGCGAGATTGACTCATGCAGCCGTCTTGGAGGGGTAGTCAGTGATCGACTCATGTCGGACAATAGCAGTCTCCTTCTCGACCTGGGCGAGATCGATGTGGGCAACAGCATCATCACCATCAAAGATACGGGCAATCTCCTCAAGGGTAGGGCCCTTGGTCTCGATGTAGAAGTACCAAACGAAGATAAGCTCACAGAAATCCCAGAGGGTGTAAAAGAGCATGAAGTTCCAGTGGTTAGGGAAGTTGTTCCAGGCAAGCTTGTTGGTCTGGTTTCCAATGGCGAGGATGGCCTGGACGGTGATGTTCATGATCATCATGCCCTTGGCACGGAGGTGGAAAGGAAGAACCTCGAGGGCATAAGCGACAAGGAGACCAGAGAAACCAATATCGTAGAAGATTCCGAAGATCCAAACAGCGGCGATCTGAGCATAACCGGCGCCTGTGTTAGAATATGCGACACCACCGTCAGGCTCAGCTTCCGTGGCAGGAGTAGCGTATTCCGAGTTCTCGTAGACACCACCAGTGATGGTCCAGAGGAAGAAACCGAAAACCATACCAGAGATAGCAGTAAGGAAGAGAGGGCGACGTCCGACCTTATCCACAGTGAAGGCAGCACCAATGGAGATGATCAAATCGAGAATTGTCTTGCCAGCGGACAGCTAAAGGGAAAAGATTAGTCAGTAAAGAAATGATTGGGTGCCTCCATAAATAGACTTACAGCAAGCTTCTGGCCCTGTTTCTTGATGCCAGCACCTTCATAGATGATATCCATGTAATTGGAGAAGATAGCGTTTCCGGAATATTGAGAGATGATACCAAGGGAAATGATAATGGCAAGACGCCACCTGTTACCCCGGGTCTTGAAAAAATCGACGTAGCGAGCAGACTTGGTAGAGTTATCGGCCGAGATGGTTTCCTTGATCTCACGGTACTGGAACTGAACAGTGGCGTCGTTCTCGTCACCACCAGCATGATGCTTAGCCAAAACAGCGAGAGCCTCCTCGGGTCTGTCCTTGTTGATGAGGAATCGAGGTGACTCAGGAACCCACCAGATACCACAAAGCTGGATGATGGAGGGAACTGCTTGAATAAAAGTGATGGATCGCCATGACCAGTCACCGTTGATGGATGCAGTACCCCAACCAACAACGGAAACGACTGTGATTTGTTAGCGATTGCTATAACTGTTAGATGAAAGGCCACTTACTTAGAGAACCCAAGTTCCAGAGACAATTGTAGACAGCAGTAAGAGGACCACGGTGCTGAGGGTGGCAAATCTCGGTAAGAAGCATAGGGGAGGACATCTGAGCCAGAGAGTTACCGAAACCAAGGATGAATCGACCACCCATGTACACTAAAATCTTGTCAGTATAGATTTAGGACACATGCGAGTGCTTTGAAACTTACTGCCATAACCATTGCAAAAAGCAGAGACGAAAGCACCAACAATCATGATGACACAGCCAGTCATGATAGTAGGCTTGCGGCCCCAATTATCAGCTAGATAGGGGACAATAAAGAAAGAGATAATGGAACCAATGTTGTACATGTTGATGAGGATTCCAAGCTTGCTTTCGTTGGTGTGCTCGGGGAAGTACTCCTTCCACCTGTCCATCTGCTGGGAAGTGTTGACCATCATACCATCATACCCAGTGGTAGCCGAGGCAATCAGCAGGAAGATGATGAGAAAGTAGAGATTGCGAAGATGAGGCTCCTTGTACCAAGTGACCTTTGCGAATCTGGGAGCCTCAGCCTGGGCAACCTCGAGAGAGACCCGATTAGTATGGACAGCGGCCTTGGAGCCGATAGGCTGTAGGAACTTTGGCAGAGCCATTGCGAGATGAGAACAATCGATCAACGGCGTAAGTGAGTTGACGCTGTATTGGCCCAACGCGTGGAGTAATGATTCGTCTCGTAAGGAGAGATGAATTAGTGAAGAACAGAAAACCCAGTGTCACCCGGGATTGCACTACTACTTATAAAGATGGCAGCTGGAGTAGGTAGAAGCAGTAACTACCCTGACCAACCGACCCCAGATTAATTAAAAGCTCCTCAGTATGGAACACAAGGCACCGGGAACCCATGGTCAAAGGGTATTGAGTATGCACCAACACAGCGAGGTGGATCCTTGAGCCGGGGATGGTGTTAGTAGGATCACTCGCGACGGAAAGACGGCTAAACAACTTAAACAGCCTCGTTTAGGCCTTGAGTGGCACATTGAATGCTACCCATCGAAACCTGGGGTAACCTGACTTGAGGAGGTAAAAGTGCACGGTGGGTAGGTTCGGTAGGTCACGTTCAGATATTGTATTGTGGTCCGGGGAAGTCAACCCAAGATGGAGCTATTGAGCGATTCGCACTGCACCATCAGCGGGCCGGGCAGGAATACTAATCTTTACCCAATGACAATAGATTGTCACTTCCCCAGCTATATTCAACGCAACTACCAGCAATCTCGACCCAAATTATGGCTAGAATTCATAATGCTGGGCCGCAGGGTGGCCAATATCGTCCTGTACGTGCCGCTCGTCTGGAACAATTGATCTCCAGTACAACTGATGAGGTGGTCTGATTGACAGGGAAGAGGACACCAAGGGAAAGTACCCTTTCCAACGTTTCAATAACCGTTACTTCAGCAGACGCAGGAAGGCCCTTGACAAAGGCGATCGAGGTGGTAACCGAAACTGATGAGGTTGGACCCGCTTGACGACTTAGACACGAGTTTTTAGCGTACGCCACCCACGATGTTGCTCTGTTTTGCTTATTCGAACGACATAGATATCATGCGCAATACTGCCAGGTGTTACGGTTGCGTCAAGAGTAGAGAGCTCTAATTAGTAGCAACAGGCGAGTGATTCTGGTGCTCAGGATTATGCTGAGCTGTATTGCACTGTGCCCAAGTCAGCTGTGATACCCCTGATTCCCAATCTGGCCAACAAGACACAGGTCTAGATTAATTGATGTGACTTTTAATACCCCATGGCCAATATGTGCTGATTATCCCTGTAGTCTATTGCAACCGGAAAAATAGGAATGGTATTATCCGCCAAGCAGGGTTGACATCAACCAGCCCTTGTGCTTAAAACGTGGAGGGTTCTGGGGCCAGACCGGGGAAAGGACCTGGGGTAAACGAATCCCGGAACGAAAACAACAACAAAGCATGTGTCTCTTAACCTAAGTCGGTTTCACCATTTACCCTCCATGCTGCGATCTCATAGGGAGGTTTCAGGGATTGTCCAATAAGATTCTACCATAATTACCTCTGGGAGGAAGAGGCGGGACTAAAAACGCCTCTTTCCGGATCTCAGGGCCGATAGAGGGAATCACGCGGCTCTCGTTTGACATGATCAATTTCGCATAACAACTTGAGCTGCGAATCAAACGATATTCGCGATTGTCGGTAGACGCCGGCTGTTGATGCGGTCCAAGGAACCCAGTGTCTTGGTAACTCTGGAGAAGATGCCCAGAATAATTGAGGGAATCAATCAGATCCCGGCCGTGTTCTGTAACGGGGAAGCGAAGGTTCTTGGTACTTGGCAGACCCATAGGATCTTCAGTTACTAGGTCAGAACGAGATTTTCGGTTATCGACAGGACGGGCCAAGGGAAAACGGGTCTCCATATTGATGGTCCCGAAGATGCATTGTGCCATAACCGGATAAAGCGGCGAGTATGGTAAGGGATCGTTTCGTGGTAGAGATCTCGACTGATACAAGCAAGAGAGACGTTAGATTGAACAATAATAGAACTCCCTAGAATGGCGCACCGCTTACGCGGGATGGATGCCGAGAGACACTTGCCGTGGTCGGCGATTATTTGCTGACAATGTCTCTGACTTGTCACCGCCTGGCGCCATCTGTACATTTTGAGTGCATCTCATATGACTAGACCGGGCTAGGCAGTACAGCCGTTGTAACCTCAATCTAAAAGGTTAAATAAAAGGTGCACACCATCATCGAGAAGCTATGCGAAATACCCGAGAGGAGAGTTAGAAGAAAGATGGATGCAAGAGACAACCTTTAAGAAGTCCAAGTTCATGATAGGAAATAGCCTAAAAAGAGGAGAGAGAAAGGGCAAGCTGAAAGAGAGAAAGCGGACCAAGAAGTAAGCAAGCTCCATAGAATAGAGTAAAATTTAGAGTCGAGATGGAGAAGGAACGACCCTTCCTCCTTCCACACAACCTGTAATGGGTAGTCCCCGCCTTCTTTGCCATGAGGCAAGAGACACCTGCGTTAGCCTACCTCTTAGCTTTTGAGGTCTTACACCCTTTAAACGCAGTTCCAAGACACCATCCTTTGATTCCTTCAGTCGTTTCGTCATCTGCGGCCGGCAATTTCACGTTGTTACAATGATCAGTTTACTTGTTGGTTAGGACGTCTAGACCAATCGCATCAATTTAGCCTGCTGCTGTCTACCCATCAATAACTTCCCGGATATTGAGATTCCGGGGCAATGAATGTAGTTCGTATTTGTTCTGGTAGGTTGCTCGCATTTGATTCGCCCCCGTTGTAATGAGCAAGAGTTTTGCAAACTTCATGTCTTAAAGCAGATGTTATTTTCTTGATACACGGCTTTCATTGACGGCAATTTGTTCCAAATAACCGGCTGAAGTGAAATCACCGAGCTCTCTCAATTGGCTTCCCCTAACAGTAGTGAACTAATTAGGTTGACATGAACGTGCCGTTGGTTCATACGCTTCCAAACTCCAGAGCAACCATCCACTCGACAATCAATACTTTTCCCTCCATACCAGGCAACATAATAAAGAAAACAATAACAATCACGACACGACCCTTTCCTAAATAAAACATCTCGCCAACATGTGTCGTAGCATATAACATCAGCAGCAAGTTTGACAATTTTTCCGTAAAATCATGTCAAAGAACCCTTCACATAACAACAGAAACTTTCAGACCTCCTCGGCTGGATCAAGAGCACCGCTCATAAGGGGGAGATCAGCCATGTTGTGGTCGTCAAGGTCCTCTTCCGAAATAGTGCTGCTTCCAGCTCCGCGTTCCAACTCTTCGATGCTGTCCAGTGCCCTGGCGAACTTTTCGCGTTCTCCCCTAAGCACACCTCGCTTTGCTGCTGTGTTCGGGTCTTCCTCCATAAGCCTCTCGTAGACACTCTGGGAGTCAGCCCCACAAAGACCAAGTTTTCGGTCGAGATGATAAGGAAGTTGCCGCTGTATATGCGGTATCATACCATTTGTGATATGTAACGCTATCGCGTCCGCGAACCTCAACGCTGCAAGGCGGTAGTACCCTCTAACGTAAGCTACAACCTCCAGCTCTCGCTCGAAGGAATCAGGTCCAAGCTTGATCAATTCGTTTTCGCGTCGCTTCTCATCAAGCACCCGCTTCTCCTCCGTGAGACTCTCCCAGGGAACAGGAGGTCGACCATCTCCATAACCCGCAGCCTGCATGCGCATTTGGTGGCGGTATCTCGTCAGCAAGATTTGCTCGTCCTTCTGGTATCTGCGGAAAGCTTCCTGGTTGACAGTAAACAGGCCATATGTTTCTAGCCGATAAACAACGTCAAGAGCCCCAATAGTCTCGCGGCGGCGGTCTTCGAGATAGTCTGCTAAAATCTTTTGACACTCCTGATAAATCAATCGTTTGTTTAGCCGGGCAAACGATGCAGCAAGGGCTTTCTCAAGCATAGTGTGCAGCAGACTCATAACATGCTCGAGGAACGCTTTCATTGGCCCTGACCAAGGCTCGATTGCTTCACGACACATGTCGTTGTATACCTCTTCTGTGATAATGTCTGGAACACCAGCTCTAGTTTTGGCCTTGATCTCATCTCGCACTTGGCGAAGTGTTCTGAACCCTCTCCCAACATTACTGAAAGGTGTAAAAGGGGGTGGGAATCCTTGCCGGCGCGGGGCTGGGGAGACGGAACCTGCACTGGCCCTACTATCCTCAGGCTTCAGCTGCGGACGGGAGGGGGTGCCTGCAGGAGCCTGTTCCATACGCATACGTTTTGAAGGTGTGATAGGAGGTGCCATAGCTCGTCGTTTGCTGGGCGTATTGGGATTTGTGACTGTGACTACCGATCCTGTATCTGACTCATCGTCAGAGATGTCGACGACAGGTATGTCACTACTATCTTTGAGTGTAAACTTTGGTTTCATGTCTAGAAGACAGTCACGAAAGTTTTCAGGTAGCGGCACGAAGTACTTCGAGAATTCGGAAGGCTTCAACTGTGATCGGGCTAATTCACCAAACTCCATCACGCTGGTCTGGACTTCCAGCTCGACATTGGAAGGCAACTCTGGCAGCTTGCTAAGTTGTTCGACAATGTTACTTAGGTGTTGCTTGAGTGTTTGCTTAATTCGAGGTAGACTTTTTGCTATATGTTAACTTGTTACTTAGTAAACATGCAGTACTAAACACACCTTTTTGCGAATTCTTGACCGAGCTTTTCGGATAAGAATGCTTTTAACTTCTCAACTCCACAGCGATCGGAGAAGTCGTGAAAGGTGGCAGGCCATCGCTCCATAGAGTGTTCAACGAAAACTACCTCTTCCCATTGTTTGAGTTCATCCAGGTCTTTCCCTTGAGGCCGGGAAGTTATAAAGTAGCCTAAGCCAGTGATGTGAGCCTGTCCTCTCATGATGGCGAGCCACTGTTCATGGTTGCCACCCTCTGGGATCAGGTCGGCCTTTGTTAATACACCGATTGTTCGGTTAAGAGCACCCAGTCTGCGAACTAAACCAAAGGTTGATGAGTTTTCGGCGTCGCTATTCATAGGCATAGAACACATGATGATGGCAGAGGGGTGTTGAATGTACTCCCTGGACAGATTTCTCACAACACTGACCAAATAATCGTCACTCGCATCGGCAGGGTTCTGGAAAATCCCGGGCATGTCGTAGAAGGACAGGTCAGGGAGCTCAGGTCCCTTGATTTCAAGAGCAACAATATTGGGCGAAAACTTGGCCGCAACAGTTTCAGATGCCGCTTCGATGGGAGTGTTGACAGCGATGGAGCCAGAGCCTGGAACGAACAGCTCGGGACTCTTGTCGTCGTTGAGAATGGCAATTTGCGCCCAACGAAGAACATCCTCGATTTCGCCATGATCAACCATGGTCTTGAACTCATGGATGACAGTCGATTGCTTGCGCCATGGGAAGAAGGGGTCGTTGTTGGTGACATCACTCTCAGAGATTCGACCACTAGGCGGGGGCCGATAAGAATATTCCTTGCGTAGCCATACCCGACAAGATGGGTCATGGCTTCTTGAGACTCGGATGTGAAGGGGGCAGCGTGTGCAAGTACCCTCACTTCGTGGAAGCTCTAGGTTGGCGAGACCTGACATGAGACTGGATTTGCCGGCAGACTGATCGCCGACGAGCACGAGTTCAGGGAGTGGAACATCGTGAGATACGCCCAGCTGTTGGAGTTCACCCAGCGTATCGTTGCAGGCTTTGAGTTTCTTTCCGATGTCCTGGAAAGAAGTTTGAAAGAAGCTTCCATCAGCCGGGATGCTGGTTGGGCTCTCAGCCGCAGCGATAGGTCGCATCCTTAGTTCCCTAAGGAGAGGCTCAGGCTCAGTGGTGCGTTCACTTGGAGTCGCTTCGGGGATATGGTTAGCATATACCGATTGTGAGTAGAGACGAGATACCTACGAGCATCCGATCTACCATGCCTGTAAAACGCCTGGTCAGGAGGAATGTGGTTTGTGCTACCGCCGTAGCTCGACGCAGCTGAAGGAGCAGGAGGGTCGCCAAAATTGGAGGCTACTGATTCTGGGTAAGAGTTGTTGACAGAAGAATCGGGATCTGGTTTGATAAAGTGGTTGTGACTCCGAGGTCCTCGACGCCTTGTTGGGTGGTGCATTGTGCTGGAAGAATGATTGTGGTTGGTGCGCGAAGACATTATCGCAGTGATGGACAGCTGTCGTACAATATAAAAATTTATAGCGCCGTATAAACAAACATAGAAAAAAATTGAAGTGGAATGGACAAATGAATGAGTGGATGCCTGTTTCTTAGGGGAATGAATAGGTCTGTAGATGTGTTTACTTTTAAGTTGGTTAATAAATGGTGAAAGAGTCGACTCCTAGAAATGAGTGAAATGGAACAGATATTATGAGAAAAATGATGTATAATCAATATGAAATGAGTGATGAAGTCAATGATACTAACAGATGAGAAGTGGTATCACAACATGTCAATACAAAGACAAAGACTGAAAAGAAGTTGAATTGAGGATACTCCAGATATGTTGCAATGCTGCGCGACGATTGGCGGTTGGCTGCCTGGGACGTGCTTGCTTCTTTCAGTACTGACGCTACCGTTGCTCTGGGGCAACACGCTGTTTCGATAACGGTTGATAGAGCGTGTGGGGTTCGATCAATATTCTAAGTGTCAAAGATTTTTCTATTAATGTTAAAATTATACGGGAGTATCTACACATAGTTAGAAACTATTTGAGTTTCTTCTTAGTATCTCTTGACGGCATCTTGGATGTTGTCTTCGCGACTGTTCTTGCCCGTCCTAACAACATTTAATGCTGGGTGGAGTTATTCCCATGAAGCCCCTGCTACTACAGACAAAATAGGAGGTCGGGCTACACCTCAGGCAACATTTGTTGTAGTTCTCCTGAACGTCACTTTAAACGTCTCCACAATGGCATAGACACACCAATTGATCCGTTCCACCCACTCTATCTTAGCTTATTGACAAGTGACGTGCCCTGGAACGATACCTGGGACCTTGTTAACTTGGTCAGATTCGCTATCAGAATGTGATTGATGTACAATCAACCTCTTCAACAAATCACAACGTTATAGGCGAGAAAGTCAATGTCTTATACTTAGACGAACTCTTGGTAAACATTACAAGTTGCATATCAGTATTTACTCTACCACAAACTACTAAGATCTTATTATAAGCGGTTGATCTTGAAAACATAGGGCTGCTTGTCGACAATGTAATCAATTACGTTACTTGACGCAATGAGTAGATCTCACTTCTGCATAACTTTGTGTAAAGAATAACAGCCGTTCCCAGATAGGTATTGGGCACTTTCACATTTAAGACTAAACTCTGGAGATTTATAAACAGTTATATTACTTCATAAGCTTTGTAAAGAAAGGTGCGACTGTGGAAAGCCAAACTAATGTTGCCCTGAAGGAATGATGAACGCCAAATGATGAGAGAGAAGAGCCAGATTACTAATAAAAAAATATATCAGCCATATACTGAGGTAATTCGGCTGATAGAATATCATGGAAGAAGCTGTGAGGTTGTAATAAGGTCGTGGCAACATATCTTGGCCATATCCGTCAATTGGCTGACGCTATAAATCAAGATGAATGTTCGGCTTGAGATCCGACCAAATTACAGGGAAAGGGCGACTTAAAACACAAATAAATAAAGTGGCAAGCTGACAGCAGCTGTCTATTTGTTCATTTTAATCCCGAAGTAAGACTACAAACTCCGAAGGTTTCCCTTGCAGCTCAGGCATAATCGAACCCTGCAACAACATCTTCAGCCGTTGCAATGGGGATTCTTAGTGCTGACTGCCCCCAGATATTTGCCTGTTTAGTCATGGCCATCAGCCTACATATCTGCCTTGCCTTGGTTTTATAGTGGAATAGCAATCATATTTAATGATTGAATCTCCGCTTTGTCTCAATTCTGGCTGGCTAGGCCGATAGCCATATACCAGCATCACTCAACAAAATCCATCGAGATGGCCTCACAAACTCCCAAGACACCATCATCTGGCGTCTCAGAGAACACTCAGAGAACACCACACCCCGCGGTCTCTGGGCGTCAAATTGGTGTCGCCACTATTCCCTATGATCGCCCCGTGGCCCTTATGACCTCGGGCGCCCCGCTGCTGAATCCGCGCAGTTGCGTTACCTGTCGCAGGCGTCGAGTCCGATGTGACAAGACGATGCCATGCAGTAACTGTCGCCGGGCTCAAAGCGATTGTATGTACCCTGCGCCAGGCCGCGCGCCAAGGCAGATGCAGACGCACATTCAGACACATCATGCGCCAGCTCCAGGACATAGTGAGCGTGAGATGGATCTAATGGAACGCCTGCGAAAACTCGAGGGGCTCGTCTATGAAATGAGTGGTCAAGGAACTACGAGCGAAAACGACTTAGAAGCAAGCACAAACGAGTTACCAAAGCCTCGAGGTACCACCAATGGCGCACAAAGCATAGTTGAAGCGACTCAAGAAAAAGTCCATAAAGATACTCAGAATCTCTGTTTCTCACAGGTCAACAAGCAACTCGGCCGCCTAGTGCTTCACGATGGAGACTCAACACCCAGATACGTCCACAGTGGCTTTTTTGTCAAACTCAACGATGAGGTACTCATCCACCTTCTCATTTCACAATATCAGCTGACATCAGTAGCTTTCTGAAATTCGTAATGAAATGGAGATATTGAGTTCCCAGGATGAGGAAGATGAATTTCAGGACGATACAACCCCTGAGCAATCGCCTCCTCAAAACTCCGGACTTGAGAACGACCATCACAGCTTTATTTTTGGTTACAACTCTTCTGATATTGATCTTCGGAGTCTTCATCCGCTCCCCGCTCAGGGCTCTTTCCTGTGGCAGATCTTCCTAGAGAACATTGAACCTCTCGTCAAGGTCCTACACATTCCTACTATGAGCAAACTCATGGCGCAAGTCAGACGTGGGGAGCATGATCTCCGTCCTGGTGATGAGGCACTCGTTTTCACCATATATTATGCGGCTGTAGTTTCCTCGGAGAAACAAGAAGTAAGCCTATGTTTTGTGTGTATAACATGACCACTTCTGACACATTTCAGATCGAAACCAATCTTGGTGGTTCTCAATCTCACTTCATCTCTCAATTCCGCTTTGCACTTGAACAAGCCTTAGCCAAATCTAACCTTCTCAATACTACCAGCATGGCCGTGTTGCAAGCCTTTGTCATCTACCTAACCGTAGTCAAGTGCCATGATGACAGTAAGTTCTGCTGGACACTTACAAGCCTCTGCGTCCGAATGGCTCAAGCGCTCGGCCTCTATCGCGACGGCCAACAATTAGGCCTACCGCCATTCGAGGTCGAGATGCGTCGTCGTCTCTGGTGGGCAATCGTCGCGCTTGATATCCGCTCAGCCGAAGAGATGGGCTCCGATCTTATCATAAGCGACAAGACCTACGACACTCAGCTTCCTTCCAATATTAACGACACTGATATTGATCCGTCTTTTATCGAAATGCCTACTCCACGCCAAGGTCGTACGGACTCGTCCATATGTCTAACACGATATGAGGGGACTGCTCTAGTCCGTGGACTGTTCGCAGCTGTGGCTCGTATGCAACCTGTTGATCCTAAAAACGTTGAGAAAAGCCTCGAAGAGCGTGAGCATATGCTTGTTGAAGTCTACGAGCGCATGGAAGATAAGTTTCTTAAGCATACCATCAGGGAAGACGATCCCGTTTTCTGGGTTGCTTCTCTCATTTCGAGGATCATGATGGCCAAGGTCGGACTCCTCGTCTATCAACCCGTTTTATTTCCAGGAACTGGCCCCGAGGCATCGATGGAGATCCGTGGTCGGTTGTGGCAGTCATGTATTGAGATCGTTGAGTACACTCATATTCTTAATGTCGACCCAGCCTGTAAGCAGTGGCGCTGGTTGTTTCTGACTTACCGACAATGGCACGCCATCGCCTATATGCTCCTTGAACTCTCCAAGCGACCATGGGGCATCAACTCAGAGCGTGCATGGGAAGCAGCGCAGATCTTGGAATATGACCACCCGATCGAAGGCGCAAGTCACTCCGATCACACAGCGGTATGGATGCCCCTCAAGAGGCTCTTTACTAAAGCCAAACGCCATCGTGAAGCAGAACTTGTGCGCCTTCGCGCCAATCCGGAGGCTGCCAGGCAACTTGATCGAGAGGATAAGCTAAAACCTGTGCTTGAACGCATTGGTCCTGCTCCTGGGATGGAGAAACGCCTTTCAGAGCTGAGACTCCGTTGGAGAAGAGCCTTTCGATTGGGGGCCTTTTCTGATGATGTCCAATATCAGAATATTCTGCCGCACCCAAAGCATAGCTCTACGTCCAGTGCACCTGCAAATACTGTGCCTCCAAACTTACAGCAACCACCACCAGATCCTACACAGTTGGTAAATCCGCTTAGCTTTGATCCCAATACGTGGCAGCATTTACAAGCCGGAAACCCCGGCATAGAAATCTATTTCGAAGGAGGTAACTCAGACACACAGAACTTGGGTGGTCTGTACGCGGGTGGGAATAGCTTGGGGAGCATGTCGAGCATCGCCTCACCCGCCGTGTCTGGAGTAGCCTCTACGCATCTAGCCGATAATGACCATCAAGCAATTGGGGGCAATCTTTCACCTTGGCCTAGCTCAGATGTCTTCCATCACGCACAAGACCCAGGTTCTTTGGGAGACATGGATAACATTTTCCAAACCAACAATCTACCATCTACAGGCCTTGACTTGAACATGGATCCTGGCGAGATTGACGATATCGATTGGAAGAACTGGGACGAGGCACTCCGGAATCTTAACAGGCCGGCTATTGTCCAAGCAGGAGCCGCCGGACAAGGAAGCTGGGGAGGGATGTGAGATTTGGTCATATCAATTTGACTTATGAAGCAACACAATGATATACGAAACTTAGTAATTCAGACGAGTTTTTCTGCCTGGTATGGCAAGCTTATATCGGCACGAGAGATTTTAGGGAACCAGCAATGCCTTTGTATTTATTTAAATAATCAACAGTGTAACGCCATGTACACTTAAGTATATAGAACGGTATCGTTCAGAGGACTTTGAAAGTCGTTCAGGACAACAATTTCAACTTGGTACTAAGCTTGGACTTTCCATAGAGCATGTCCATCTTCTGCTTTCCTCTCCAAACTCAAGTATATCCTCCTTTCCCTCTCCCCTCTTCCCATCCGTAGGTACTAACATACCAACAGATATGTCATCTCCTTTTCGCGGCCTGACTTCAACACAACATAGGTACGGTTAGCAACAGACTAGCAACGTTGAGGCTTCATTGGCAGTTTATACCTCTCTACCAGGGTACCGCCAGGCCATTGCTCTCCTCACCATCATCTAGTATGGTGCAACCCTTTAGAGGAATTGCCTTTTTACTGCGAGTTTTTTCTACTTTATTTTGTACAGAAAATACTTTTATAAAACATATTTACAAAGCCCTCAGACATCGAAGCAAGCCTCCAAACTTGCCCTCAAGTTGCTAAATAAGCCCCGTTGGCTCAGTGGTAAAGCGTATCACTAGTAATGATAAGATCACTGGTTCGATTCCAGTACGGGGCAAGCAATATACCCTTTTGACCTTTTTGCTAATTCTTAGAGGCAGTTCTAATATTCTAGTTGCAACAAGAGATATCCTGGGCCAAGATTAGTTCTATTTGGTTGAAGGCGCTTTGTTCTTCTTGACGTTTCATGTTGCGAATGCCCTCGTTATAAGGGTCCGAGGTACAAGGGTCCGTATATGGTTCTTCGCATTATAAACCTCCCCGCTTCTCTCTTTTGACCTGTTATCTCTACCTTCACCGACCAGCCATTAGAAGGGAAGATGGTGCCTAAGATTCCTACGATTGTAGAAATACGAGCATCCACTGTAGTGCTTAGCACCCCTGATGCCTCGGCTACCGTTGTGAGAGTTGGCGAAAACCTCGCAGTCAAGTTGGGTCGTACCGTTACTCTTCTAGAAGCTGATAACCTCCGATTCCTGTCAACGAACAGCAAAGTTCCTGTACCAGAAGTATACGCAACGATGGTGGAGCCAGAGACTAATAGCAAATTCATCGTCATGGAGTACATCGATGCCAAGATCCTGGCAGATCTCTGGCCGTGCCTTGAAGCTCCTGATAAGCTAGAAATTGTCGGCCAAATTCGTGCCATTCTACAGGACTTGCGCAGCCTTAAGCCGCCCTCTTATTTTGGTTCTCTTGATCGACGGCCCCTTGAGGATGGATGCTTTTGGACTCCAGGACGGAACCCAGCCATGTCCGGTCCCTTTGATACGGAGGACGACCTCAACGAAGGGATGCTCAAGAAGATGGCGGGAACTCAGCACCAGAAATATCTCGCATTCCTACGAACAGTCATGTCATGGCAGCGATATTGCGCGATCATCAAGTCAAATTCACTCACGGGGATCTGCAAGCTAAAAATATTCTTGTGAGAAGGGTTGGGTCTGATGGATCTAGAAAAATTGAGATCACGCTTATAGACTAGGAGATCTCAGGGTGGTATCCTGTTTATTGGGAGTTTTGCAGGTCAACGATTGCTGGCGGACATCGACCTGAATGGTTCGAGATGGCACAGAGTGTCATGAAGGTTTATATACCGGAGTACCTGATGATGCAGAAAATCCGCAACATTGTGTTCTGGTGAATGTTACACTATTAGCTAGTAGGTAGGTAGTTTAGGTAGCCTACAATACCTTACTAGGTTGGAAGTCACTCAAGACAGGCAATTTGACGGTGGGAGTTTCCTAACTACCTAATAAACTAGTCCATACTAGGTTCATATTAGTAAGATTGTAATATATAATCTACATAGGCATAGTAAGCATAAAGATGTCTTGATAATAAATCCAGTGAGTTGTGTTTATTCCTTCAGGTCAAGAACTACTATTAAAGATTTCAAGCCAATTACCTGTCCAATTACTAATAAGAGTGATATAACAGTACTCGGATCAATATTAAGGAGCTCTCGTAAAATTCAAACTAATATTTCAGTATCACGAGCAGGCCAAACTGCAGTTAAGCAAATCGTCACAGATGTATAACAATATTAAGGGATTTAGCATGGAGCTTATCCGTCAATTTGTATCAATTCATGTTGCAATTTGATAGGCTAGCTTTAACATAAAATCAAAGATGCCTGTTTGCCTGCTCCCTCGTTGCCTATCAATGCTTTGTTCCTTCGGTCGAGTATCACCGTAACTCAATGCTCGGCAATTGGCATCGTTTTAATCTACTTTGTGGGTGGCTTCATGCCTGTAGACTCGCCAGACGCATCGAGGGCCGCGGGTTTGCCTCCTCTGTAAAACCAGAAGAAAGTGGCACCGATGAGGACAGCGCCAGCACCGAGAAGCTTGTTGCTAAAAAGATAAAAGCATCAGTATATTATCCTCCTTTGAAGGTTTTTAGTTCACGCTCACTGGTCACGATTCTGCTGTGGTGGCTTGGCTTGGTAAGGTTCGGTGTCGTGGAGGATGCTCGAGGTGCGGAGACTTCGCTGAGCTGCGGGGAGAGGTCGAAAGGCGACGGTGGAACGGACGACGCGTGTAATGAGGGGAGACATTGTGGCAGTCAGAAGTACTTTTATTTGATTGAAATCGTAGCTTTCTTTGTCTGCTTGGACTCGTAGGTCTGATGGAGAATGGAAGGGAGGATGAACGGAGCTAAGTATCAAGAAGAACAACTCCACTCTACCCGAAGCTCTTGAGGAAAGAGAAAGAGGGGATGGGCTGAGATGCACTTGGCGGGGTGTATATTCACCGTCATTGATTAATGTGAGACCTCCATGATGAACATGCAGATTCTCTCAGAGGTCACATTGTGGTATTTGGAGAAAGGTTGTAAGCAGCCACAGTACCGTAAGGGACTTAGGCAGTACTTTCCCCTCCCCCGGATTTTCCCCAGACGGAAATCCAGGGTTGTAGCGGCTGTGTCGTGCCCCTGATTTGGCCCGGGCCTGGGCTTCTTTGCTCTTTGGTTGGATCAACATGTCTTGAATTTGAGGCAAAGTGAGGAGATGCAGACACAAATCGGCTGATGAGTGTTGCATTGGTTGACTAATTGCATGCATTTTTGTTGATTCATTCACCGCTTTATCCATAACAACGATGCAGTTCCGTGGCGAATGACTTTGTTTTAATTATGATATCTACCATAGCAATATTCAAAGTTGGTTCAATTCTGGATATAAAGAGGTCGAGAATGGATCCATCTCTTATCGACGAATCCACTCTCTAGCAGGGGTCTATTATTCGGCAGCTAACGACTGATGTTCCTAGGCTAATCTTGACCCCACTCATGCTTTAAAGATCCCAAGATGAAGTTCACGATGCGAAAATGACATGGTTGAAGAATCTTTCCCCAAATTCATGATAATTGGAAATATTATATATATTCCATTTATAAAACTATGCAACATCTCTGCATGCCCCGCACAGCATTGATTCCACTTGTCCACCAAAACCATAAACGTCATGGCAATCTACAATACTGGAAGCTTGTTTACTTGGGCAAGTCATTCTTTATTAATATCTACCGATCCCCTCCAATTGTAAACAATCTGTTTTATTATCAGTACGCCATTATAACTCGCCCTCACTGTATATGTTCAATTCGATTGCCTTCCGTATAATCATCTGATACTAAACCTATTGCGTTAATGAAACCCTGGTTTTTGTGCCACAGTCCATCATGTTATTCACTCAATCAAAACTTCAGAGTAATACCCGATTCGTAATGAGGAGTTCTTCTCGGTGTTTGGGACAATTTGGACCAAAGAAATGTTTCAGACAAACGATTCGAGATACTCAGTACAAGTAGGTTGGGAGTTGCCAAATCCCAATGACACATGACGATGGGTTGTTCAATAACACCAGCTGTCACAAGATCTCAAAGCTCTTAGCAAGCTCTGTGATGGACTAGGCAGACTACTGGCGGGACACATCAGCCACCACCAATTTAGGCCAATGTCCATCAAATCCAAAAATATGTCTGCAAATCATCAATCCGACATGAGTACAGGGTAAGCCCCTCACAAATTACCTGATAGGAACCCCTATTTCCCACGTGCAGAATCAGAAGAATCCACCCCCACCATAACTTACCATCAAAGCCAAAGCAATTCATAGTTTCCCTATTCGGTGACCGCCTTCAATTCTCCAAGTGTCCCCTCCACTTCAAACATCCCCCAGCAAGATCCAAAGCTCAACGCAATTCCTGACACGAGCTTCTTCTCCCTCTCTCCCCCTTCAAATTCTTTCAATTCACGCCCACACAACAATCATGTCTCTCCACGTTCCCATGGCCCATCGCTCCAGGGACCAGAGCGGTGCCACAAAGGCCGTTATCTTGGTATGGTTTCACCGTTCCCTCTAACACACTGTTGATGGTTACTAATCGCTTCAATGTACAGGTCGGCGGTCCTTCTCGAGGAACCCGTTTCCGTCCCCTGTCTCTCGACTTGCCCAAGCCTCTGTTCGAAGTTGCTGGCCACCCCATCATCTGGCACTGCCTCTCCTCCGTCGCCCGCGTTCCCAACAAGCAGATCCAAGAGGTCTACATCATCGGTTACTACGACGAGTCCGTCTTCCGCGACTTCATTAAGGACTCTGCCAGGGAGTTTCCCGACATCACCATCAAGTACCTGCGCGAGTACGAGGCTCTTGGAACTGCTGGTGGTCTCTATCACTTCCGTGACGCAATCCTCAAGGGCCGCCCCGAGCGCCTCTTTGTCCTCAACGCCGATGTCTGCTGCTCTTTCCCTCTCGATGAGATGCTCAAGCTCTTCAACGACAAGGATGCCGAGGCCGTTATTCTCGGAACACGTGTGAGCGACGAGGCTGCCACAAACTTTGGTTGCATCGTTTCCGACTCTCACACACGACGTGTTCTTCACTACGTCGAGAAGCCCGAGTCGCGCATCAGCAACCTCATCAATTGTGGTGTTTACCTCTTCTCCACCGAGGCCATCTTCCCCTCTATTCGATCCGCCATCAAGCGCCGCCTCGACCGCCCTTCTCGTCTCGTCTCGTACCCGTCTTCCGATAACCTCGAGAACAGCTACATCGCCCAAAACGACGATGACGACGATGAGGAGAAGAAGCGCGAGGTTATTCGTCTGGAGCAGGATATCCTGTCCGATATGGCCGACAGTAAGCAGTTCTACGTCTACGAGACCAAGGACTTTTGGCGCCAGATCAAGACTGCTGGCTCCGCTGTTCCCGCCAACGCTCTCTACCTTCAGAAGGCCGCACAGTCCGAATCCAGCTCGGAGCTCGCCACCCCCAGCGCCAACATCGTCCCCCCTGTTTTCATTCACCCTACCGCTCAAGTTCACCCCACTGCCAAGCTCGGCCCCAACGTGAGCATTGGACCTCGCGTCGTTGTTGGCGCTGGTGCCCGTATCAAGGAGAGTATTGTCCTTGAGGACTCTGAGATCAAGCATGACGCCTGTGTCCTCTACTCTATCATTGGCTGGGGTAGCCGCGTTGGTGCCTGGGCTCGTGTCGAGGGTACTCCTACCCCTGTTGGCAGCCACTCAACCAGCATCATCAAGAACGGTGTCAAGGTGCAGAGCATTACCATCCTGGGCAAGGACTGTGGTGTTGGCGACGAAGTCCGCGTCCAGAACTGTGTCTGCTTGCCGTACAAGGAGCTGAAGAGGGTACGTTTCCCCAAGTATCACCCACGCAAATGAGCGCTCTGCTAACAAATCTATAGGATGTTGTCAATGAAGTCATTATGTAAAGGAATTTGTCTCTACACTAGATTAGATTAGCGCAAAAAGTTTGCGATCGTTCCCGCATGCTAGGCGTCGGATATCTACAAGCTGAGGCCATCAAAACGTAATGGAGGATGTATATAGGAGTAATTTCCGGGGACTATTCAGGGAACAAATAAACATGGTCCTTTTGGACTGCTGAAGCGGGACGACTGACGCCTCACCAAGTAAGAAACACGAATCCTGCATGAGCTTTTATTTATGTCCAACCCTCTTGTCGTCATTTTGTCTCCGAGTCGGGAGCCAAGCTTCATCAGAGACATTGCTCTGTCTAGTCTTTATCTAAAATCCAAGTTCTCTAACCGGGGTATTCTTTTATGCCGTAATCTTCGAGGCAAAGGTATTCTTTCTTTCCCACCATCTAACATACCTGAGCCTGCCGATGGGGAAATGATGTATTTCTCAAATCCAGCGGTGGGCTTGTTTTTATCTATTTGGAAAATGTACCAAGGAGATTCAAGAGATATAATACTGCTGCGCAGATTTGCGTGATTCGTATCTTCGTTTGACTTCATAACTGAAATTTTGAATGCGACTGACTTCGTACTTGAGTCTATGACATGACAAGTCCAATTTACCGAATAATTAATCGTCTCTCTTAAAATTAGATCGGCTCGGCGTCCTGGGTAGCAGAGGTGTGCTTGGCCGGCTTGTAGTCAAGCCCAATGGGCTATCCATAGGGTTGAGGCTCAGACGGTTTACCGCCAGGTTGCGCGGGGTCTGAGTTGGCTCGATGGCTGGCTTTTCGAAACTATGGATCTGAATTGGCGGAGGACGCCGCATAGTACGATCAGAACCATTGTAGATCCAAGTTGACAGGAGCACGAGGAATGTACCGAAGACAAACTGCAGACTGTGTTAGTACCCTTGATTCCTGATTCGTCAAGTAGAACTTACTGTCGCTGATACTTCGAACTGGAACAGCATCATGCTGATCAGGAAGCTGATGACGATACTGATACTTGTCGCAAAGTTCTTGACAATGTTGTCAGTATCACGAATTACTACGCTTGCCAACATGCCGCCAGCAGCTTGCAATACAACAGCGCTCCACACTACCCAGTTATAGCCCTCGAAAAAACCATGCTCGCTGATGCCTTCGCCATCCTGCCAAATGACACCTCCTAGACCTGCAGCAAAGATGGAGTAGAAGCTTAGTTGGACATTGCGGATCCAGACACTGGCTTGGGTGGGGCTCTCCTTGAGGAGCTTCTCGAAATAAACGCCTGTCAAGCCCGATACTGTAGCAGCCACCAAAACCGAGACCAAGCCAACTGAGTAATTCATGAGAGGGTCCAGAGGCGGTAAATCATGGTCAATTCCTTCGTAGGTAGCAGAACGCTTGGCGAATTGATTGGTTTGGCTGTTGTCGATGGGAACATGGCCCAGCTCGTGGAGTGAACGAGGGAAGAAATGGTCCGTCATATGGCGGAGAGGAATGCTGGAAGAGCTCGGTGATGAATCGGTCTGAGGAAGGGAGACGACGCATACGCCGAGAGTGAGGATGATGAGGGCGAGCCATCGTTTAGGTCCCAAGTTTCGACGCAGCAGGACGACACTGAAGAGGGCAGTGATGAGAATCTTGGTATAGAGTCAGCACTTTTTCTTCATCTCGGATTTTGCCAAGGCTCAGCGCCAATATGCAGTGAGACGTACCTTCAGTTGATACAGCACTTGAAAGTGCACTGCATCCAAGTTTCCAATGGCAACATACTGCAGCATATTTTGAAGGGTATAAAATGCAGCAGTCAAAGCAAGCTTCCACCCATCGCCGGCAAAAACCGAATTATAGATTTGCTCGAAAAGAACTGTTGCGGGTGTCGTAGGAGCCAGGGTCTTGGAGGTATCGTATATAGCCAAGGAAAGAGAGACAGAAAGCTTGATAATCTCATTGAGAAAAACGGCAGTCGAAGTGAAGTAACGATGGTCGCCAGAGGGTGGCATAACGCGGGAATAGTGCATGATCTGGGGAACAATGTGAGCAGGCTTCCAAAGATCATGTCATGACAAAGCTCACCAAGATGAGGGCCGAGTTTTGAAAGGTCAACTAGGATAGCATGTCAGCACTTCAATATAAAGAATTGGCATCCCAACATAATCATGGTGGGACACCTAATGAGAAAGGCGTACTGTTGTCAAAGCCCATTGCTTTTTGCTTAGACCCAAGAAGACAGCCTGGCTAGCAGGCGAGTCCTTGGGGAAAGCCTCCAGAATTGCCATTGTAAATTCGAGAATGAAGACAGTCAGAGAAGACGAAGAAGAAGAAGAGGAGGGTGTTTGATAAGTATGGGAAGCGAATTGAAGTACAATGCGCTCTGAAACCACGAGATGGGTCCTTGCGACGCTGCCTAGGAGTACAATGCAATGCGACAGTAGGCGATATGCAAATGCTTTACGATGGCTCGTGTGCTAATTAACCGAATTGATGACCGGTAAATATTTTATGCTCGCTTCGACGTAATGGAGGAATAGGAAATTCATATAACCCCGGGCATCGTAATGCCGACTTGGAGTCTATATTTGCAATTGTTGTCGTTGGAAGTCTCAAGGGCCCCTCTTCGATCGCAAGCGCGTGCTGCCGCCAAGGCTCGGGAGCCAAATGTCTTGGAGAGTAAGTATCGTCAACTGCCAGGTCAACGCCGTGTGTCCGTGCTCGCTTTTCGGGTATCGAAGCCAGGATTCGCTGTGTAATATTTTGAGGAGAAGTAACGATGTAAAATGAAAGAAATGAATTTGGAGAGGAGGAGAGAAAGGGAAAAGAGGCGGGGAGCACCAACTTCAAAAAAGGAAGTCTCCGTTCTGAGTAGGTAGGATACAATAACCCTTTGAGGTAGTAAAAAGAAGCAAAGAAACACCACAGCAAGCTAATGGCCGACTAATTGACTGATGTCCTGACCCCTTGCCTTGTACTGCTCCAGTTGCCGAGCTTCACTTTGTATTTTCGTCTTAAAATAGGAGACCATGAGCATTGCTTTGCCCTACCCAGCCCAGCCCAGCCAGGTATGGTAGGAAGACATGTGGCATGGCATTGGTTTCCACTCCACTAGTAGCCAAGCTAAGCTCTGTACGGTAGCGGGGCGGGCGGGGGCTACAGAGGAAATCAGGGGCATTACCACCACTAAATGTTGGTGCCGGACCGGTGACTCCTTGTAGGATGTGTTCAGTTGTTTCTCACCTTGCAGAACAAGACTTTTATACGCCACATCCAATAACGAAGTTTTATATCAAATACGAGATACATCGACACTTTGAATAGGATGGCCGAAATTACATCTCGTCTTCAAGATAATATCTATTCTTGAAGGTTCAGCATTGACCTGGTAGTTATGCAATGACCAACCAGCAACAGCTTAAACTCACTTCATTACCCTGTTCAGCCCGGCCCCTTACTATCCCTGCCCATGTAACCCGACCCTTTTTCAGGAACAAGGAAAAAGCTTTCCAATGCGGATATCGGTGGTCGATCTTTGTTTGTCTTGGCTTTTTTCGGCATCATTACAGTCAAAACTGACCATGGCTGGTGATGGTTCTCCATCGTCTATCTCGTCTCGTTTCGATAGACTCGCAGATATATATCCACGTAGATATCGGTAAGCTTATCCACAAGGCGGTAGAAGTTTCAAGGCTCATCCCTGTCGAAATTAACGTATTTACCTATAACAGACACCTGAACCACCAAAGAGTAACCTGAGAGTAGCGATGAAGCCAAGGTTGTGAATGTGACTCCTTCTCAAGAGGGCTATACTGTTCATGGCAAGAATTCAGGTCACTTTCCGAACACATATTCCTGTTCTTATCCGTGCCAATACCAATAATTCTTCGACCCATCAAGTTCTTTCACATCTCGGATCTCCAACTGAATTCGTCTTTCCCCCCGGCTCCGATCCACAGGCGCCGATCGTCTACCAAACCCCACAGACGCCGCCCACTCCACTACGCATTGTCATTACTGGTCTTTTCATCGTGAACAGATAACCCAGCTGCTCTGTTTTGTTTTGTTTTGTTTCATACGTCATTACACAAGACATAATAAGAGGGGTTGAATGGTTTATAGCTGAGGTTTACAACTCACTGCTGTAGATGTAATCATATACCCAAATATCTACCTACCTAGCAAGGTTCGACGTCATCTGTTCAACGCTTTTGCTCCATGTCTGAGATGGTGACGTACAGCGTGCATCTCAGGCATATTCATCCTGCAGCACCACCAGCCACGTCGACATTCATGGCTCTTCCTTCTCATGTCAAACGCGCGCCGCAGGCGCCGTGAAACCTCCTAATTCCAAGTGTGACATCTGCCGTTGCCTGATGCAGGCGCCTTTTTTCTCGGGCCCAGCCATAGCCAACACAAGACATTGTCTCAGCTCTACACAAGAACACACTCGTAATACATCATTTTTCTCACTGCTTGGCCTCGCTCTCTTCTTATCTGCAGCTCCTCTTGTATTGTGAATACAATAGCATATATCATGTGCTGCATGCCTGTGCTATACTGCCTCGACGTGCGCGGCGGGGAACCCAACTAATAGCAAAAGTACGGTACGGTACACATGTTAGACCTTGATCTTTACCTGACCCTTCGTCCCGTCATGCAAGCAACTGAAATCCGTATCCCATCCAAATCCTAGATCATCAGATAATGTCTTTCGCCAAAACCAAAAAAATGAGCATCCAGCACCCCCGTTCATCCTGCCCATCCATGTATTGCCTGAAATCAATTTCGGGCTCTTGCTCTGCGCACCCACATCCTGGGCCATCAAGTCCCAGGCTTTGAGCAGCGCCGTCATAGCCTCGCAGGCATCCCCCTTCGAATTCGCACTGCCGTTCAAGTTAGAGTTGTCAAAGTTATTCATGCACTTCTCACTGTATCGGCGCTCAGTTTGAGTGTGTTCGCCGTCGTGTTGAGAGCTGAGCTGGGTTTCCTTGGTACGGAAGTTCCAGACACTCTCTTCAGACAAGGACATGCTGGCGCTCAGGCTATGCAGTTGTGCATCGCCCACTCGCCAAAACTGAAAGTCGCCTACATTATCGAGATGATCAAAGAATGCAACCTGGTTAAGGCTGCGGAAGAAAGCGAGTGATCCAATCTCGAATGAGGGGGAGAGACTGTTTCCATGAATATCAGCTAGCCAAGATGCAAAGCACTCGCTGAGCCAAGATGATCTCTCGACTTCATCCTGGGCTCCAGGAACGTGAGACGGCTTGTTTTGTAGCTCGTTAGTTGCCGAGTAGCATCGATCGCTGGGGCGGCTCTCCTAGATAACCCGCGACCTCAGCTTGTCGCTGCCCTCGTCTACCAAGTCTTCAAAACCGCCATCCAATGGGCCAGACTGCATGAGTAAGTTTGCGACGTTCTCAATAAGCCATGAGACATCGGCTTCCTTGTGGAGCAGCTCCGGATGCTTTTCAAAGAATGACTTGATTCGGGGAGATAGAGGAGACATATTGGCCTGACCAGAAGCAGCCCGGCTAGACCCGTAGGCGATGCCATTGTCTCGCATGAAACGAAAGACATCAAAATCTATGTTTTGGGCTAGCTGAGCCTGTACGAAATCAGCGCCTGGTTACCTGCCGTGTCTCTCCAACTACTTATCCGATTGTATGTATACTTACGCCTGGATCGACTTTCAAAAACCATTCATAATATTTGAGACATCGCTCTTTGGCAAAAGGAGCCGAGATCCATCGGTTCATCTGGTGGATGTTGGCGATAGTCTTGAGAGCTTCAGAGCCTTTGTCCAGGTTGGTGTCCCGAGAGACGGAATGCTGGAACGAGACAACCCATCGCGGGTCGTTCCAGTTCTCTTCGGGAATGACCTCGAAAATACAAGTGGCGTTGGTAGCATTGGTGACCGAATCCTTGAATGCTTTGGGAAGATCCTGGACACTGAAGAAGACCCAGTCGTGGAGGTAGCGGTTGTTGAACTTCTCATCAAATTCCTTGATGCTGAAAAGGGTAGCGTTGATGTCGTTGTCCTTAACCAAAGCCACCAAGGCTGCCTTGGCAGGAATATCATCAGCAGACAAAGACAGTGCAGATCCAAAGACGATGAAAGCGAAGTAAAAGAGAGCAACTGTCGCTGCCCACCAGAGAGTAGAACCAGGGGCCTTTGCCATTATGGGGATGATATGGAGTCAAGTACTCAGATGATTTGATCAAGTGTATCAGGAAATGTGTGAAGTATTAAAGGTTACAAGGATGAACAGACCAGGACGTTGGCTGACCAAATGATGAACGAGGTGGGGAAACGCAGATATCGCGAGAAGAAAGTAAGAAAGGAATGTAAGGGCACCTTAGGTACCGCGAAGAACAACGTCTCAGATGTGAGATAGGGGCTTGTGATTGTTGTCGATTCAAATGTTAAAGTAGATGGATGCAATGAATCAAAAGGATGATGAATAGGATTGGCAAAAGACAAAAGGACAAAAGGACAAAAGAGGGGCCAAACCCGACTAGCCAGTCTACCAAAGATTATCTCAGGTATTGTGTCCCCAGGCGAGAATAGGTAGGAAGATGCAAGTCGGCAGGTGATTCAATGTGCAGGTGGCAACTGCTGCGAGCAGTGTGCAATCAATACCAGTTCAGATCCACACTCGCCTAAGGTTGAGCCTCACATTATGAAAAGGCAGGCGAGGCGGCGGGTGGGAGGGACCTCCTTCAATAATCCCGACCTGCTTGCCCGGAAGAAAAGACCCGAGCCACTTCAGAAACAACAACAGCGTGGGGGTGATGATGCACTCATTTGCGTACTGACGATGCCATCATCTTTCTCCCTCGTCTGCAAATAACATCCATCCCATGTGACCCCTCCTCACGAGAAAAAAGACTTGGCTCTTTCTGTGTGACCAACAGCAAACTGGAAAGAAATAACAAAAAAGATAACGATGTGTCGAGAAATCACTTCACTCATGCAGCAATGGCATTTGCCATCAACTTCACCAATCAATACACTCTTCAGCATAGCACGGCATGGCTGTGATTGCATGCCCTCATTAACCAGGCGTTCTTTCGTATCAACCAGCACCAACAGTGATCTATGGCCCGTCCTCCAAGTTCGCACCGCTTGACTGTCCCCAATAGATAAGCCCTCAACGCCAAGTTTGTTTGTTAAACAAGAAACGATTCGCGCCTTCTCCCTCCTTCATCGAGGGGGAGGTAGTACTATAATGATACAACCCTGAAATCGACTCAAGCCTCCACGTCCATCTGCTCAACATCTACTGAGCCATCTTCTAGGCTTATGTCGAGTACCTTTGCGTATTGTAGAGTAAGTCGCTGAAGCTCTCGGTATTTACCTGACGTAGGGTTAGCTCATATGTATCAGCGGGGATGTTGTGCCCAGCACTTACCTAGAATCATCACTACATCCTTAAGCAATTCCCTACGATCCCATCCGCATAGATCGCCCTCTTTGCTGAACCAGCCATGGCCGTCATCCTCTTCTTCCTCTTCTTCATTCTCCTCAAGGATGCCCCCAAGAAGACTATTGAGGAGCTCTTCAACCTTGACCCTTGCTCCCTCAGCGCCCAATCGCTTGGCATACATGAACAGATAGAGACGGAATTCTTCCCGTGCTCCCAGTTGCAAAGCACCAGCGATTCGCGTCTCCAGATGGGCTATGCTAACGCTGCTCTCCAGGTTTTCAGCTTCCTTACGCTGCACAACCATCTTAATGATACGTTGCAACCCATAAGCCCTACCCTTAAGAAGAAACTCGTTGGTTGTGTGTCGTTCGAGGAAAGGTATGATGCCGGACGAAACGGTAGCCTTGGTAGATTCCCTGTCCTTGTCCTTGCCCTCTTTTGAAGCTGGGCCAACAGCTGTTGATTGCAGGGCAGAGATGGAAGAATCGTTCGAGTTCCAGTATTGTGAACCCACGGCCCACCAAGCTTCGCTAAGACGTTGCCACGTGAACATTTCCCGAGCGTAGTAATAGCCGTCACCGTTTGTCAGGGTCACAATAATATGACCGGTGGAGTTGAGGTGAGCAGAAGTAACACCTGGTCCAGGCGTCGCACTGTGCTGATTTAACGAGGTTGTGGCAATGTCCAGGATCGGTCCCAGTGACACTGGAGGGCTGGGGGAGGATTGAGTCTTCAAGTCCCAGACATGAGCGAGTCCAACAGCGGTGATACATAGCAGCCAATGACCGCGAGCTTCCAGGATGACAGGCTGTGACTCCAATATCATAGGGGCCAATAGCCTTCTGCCAGCAGGCGTCCAAGTATGGATGGAGCCGTCTTCGCAAGCAACAGCCCAGAAGTCTTTGGTGGCCGTCACTAGTATGATGGCTCGAGGGAGCCACTCTTCCCAGATGAGTGCGCCCCTCTTGCTCACCAAAACGTGTGAAGGATCTCTGGGGTTGGAATCGTTTTTGGCCTCGAGGATTGTGTTCTCAGGGGTTTTGGATGCATCCTCCAGCGAGCTCTCGCCCTGGAGAATTCCCCTGTCCAGAGGTCGAAGTATATGTGATCTGATCTTTGGCACAGCCAACCTGACCTGCGCGAAGGCAATAGAAGGGTTCATAACTGCAGGCCTGAGAAACTCAGGCGTTGGAACTACACCGTGCTGTACAGGCACGAGTGCCGCTGGCTCAACACCGTCGTGCCCATTAGTGAGAATAGGGGTAGGTCCTGTAGCTGCGCGTTTAGAAATCGGCTCCTCGTCCTCTTCAGCTTCGCCCGGATTAAGACGCCTCTTGTTACCAAGTAGCATAGCGGCAATGCCTCCCTTAGGCAGTCCGTCAAAGGGCTTGGCCAAATCAAGCGTTGTCTGTGGTGCATCGTTTTGCGCTGCCTTGGTGTTGCTTGTTGTTCCAACCAGTTGAGTTTGCGGCAGAGATGACGTGCCTGTCCCCGATGAAGACACCAATAAAGGTGCCACTCGCTTTTTACCGTCCTTGCCAACCGTGACTCGAGACTTGAGCTCTTTGACGCGCTGCGCTGTCTTGTCAGCCGCCTCTTCTGGCTGCTTTTCTGGCTCTTTCTCTGCTTCCTTGTCCTTTTCTGCCTCGGACTGTCCATTTGTGGCGGGTTTTGTAGTTTTGGTGCCATTCATGACGGGTGTCGACTCCTTGGTAGAATCAGGGAGATCGCCCATAAGGGCGCCCATTCTTGATTCCACAGCTCGCGACTCTCCTGCTTTGCTTTGGCTTTCTAACATGAGACCATCTACATCTTCCGCGATACCCATCCCCTTTCTTGACGCACCGTACTTCTGTAGTGCTTTGTCGTTTTCCTCGGGCTGCGCTACCCAGCCGAGTTCGCCTTCGCTGAATTTGGCTACCACAATGCTACCGTCCAGACTGGAAGCAAACAACGTTTGGCCGTCTGGAGTCCACGCCAGGTCAGATACTGACTTACCTGCCAGATCTTGGAGAATAACCACAGGCCTGGACGTATTCGTGTTCCAAATACTCAGCGTCTTGTCTTGACCGGCGGAAGCAATGACTGTCACTAGCGATGGCGTCTTATCGTCGACGCTTGGATCTGGCTTGCTCGTATGGAAAAGTCGAGGTGAAAACATGCAAACTTCTGTAGGAGCCTCGTGACCGATCAAATTGATCTCACTATCCCATCTCGTTCGCTCAATTATCGCGACAGAACTGACAGGGCCGTTTACAGCGTTTGCGGCAGCAATGTGATTCCCATCAGGAGACCATGAGCATCTTCGGAAGTAGGTAGTCAATGGGGAGCTCTTAAATGGGGAACTAATCGTGGTCTCAAGAACAAAGTTATTAACCATGTCGTGCTGAGTCGCATTAGGCGCAGGAGAGGTGAATCTGAAGATTTTGATTGTTCGGTCGTCGCTTGCCGTCGCAAAAAACTTGTTTGCAGGGTCAAAAGTGATTCCCTTGACGTGACTTTGGTGCGCTGGCAGCGTCTTGAGCTTCTCAAACGTGTGCCCTGACCACACAACGACCTTTGAATCGAGCCCAACTGAGACAAGTATGGAGGAGTCGTATGACCAAGCAAGATCTTGCACATCATTGTCGTGGCCAATTAAGCGCTTGTACGTCTTCCAATTCTCGACTGGCGGAGGCTCGTTGGTGCCAAAGGTGGCAGCGGGGGGGCTCTTGTCGAGGTGGTATACGCAGATAATCTTGTCGTCGGCTCCAGAGGCGAGGTAACGGCCGTTGGGCGAGAATCGAACGGAATGAATTGTGCCGAGATGATGGCTCATGTGGCAGAGCTGGCGCGGCTTGTTGTAGTCTGGCGTGTTGGCATTGTAGATGGATTCAGTCGACCAAACTCGCACGTGGCCATCGCCGCCTGCGGTCGCAAGACGTTTTCCGTCTGGTGAAACGTGACAGCTGTAAACTTCAAAATCCTTTTGCTCGCCGCAATGGCTCAGCCATGAAGGCTTGATGATGTGCATTATGCAAAGCCGAGCGGCATGCCCAGGGAGCAATCACGTCGGAGTTGGAGGGCGGCGGTATGTACAATCGATAATTTCTAACTTTGTTTGATACACAACAGGTCGATGCGATTGAGCTCGGTAGGTGAGGAGGTGGTGGTGGGTTTGAATAGTGCTGTTGGATAAATTGACAACTTTGATAACGTTGAGGGTTCAATTAATTTGCAGTCAACGCGCGCAGTCGCGTTTTTGGAGCCCACCTTCAAGGCCGGGGTCAACTTGGGCTCGTTTTCAGGCCAGCTAAAAGCTGACTGACTAGTACCAACAGCGGGGAGAACAAGAATGTTTGTTCAAACTCGTCTAGGCTAGAACTAGCACTAAGTTTGCTGCTTTATTTCTTGCAACCTAACAGGGGACTCCAAGGTTTCTACTGCCAGTTTTTTCCTCTTAGAACAAGCATTTAAAGATTCAAGCACCTGGCAACAAATAGACAGAGTTTCAGTGAACATCAAGCTTTCCCATAGACTAATTAGCTGCAGCTCAATGATTGGTCATGTCGGATTAACTTTAGTACGTCACAGTCCAGGTCCCCTTGCTTCCATCTCGTGTAAGTCAACTAATTCTCACCGAGTCGTCTTTGTTCAACACATTTTAATGGCACAATGCTACGATAAGACTCGTCAATCAATCACGTTCCCGGCTTCAAACAGCCTGAAATGTGGTTTACCAACGAATCGAAGCTGCCACCACAATCTAAATCACGAGACTCTCGACTGCTTCTCCATGATTCACAAGCCAATATGATTTGAGTTTCTTGTCCAATCTTCACCCCTCGCCATATGTCAAAATGTTGGACGCATGGATCGCCCTACCACTACCCTTAAAATCACACGTTTTGGACCGGTCAGAAAGGGCCTGGGAGACAAGCGCTACTATATCGCTTCTCAGATCCTTCTGTGCGGTATGTGTGCACTATAACCATAAAACTAGATGCTATATCGCTAGCACATGAAAAAAAGGCATCATGATCACCCTATTCCCATGCTTTGTAAGGGCTGGGCGCTGCCGGTTGGTGGCCGGTGCGCTTAGACAGCTACGTCAATTGTTTGTTTGGTGTTAAGGTTCTAACAATGCACACGTCCAAGTCAAAGTTCTGTTCACAGCCTTGGTCTGCTATTTGAGTTCTGACCGCTCTTCGGTGAACAATAACTAATAAGTCCAATGTAACCGGTGTTCTTCTTACTTAACCGACACACTAACATTTTCACAACTAACATCTTCAAACTCTCGAGCATATATATAAAGACGTACAGAACAGCACCATTGTTCTTTATTCTTCAGCTCTTCCTCTTGTGTTCAAAGATGCAGGTTTCTACTATAAATCATGGCCCTTTGCGGGCTCAGGTTTCGTCTGCTTGCTCAGCAGCATCATTTTTCCTATCGCTGAAAAACTATCACAACATTCAGACAGACACAGATTTTCCTTACAGAGAAGAACCACCTACAGGTTTCGACACAATCGTCAAAATGTCATCCCTCGATTCAATCTGCGTTGGCATCGAGCTGGAGTTCATGGTTGCACTGCAGATTGCAGACTCCAATGCTGTGGCTGGCGAGACTCGATGGGCCTGTCCTTCCTCTCCGGAAGCCTATATGGGCCTCGTGATGGGAGACTACACAAAGATTAAGCCCCCAGTCATTCACAAGGTATGCGACACGATCGCCAGTACCGGTGTTGCCGTCTCGTGCAACGTGTATCAGCCTGAGTCCTCAGACCCTGCCCAGCTCCCTGGTACGTCAGTTATTCCGCTCACTGATAGTAGCGGACATGTTCAAGTGTGGAATAAGGAGGCGGCTACGGACATGGCTGGACTAGTCCAAAAGACCAACACTTGGTTCGTCATTCCCGAGATCCATATTACCAAAGACTGCGTTAGTAAGTCTGGAAAGACACCCTCTGACAGATACGACTGGTTCGGAACTGAACTCAACAGTCCGATTCTCATCCGTGCTGAAGAGTTCAGCCAGGGGCTGCCTACCCTTCGTAAGTGCCTCAAAGCAGTGCAGGAGAACATGGTAGTCGGACTAAATTCTGGCTGCGGATTGCATCTCCATGTCAACGATGCTGGCAGCATGAAGCTCACCACGGCCCTGCGCGTCACTACCCTGGTTTGGTTGCTCGAGGACACTCTTCTGTATCCCTTGTGCCATCCATTCCGCTCCTCTTCCCCTTACTCAGCACGCATCAGCACAGAGTCTAAAATCGCCAGGGAAGCTGGTGAGCCTCCGTTATGGCCCGAGAATGAGATACTTATCTACGCCCTCCACGAAACCATGGTACAGCTCAGCTGGCGTAAGAAGGTCGACAAGAGCCTTCTTGGGGCCATGAAACGTTTATGGTCCGAGCCCAACCTTGCCAGTCTCGGGGTAGCACTCCGCAAGTTCGACGAAGGCATGGAGCACACAACGACCCGATGTGCGCTGGTGGTGTCCAAGTACAACACGCTCGAGTTTCGATACCCTGAGTCCACGTTTGACGTTGACTTCGTCGCTGGCTGGGCTGACTTGGTGCGACATTTGTATGCGGTTGCAATGAAGCCTCAGGCCGAGTTCAATCAGATCATCTGTCGCGTGTACGAGCTCGTGACTCGGGATCAGGTGCCCGGATGGTCAGCGATGATGGGGGCGATTGGGTTCCGGACAGACATCAGCCGCTGGCAGCGACATCTGGACGCGTACCAAGGTAACCTGAGTGATCTTGATAAGCAGGGTATTCTCCCACAGTCAGGAGTCATTGGGCTGTAATCTCGATATTTCTTTTGGCGTGTTATTTTTGGACAATACTCTTTTGGAAATCTCTATCGAGATTCAGGTTTCCGGCAAGAAAATGCAACGTTCTATTCTCCTTGGTAGATGGAATTCGGACGAAAGTGCGGACTGGCCTCAGGTAGGTAGTCAAAAAGCTTTGGGATTGGAGTTTGGGCTGTGGGTAAGTAAATGAATAGATCTCTTATGTAACTATTGGCAGCAAATCAATTGACTTGTTACGTACAAAATGAAAAAGAAAGAAAAAAATCTCGCTTTATAGTACTGTTTCCCAACTGTTGTTTACTTCGCTTGTTGAATCCTCAAATAGTGTGATTTAGTGTGTCGTATGTTGGTTCACCACGCCCTCCTCCTTCAGGGTCCAGCTTCCTCTGGACCTCCATGATCGCCTTGGCCTCATCTGTACCGCTCTTGTCGACATGATTCATCAGCTCAGCGTCAGTGTCTCTCACGGCATCTGACATGGCCTTCCAGCCATGCCAATCAACGACGTTGCGAGCGGCCATGTTCCAGGCACTCGCAGCGGCACAGACAATGTTCATCTCATACTCGAGGATGCGGCGGTATAGGTTTAAGAGGGTTTGGTGAAGGTGCGGTTGCAGGCGTTGAAAGTCGGGGAGCGATGTCCATGATGAAGGATGGAGAGCGCGATGTAGTGCCATGTAGTGGGGAATGGCGTTTGTAATATGGACAAAGCCGTAACGAATATCATCGTGCCGTAGGAGAGGATCAAGAAGCAGCTGGTTATTTAGTTAGCGCTGTTGTTTAATCGATTGGAATTGAAACCTACAGGTGTTAGAGAGCAGAAACCCGCCCATGCGATAGCGGCGCTGGGCTGGTCGTCTAATAATGAAGCTATAATCGACCTTGTCTGGATCAGATATTCTCTCGCCTCGCCGTCTCCCGAATCTGTCTGAGATACTTCCTTAACCTCACGCTCCAATCCAGACTTTGCAATCAGCATCATGATCTCAGCTCTCTTATCACCGTCCGTCGGTAATCCGTCACCGTTTCCATTGTGACCCGGCCTTAGCGAATCAGGCAATGCGTGAGATATGATACTCTCGTATGCGAGTACAAGACCAGAAGAGGTGTTGTCTCTCTTGAGCACATCGTAAGCTACATTCCAAAGCTCAAGATCGTGGGCGCGTTCATCTTCTTCGGAGGCTGAGCCACGACGGCTATTACGTTGGCTGTGTCTGCCGATGTGTGGCAGCGGACATGTTGAAGATTCTCGAGATGGGTTTGCGGTTGATGAGGGAGAGGCTGAAGAGTATTCAGGTGGTGGGGGATGCGAGTGGCGGCGGATCTTGCCGACGAGATGTTTTATTTTGCTTGCTGCATTGTGAGGAGCTGAAGGTTGAGAGGCAGTTTTCATGATGACGAGGGGGCTTTTGAAAGAGTTGATCGGTATAAGTGAGGAGGACGAGAGAAAGACGAGAAGGGGAGAACAAAAAAGAGTTTTGAAGAGGTGATGAATTTACAAAGTTACTGGCAAGCACACGAGACCAAGAACTGGATTTAATTGAAGGTCGAATGATTTCCTCGTTCTCTCTTATTTTTTCTTTTCACCTGACAATCTTTTGTTAGTTAATATCCATTCCTTCGGTACATGATGACGATGATATCAGTCAGGCATTGGAACCGGAACTGGGTCCCGCAGTTGTCAACCCCAACTAGGACATTGGCAGCTTGTCCGGATCTCGGGAATCGAGTCAAGCAACGGTGAGTTGAGTTACACCGAATAGCAGTGGTAGAAAGAAAAGAAGGGGTCCTCTGGTCAAATCTAGGCCGAAGTTCCGAGCAAATGGACACAAGCCGATGATCACCGTTCCTCCTCCATCATAATCAACAGCGGCCCTTCTTTCTTTTTAGGGGTCACATGCGCCAACCGTAATGTGTGTCAGTTTTTGTCAGGTTTTTTTCCTGTTTGTCCTTTGTCTATCGTCGCTTTTACGTGGAGCCAAGACTGGAGCCAAGAAAAGGACTCCGAGAGGTTGTATGAATGATGATCCAAAATGGGTACTGACGGGCTTAATACATGAGAGGGTCAAGTAATTCAAGAGTTATCATTAATAATCCATTTATCGATATTGGTTTATATCAACCAAGAGATTGAACCAGAGCGTGCCAAGAATAACAGTTTCTCACATGTAATAAAAGCCATTTGCCGGCCAAGATTTATTCGTGGTTACCCAGTAAAAAAAGATCCACGGAGGAATGAAGTCATATTCAACTCCCGTCGGCCAACAAAAAAAGAACCGGTCGGCAAATAGGTGAGTGGTCAATGCTTCTCGCGTCATCAAACTCCCTAGATCGGGGGCAATGAACCGCTGAGTTACGTACAGCGTAGGTGGGGTCAGAGGGGACTTCCCACTGAAGCGTCACTTTACTCCACTGTCGGGCCGGGGGATTATAGCAATTGAAAGAAATGCTGGAGAAGATGATAACCTTCATCGTGAAAGTTGCAACAAGCTATGTAACATGGAAGGTCTTTTAAACTTTGCAAGGGTGATAGTATGGGGAGAATGAGTTATGGTTGTATCAAGACCAACTACCTATCATGTCAGTTTTTGGCTTCAACTATCGTTACTGTACCCGTACCAGTACCTGGTTGGTGGTTAAACATGCAGGAATGCTGATCTCGACTGGATGCGAGGCTGTATTGAATTATGCGCAAGGGATCTGGCCAAGGCAGTGCATATGGAGCGTTTCAAAGGTGAATGTATTGGTAAAGATGGACATAGACAAGACAAGTAGACTAGTAGTTCGTTTCCAGCCAAGAAGCATCACTTTGGGCCTGTACTATGTAGAGTACACATCTCAAGTCTGCTCTGATGTAGACAGGAACCCAAACATCAGCCACTATATCCTAACGATACAAATATAGTACAGACTATTAAAGAAAGTATCGCAAATATACTATTATTTGTTTATAAATAGTCATCCATCATTTTTCATCTCTACAAGGCGCTCTGCTTTTTTCTGTTTCTTTCGTCATTTTGTGTGGCTGCATAATTACGGTATTAAACACGAAACAACCAGCCGGTCCTATTGACCTGTACAAACACCAAAAGATCCTCCGTAGTGATCATCGCAATCTAACAAAACCCGCCAAACAGCTGTGAACAGCTGCCAACTTGAACTGATGAGATGGAGACTCTGATTCCAGGACAACGTAGAAGACTGTGATTTTTTCCGGACCAGGTATTGCAAAGTACAATCCCGAAAATATATTCTCTTCCAGGAAAAAATTACTGATCATCAATATCCATAGTGATCCGTGTTTCATACTCGTCCACTCTACTTAAAACTGTCTGATCGCTCACCAACCGGCATTTCCATAGTCACCTGTTACCTACTAGGTATCTCAAATAATTCGTTTCCCGCCCTTTTCTACTTTCTCTCTTTCCGTTCAACCGCCGTTGAAACATTTCTCTCTCTTCTCTCGCCGCAGCGCGTTGCGTTTTTCTTTTCCAGTCACTCGTTTAACAATCTCGGTGTTGATCACCTGCTGGTCCGTTACACTCCTTTGAATCACTCACAATCGACTTGTGTGTTTATTCTCTACAGCAAACGGCTCTCGTCACTATTTTCCCTCCTCGGTGAAAACACTTGCGCAAATCACTATCACAACCAAAAAGAAAGAAGGAAAAAAGCAACATCCATGAAAAATGCGTTTCGTCAATTTTATCACCGTCTTTATCGGCCTCGCTGCCGCTGCGCCTGCTGTTGCACCTGCTGCTACACCTACCAAAGATGAAATGATAGCCGTCGCGACTTCAGCTCCCACCGCTTCTGGGGATCCCTTCACCTATTGGACCGCTACCTATGAATCGGTCAAGGCCTGCGATGAGGACACCTACTTCGGTCGCGAGGCCCTCAAGGACACCAAGCGTGCCAACTACCGCGACTGCGCTGCCCTTCTGTCCAGCTTCGGATCCCGCAACGGCACTTTCGTCGTCCCCCGCGCTTGTGAAGACGACAGCGAGTATGCTTTCGGAAACGGCCACGTTGATGTGGTCAAGTCTGGTTCCTGCGCGTTTTCCGTCCGTGCCGACAAGGGATTGATGGTCGGTGACGAAGATATTGTGTGGATCATGCAAAAGGCCGTTCTCGACAACGCTGATGGTATGGAGATGGCAGCTCGTGGTTCTGTCAAGTGTAATGCTGAGGATGGCAAGGCGAAAGGTGGTCTTTATTGGGAGATTCACGGGCTTGAGTCAACTGGTTATTAAACGGAGTTTTATCTTCTTCTTCCTCTTCTTCTTCGGTGGTCTTGATGATCATCCGTTCTGCTTGTGAGCTGGTTGCGGGACTGATTTGAGGATGAAATTGTTCTGAAACTGTCTTCATGACTACATGCGTTGTTTATGTACGATACCCAATTTTACATACAAAGATTGGCAATCAAAGAAATTGCCACTATCAAGTACATGAAATACTTTTACTTCATCTGATCTTTCATCGTCTATCATCGTGCCCCATCTCGTGTAAGCATATCAAATAATACTGAGCTCATCACCAGCAAGATTTGCATCACAAGTTAGTTATATTACCTATTCGGACTATTTAAAATGTCACTGCGAGCACTTATGAATCTAAAATCACTGTACATATTAACATGGTTCACCTTAAAAATAATCAATTTATCGCAGTCTCATGTACATAAAGCTGAGCTTGGGTATATCCTTAACCCTCTATCGACTAATTCATGAATGTTTTATCGATGCTCTCTATGAACATAATACGTCGCTCTTGTGATGATGATAATCCCCAGCTCCGTAACAAACCTGGTCCTGTAAATCCAATCGGTACTGTGTGCTGTTGATATTGTTTTTGTTGTGATGACAATTGGTATTACCATCAGTTATCAACTATTCATTACCGACTCTCGATTGCGATCACCGATCGGTGCATTTCTATCTCACGCTTCTTGGCGTTGATCTCCAACAAGAGCAGGTGAGCTCGATCCAGACGCTTCAATCTGTTGGCTTCTTCCGTCAGCTTCACGCGACGACCTTCGCAAAGCTCTTCGGTTGATCGGGCTTTGATCAGTGTCTGTCTGGCATCGCCAAACATGTTCTTGACCTTGACTCTGTTGTCCTCCACTTCACCCAATATGGCACGGGAGACGGCGCATCCTGCTTTACCAGCTTTGGCAATAAGATTCTGGACTCGGGCCAGCAGCTCCTCGACACCATGCTGTTGCTTCAGAATGGCCATTGCGGCGTTCTCGATCTCGGGTACGTAATGAGTCATGGCGGTTTTGATGCGCTCTCTCTCGGTCAGAGTGGCTTCGCGCTTCTGGGTTCGGGGTGATGCTTCCAGATCATCTGAAGGCTCTGGGATACGTCTAACGATGCCTGCTTCGTTGAACGAGTCGACCTTTGTGCGGAGCTCTGTGACTTCGTCGGTAATGCTTACCATTCGTCGCTTGACAACATCAAGAGAGGAATAAACCCACTGGGTCTTGTTAGGGACGATAGAATGGACAAATCTAGCCTCTTCTTCAGCCTCAGCCTTGTGTTGCTCAACTTCCTTGAACTTGGTAGGGCTGGGTCTGACGCGGAGCTGGGCTCGTCGCCGGAGCTGAGCAAGACGTTCGTCGCTGGTGGGTGAGTCCCAGGAGTAAGTTGTCTCTCTGGTGGGCTCTGGGACTCCGTAGCCATCAGCACGGAGTTTTTCGACAGATGCAGGTGGCACTGTGACATATGAGGCTCCATGAGGTTTGTTAGATTTAGGGCTAGGGCGTCGTCGAAAAGGAGTAGGATCAGGGGACGATGATGTAGTCGATCCAGTTGAGGGTGTAGTAGGGACTCGGAAGCAGCGTCCTGGGCTGCTTCGCCATGGTGGGTCGTATGGTATTCTCTGGAGCGAAGATCCCGTAGGAGGTGTAGGTACTTGGTAGCTCCCCATGCTCATCTTTGGGGACTGTACTGTGTCCACTGATGAATCCTTGAGAATTCCTTTGAGCGGCTCAGGGGATTCTTTTGTGGCTTCGGGGTTGTAAACGAAAAGATAATGGTGTAACTGAAAGAGGGCAACCGCGATGAGCAAGACGATCGCTCCACTGAGGGAGTGGACCGACATGTCGTGGAGAAGTACGATGAAAGAGTAAGCGAAGTTAAAGATGGTACAAGTGATCAGAGTGCTGCCGCTAAAGAAAATATCCTCAACGTAGAATGAGATAGTCAAGACCTGATTGTAAGCCCACACAGGATCGTTGTAGGTATAAAGTAGAACGTCGCAAATCGCAACAACGACGCGGTAGAAAATGCTGAAGAACCATACAGTGAGGATAGCTCCATAGGTCATCTGAAAAACAGTAGGGCATCCATGATACTGCTTGATGATCCAGGCATTCGCCTTGCCGTATTGAAAAGGATCGCGAATGATCATCCAGAACCACTCGTTGATGATGGTGAGGATGGAAAACAAAAAGGTGAAAGACCATGCGATAAATGTGAAGATGGCAGGCCACTGCTTCAATAGTTGCTGGAAGCCAGTCTCATGATTCTGATAAAGCTTGTAGTTGGGGAAATCTTTGGGATCATACCCACGGGGTTCTTGACGCCAGAGCATATTGACGGTGATTGAGAGTAACCGAAGTAAGTGACTGATAGTAGTGGTAGTAGTAGTAAGTGTGATGAATTGAAGAAAGATGAAGAATAATTTTCCTGGTCGAATATTGATGGAAAGAAATAGGTGGTTTGTGAGTGACTGTTCTGAACAATTGGTTTGTGAAGGATGCTGTTACTGTGAACAAGAGGATGAAAGAAGTCAACTGCAGATGGAAGAGAGAGGGGAGAACCTCAATACCATTTTCTATTCAAATTAACTCATGCTAGGTTTTTTATTTTTCGCGTTTGTAAAAAAGCGGTCATAGATCTGTGACAGCTGCATGGCAGTGACAGTCGGGTGGAAAACGAGGGCATTCACATTTCAAGGCGCCAGCCAGCCGTAACTAGCAAGACAGTTACTGCTCGTCTACCTAAGCATCTGTGCACGACTACCTGGCCAATATGAATCAAAGAGGATTTATTCTAATCCATTTTTATTTGTGCCAGTCTTGAATGAAAATTTTAACCCTTTGATAGTATATATGCGGAAACATTTCGTATGCAGGCAGTGTTGCACAATATTAGAGTGCGGGAAAACGCTGAAGAGAGTTCAAAGCATTTATTCAGACTGTCAAATCAAGTCTGTTCTGTCCTCCGTGTACTCAGTTACTCTGCAAAATTGGAGTTACATAATCATGTTCGAGCTTGTGTAACTGCAACTGCCTACAGAAACTTGGTCTTTGTTCAAAGTTGTGAATTAACGAACAACACCAGCACTCTGCATTTATCATTGTATAAAACTCCTTTGTATAACATGGCTATTGTTCAAGGATGTCTCCTATGTTCTGGGGAATATTGTTGAAAATCTGGAATACTAACAACAAGTTACCAACTTATACAGCTAGCTAAGACTCCACGATGAACATCCATACCGAGAGTAGATACACCGTCTTTTGCTAAATACATCTATAGCAAAAATATCTTAATATCGAGCTGTTACTAGGAGAGCTTGCCGGTGGCTTTTACATACATCAACCCGACTCACGAAGCCAACATACGTAGTATTAACACTATCCTTGGCATGCCTGGGTCGGAGTTCATCCCGATCCACATCACTAAGCCGCCATTGGCATGATTGATCACCGCAGGATCTTGACAGAGTGACTGGCAGGGGCGTGTCCAATAATTATCGCGTATACTTCCAAATGGGCATTCGAATAAATAGCGTGCATCTATTTACCCAGAATATTTCCCATCAGAGGATTCGCAATCTACTACACGTTTATGCCACGATTTCCCATGGCATATCGCTTTTGGGACTAGGAGTTCAGATGAGTTGCCGGTTTGTTTCTGGAAGCTTGCCGCCACAAATCTTGACATTTCCGACAGGTGAAAGGGTACCAGAGGCAATGATGCTTTGGAACTTGAAAGGATATGGCGCACGCTAATTACCAGATTCCGGGGTCCCGGATCGACGTGGCAGTTGACAAGATTCAAGAGGATAGTTTATCACTGCCGGAGACCATGATCAGGTTGCCTAGAAGAGGTTGAGTTGGGTTAATCATGTTGGACGCGGAGGTGTGCTCGGATAAGGTAGCTTACTTGGCTCAAGGCTGGCAAAGGTGATGGCTGATTTAGCTTGCATGAACATCCCTAGTATCCGTCTTGGTAGAAAACGTCTTGTTGCTGCCAACACCTTATCAACTGTTCAATGGGGCTAAGTAAGAACCGGCATGAGGAATACTGTCATTGACGGGATGCAAGATGATGTGATGGGGAAACTCAGAAGGGCGGACAATAGGACAGATGGACAAGATATGGCGACCAGGGAAAAACAAACCATGCTCAGCAAATGGACATGTGGTTGATTTATGTCTTTACGGACACTAATGGTAAGGCTGGTCTTGGAGTTGGATCCTGAATGAGAACAAACAAACCCGTACCTGGGGTAGACAACAATAGAACCACGATGTTTTTTTCTATTGTCTCAGAGTGCCAAGACGATTCAGCATGTTTATGGGTTGCAATTGTCTATTGATTAATTTGCTAGAGTTTTCTTACGAATAAAACAGACTTCAGCCACCTCCCCCTCCTCTATGCCGATGAATGAAGCAGCAGTCTTCTTGGTAATTGTTTAGTGAACAAGAATGAATGATGAAATTCATGACAGGCTTTTTTGGTAGTACCGTATGGTAAATTCCATCATTATCATAAATGACAGCAAGCGCAGCCTTGATGGCTTCTTCAATCTGTCTAGAACTTGAAGCCTCTTCCGCAATCACGGCTGCCAGTACAGTACCGGGCTCGCGGTTCCCATCAATCTCCCGAAGAAGGGAATTTGGGTAAGTATTACTCCATACACATCAGCGTCATTCGTTACCTAGTTCTGGTGGTTGGAATGTGGCAGCGACTTTTGACTTTGAGAAAAGCAATGGTGGTGGTCTAGTGCGCATGCACAGAACAAAAAGCAGAATAGACTCTGGATGCAAGAAAGTATGTACGGGCTTCCATCGGCAGAACTAATTTTCTTCTGGACGTTCCACGGCGGAACCGCAATTCAAGGTATAATCCGTCTGAGGTATGTGAGGAAGAACCTTGAGTTAGTAGGTAAGCAGCGTTGTTTAACGTAGAAGCGTCCATCGAAGAAGACCAGGAGCAAAAATGGAAGTGCTTTCGAATTTCATGTAGGGAGGCGCTCCGAGGAGAACTGGAAGCTGCTTGGAAGGATTGCAAGTGGTGGGAGTCAATTAAACTCAAGCCTCCGATGGCGGTCCGCGGTATAGGCTTTTACAATTATGGTGGTGATAATATTCGCTATTCGCTGTGCATATCGATGAGGGATGCGGATAAGGATATCTAACTAGCCTTAGTACCCAAGGTACAATAGCTAAACCACCGGTAGCACAGTGGGATAAATAACCTTGGAGACAATAAGCGGCAGAAGGATCAAAGACAGACGCCTCTGGAATATAGAGTATACTCAACAGTTTTCTAGTCTGTTGGTGGAGTTGACATTTTGGCCTAATCTGATCAGATAGCATCTGAAGCTATAGTACCTAGGAATGGGTATGTACCATGAAATCATCGAGGTTGATCTAGCGCAGGGCAAAAGACAAGAGTCTAGACGCTCGATAGATGGGAATCTGACTACCTACATCTAGCTAATTGATTGTTGATCAGCCCTTCTAACGTCGTTAGTTTACATCAAAAGTCATGAAATCTACTGACGGACAAAAACTGTAGACATCCATAGCCTCAAGCTTACCAGGTATGTGCAGCCCATTGCATTAAGGCGGGTGGATGAACAAGCGAGCGAGTCAAGTGCCGCATTTCCTTTCGTACGTAGCTTTCTAAACGAACAATAAACAGACGGAGTTTCGCCGCGATGGCTTTATGTTAGCCTCAGTCGTTCATAGCTTTTTGACAAACACAAGAGGACTCTTGGCGTTCAGTGGTTACTTTCGGAATCATACAAGAACCATGACGGTCTGCCTTGTCGGGGCGATAAAAGAGTTCAATAATATATTCATACATTCATACGTGCTGCGTAGATCCGGGTTCCTGGAACAAGAGGAATGTTGCCATGTTGCCTTGCCTACCTAATTACTCTCTATTTGCTTTTGGAGTCTCGTCTCGCCTTCCCCTGCACTGGTTTGTTATCCCGTTGTGCCGCCGGGAGAGAAGCCGACCTATCAACTGTATATTTCAAGGGTTCATCTAATCTCGAGTCGAGTGATGCGATGCCCCAACCGTGCGAGATAGATGCGGCAACATTGGCTGGCTGGCTGCGTGCGTGACCATCCGTGTTCCCACCCCCTTAGCCATCTCTCTATTACCTAGCCTCTGAACGGGCCGGTCGAGATAGATAGCCGCTAGCCAGGGCGAAGAGGCATCCATTGGACAGGAACGAATCCCAAGATGAGATACTGTACCCATCTGTTGACATTCGCACGGGCGGGATCGTACAGTAGGTGCGGATGCTGCACCGGAGACGGATGCTGCCACTAATGACGGGACAAGAACGGACGGGTTAACGGAGCGCTTCATGTCTGTTCTGTCTTGTCTTGTTTCCTCCTGAGAGTATATGACAAGGACTGAGACAACCAGCCAATGAAACTGGAATACTGTACCTATGACAAATAATAGTTGATTTCTTGTTTCGCTTCTCTCGGCATTCGCGAAGGCTTCATTCGAAGGATGGGCAGAAGAACACGTACGTCAACAAAGTCGCGACATGAAAAGGTTCGCTGGTATTGCATCACATCACAGCTAAGAAGAAAAAACTAAACAAGATTGCCGCGCATTCCAACTGCCAAAAGAGCTAACCTGTAATCCGACAATCAAAGACATTAGCCGGACCAAGCCAAGCCCCAGGCTTTTCAAGTTTGACCCAACAGGATCTAGTACGCTGCTGATCATCAGGGACCAAATGACAGGCAGACAGCCAAACATTAACAAGACAATTAATTGACAGCTCTGGTGGTGGTGCTGTGGAAGAGGAAGCGATGGTCTGACAAATGAGGTGCTGTTTGACGGCACAATTTTGCCGTTTGTTGTCTCAACTGATTGATTGATGGATTGACTGAGTGACTGATCATCATGAAGCATCCTCGTGAACAATCCCTTTCTAGGTAGGTGATCAATGTCCACTATACTGTACAGTCCCGAGAGGAGAGTGAAACAAGTACCTGACATTGGCTGTCGGCAGACAGGGATTGCCTCGTACATACATAACAAAAGGTTCAGGTAGCGAACTGATACACCAACCCGCAAGCAAGCAAGGGGGATTTATCCTATTGGGTCCATTGTTTCCGCGCCGGGTGACTGAATGGTAGCAAGGTTCTTGGCCGTTGATTGAATTTTCCAGGATGAATGAATACGGATACATACCGTAACAATACAGCGCAACTCGCAGGTAGTTGAGATTATAACGAGGATTGTGCCGACACCGTTGTGACTAAATTGGAACAAGCCAAGATCAAGTTAATTCATCCTAATCTCAAGCCAAAACCGAAGTTCTGATGGGGGTGCGAGACGTCTCGTCTTGTTGTCTTGGTTTTGTCTCCAGTTTCCGAGGAAAATAACATGAGAGTAGGTCCGTTTTCTTAATGATGGCACGGATCCGCTCTGGGCGTTTTTGGTAGATGCAATTAGTGCGTCCCTTGGTACCTGCCTAGCCTGTCCTCAGGGTATCAGAAAAATTGACTGCTGGAAGCATAAGGGACGAAATTAGTCGGTCACTTTATGCTCCTTAGCATATACTTCTTAGACTATTTATTCTTATATCCTAAGACCTGGGAGGCCATTTTTTCTGCTACCCAGTAGCCTGTGTCTTCCGCTGCGGCGCTTCACCTTTAGCTTTCAGCCCACCTAACAAACCCCTCCCCGCCCTCCAATGTAGGTGTCCTCTCTAGTGGGGGGTGGGGGAGGTCCCTCTACCTGAAGTGAACTGAACGGAGCTGGACTGAAAGGGACGAATGTCATCCATCAATACAGAAAAAGCAAACATTTTCAATAGAAGCAACAGAAGCAACGCAACAGATTAATAAAGACATCCATTTCCCTTTCGTTTTCTCTCGCCCCTTCTCCCCTTCTCCTCATTGCAAATCTCTTTTGATCGTCAACAAGGACCCGCGGACTTCCGAAACCAAAATCCAACAAGCACGGCTTGGGTTTCTTGTTATTTTACTGTGTCCGTCTGTACACAAGCCTGACACCAAACGAACGGGTTGCCTATTACAAGACGTACCTGAGAATACATTGCCCTAGTTGGGTTGTTGGCGACTACGGATACCTCTCCCGTATCGCCAAAATAGCCGCGGATCCTCATCACACACCCCCTGGCCTGGTCTAGTAACATCACAAGCAAGCAACCTCCCAACCAACCAAACTTACGGTACCAAGCAAGCCAAGCCCAGAACCAGGGTTTCCCTTTCGATCCAACCTACCCATTCTCCATCTCATCTCATATCATATAATCCATATCCATACCCATCCATCCGTCTGGGTTACAAGCAAGCAACACAACGCAACCAACCCCTACCATCTCTAATTTTTCTACCTGGCTATTCATTTTAACTCAACTCTTACCCCCAAACACTTTCCCAGGCTTTCGGTATATATCTACTAAAACCAAAGTACCGACGAGCTGGACTCTCTCATCTTTAAACAAGGTTCCGACGTGTTTGTGCACAAGCCTGCATGCGCCTGCATAAACATCAAGATCTTATTATAGCAACAACCTGACACACTGACTGTCTTGTTTGCTCCTCAGCAGACCAACAACATTCCTATACATATTATCCTCCCTATCCCATCCATCATTCGACTCGCCATATATTCGACTTTTCAATATCTCACCAACTCCTGCTACAACATAGTCAACACCCAACAACTACTACTATTACTCACAACCCAACACAACAACACCGCAACGATGCTTCGAGGAACCACTTCCACCGGCCCCAAAGTCCCCCTCTTCGGCAACCCCAAGAGACGCAAGCAGAAGCAACAGCAGGAGCAGGAGCAAAAGAACAAAGAAGAGAAGCTCCGCCTGCAAGCTCTCGAGGAAGCTGAATTCGCAACAAAGGCCGAGACATCAGATTTCCTCCTCTACTACCTTGAGCGATCCCCCTTCAGAGACCAATCGGACCAGATCTCCATCGCCTGGGAGAACCTACCCAGCCTAAGCGAGCTTGAATCTTTTGCACGCCTCGACAAGACCGCCGGTACTCAAGCATGCCGTCGCCTCTTCAAGGCTGTAGTTATCTGGGATGACCTTGGCCTCGATCTCTGGGAGACCCTCAACAGCACCTTCAGCCCTGTTTCAGACGAGGAAGACAGCGGCGATGACTTCCTTGACCAGATCCGTGAGGAGCCTTCCGGCTGGGACAGCCCCAGAAGATCACGCTCCCGCGCCAGCTCAAGAACATCCGCCTCCGATACGCAAGCATCTGAGCGCTCTCGCCAGGTCTCAGCCGACCGCCAAGATAAGCGCAGTGGCAGCCGCGACTCGCGCAAGACAACTGCAACAAGAGATCAGAGCCTCAATGGTAGAGCTCCTCCCAGGAGACCTGTCGGCCTTCAGGGCGGCATGATCAGCGAGTACTACGACAGCCCTTCGCGGTATCGTGTACCCAAGATTGTGCGAGTGCTGTAAGCGCTGAGCCAACTTGCATTTATTTATTCACAAGCCACCAACACTACGACTATCTTTCCTTTGTCTTTTTGTTTTTGTTTCTGTCTTTTTGAGAGCGGGAGTTACTTTATCAGGACTGTAAAGTGCACAACAGCCGCTATACTAGCCAACATATTTTGTCTTTTTGGTTCGCATGTATTTGTTTATCTGAGTATTAGCAAGGCGTTTTGGACAATGGGACTGCAAACAGCACCAGACAATAACGGATTACGGATGGATACCACCATATTACTACAGCTGAGCAAAATTGCCAGCTATTTTACCACTAGTACTTACCACACCCAATGAACTCAAATTACCTATTCAAACAAAATTTCAATGTCTCGTAATCATGAACTTGAATATAGTGATCGTCGTGAAAAAAAAATTTGTGATGTCTTGCCCACCTTGCTACCGTCCCCCTGTCATTTGGAGTTGCATGGCAGCTTTAGAGCTTGACAAGTTGCAAACTTTAGTCTACACCATCAACCAAGAAAATCTTTAGCAGTGATGCTGTATCTTGCTGGATCGTCGCTATTCTGACATCACATCAGGTCTATCGTTCCAACATGGCGAGATGATCCTGTTACTGAGGAGTTATCGACGTCATGTGATCCTACCGAGTCCATCAACTGCCGCGGGAGGATTGAAGAGCCGGTCTAAGTAGCCATGGGTTGTGTTATGGCACATGGTTACAGACGACGAGTAGAGTACCTAGGTTGGTTAGACTGACAGTTAGAGCAGATCAAAGAGCAATGTCACGTACTGCCTATAGATTCAGGGCCAGTGAACCTTAACATGACTTGGATCCATCAACACAACGTTCGATCCCGCCATCAACGATCGCTGAAGCTATTGCGTCTCAAGATTTTATCGTCAACAAGTTTACTGTATCATGATCATCACATTAGCTCGCCGTATTGGCCGTGACACTCCAAGCTTGCACATGCAGACATGCTATTGCTGTGCCCTCTACCTGACTCGCCTTCCCATCCAAGAGTCATCACCTCGCATCTTGGCGTTGGTTCACCTGCATTTTCCCCATAGGTAGGTTCCTTAGGAGGTACAGTAGGGCAAGTTCAATTTCACCAAATTCAGGAGAGCCAATTGGTTTTAGATCTGCCTCAGTTAACTATCCGTGTTGTGGGCGGGTCATTCTAGACAGTCTCCCCCAATTTAGAAACAATTTCCAATTAACTAACTCCAGTATCCGCTTCGCCGGGACCTGGGACCTGGGGGAATCATTTATTGACCCCTAAGAAGCCCAGACGCATCGATTCAGGCAGGGCTTGGGCATAACCACCAGTGATCGCTTTGACGATTGAAATGATCATCCGCCTTGGGAGATGGTGGGTGATCTATGCTTCCAAGACAAAAGCCAACGTTTTAGTGGTCAATTTACGTATTCGTTGGTTACTTGTTTCATGAAACCTATATCGTACATGAAACAAATGCTTTCAACACCAGAAGGGTCCCAGTCCGTGATAATTTGGCTTATGGTGGTCAACGCTTTGCGAAACTTCACACGTATACACATACGCACACGCACGCGTTTCTGATGGATGAAGATGAGGACGAATTCAACTCATTTGTCTGATGCCTTGGTCAAACAAAAGTTTGCAACCTCAATCCGCTAATTAAAAAAGGTAATGTCTGATGGTAATTGAAAATCGGAGATTGGAGGCTTCATACACCCTTCTATCCTACCTACATAGATTCAACACCATCACATCTAAAACATGCCGGATGTGAAAGCCTACGATAGCCTGCATCTTGCAGAAAACACCGTAAGCAACGCTTTCCGAAACTTAAAAGTTCTGTAGTACATGACTCACATTCTTCACGGCGAGAGGAAGTATGCAAGCTGGTGATGCGATTTCCAAGCCATGTCCGCTAGCTTCAGGGGGCCTTGACGCTATTTGTATCTAGACTCTAGAGGCGTTGTTTGAGGCTTTACACCAACATGGAGGTTAGGAAATCCATCTTCAAGATTTCCGAGATGGAGTGCTCCTCTTTCCCCTAGGCCGCTTAGCTGAAAGAGCTGGGCTACGCTATTGAAGATGTTGGTGTTTGGTCCATTGTTCTCTTAATTTTGAGTCTTTCCATTGTAGAATCCGCGACTTTATGATGAAGCAGTTACATGCCATATCATTTATTGCTTTGCCTGTCTTGGCCATTGCAAGAGGTATTTCTTATGTGACTGATCTCGCGATATTCGAGTCACTGGTATGATTTTTCACACGAACTCGATCTGGCCAAACACTGACTTTGTAGGCTCCTTGTATCTCCAGTGCGATCTCATACAATATTGCCAAACAGACTCGCTTGTCATTATGCGATGACTCGAAGACAGGATTACAAGAATGCATCTGTTCGACCCGCATACACAAAGTTACCTCCACTATTTCGAACGACATCAGGCATGGCTGCGGCCCCAGTGCGTCAGAAGACATCTACAGCGCGCTCAAGGTGATGCAAAAGTACTGTAATCAGGATAAACATATTACATTTTCCTCGCCGACGACAAATATCGTCGACGCGCATATTACAGATCTGCCCGAACTAGCATATATGCCCCCTTGTGCGCAAAGCGCATTGTCTTATGCTGTAATGGGAGTGGTACGGTTAAGACTTACCATAAACGCAACTGAAATGTTGACTAACATGAATAGGGATCGGAGAGGTGTCCCGAGGCCGCCAAGTTGAACGCTCCTTGCGTGTGCAATAAGAAAGATGTTGTTCGGGATATCGAATCGACTCTGAAGAGCGCAGCCAAGCGCTCTTGTTCGAATAACGCAGATGTCACTTCAGCGCAGAACTTTTATAGTCAGTTCTGTCTCATGAATGAAGGCAAGATGTCATTTGCATCGCCAAAAAGTCCTCCAGGTGATAGTAGGTACCAACAACCCAGTCAGTATAAGAGGCCGTCTTGACGTTTTGTCTCGCAGTGTCATATTATATCACCGCTCTTCCGGAGTTTAAATCTCTAGATGAGTGCGCCCGCAAGGGTCTTTCTGCCGTCGTCATGAATGTAAGAGCGATGTCTAATCTACTAACTCTTTGACACTGATAACTACACAGCAAAGTTCCTGGCTATGTGGTGGTGGGCCTCAAGATCTGGCTTCGTGCGTTTGTATAAAGTCAGGGATGTATAACATGATATCTAGTAGTTTGACCGAGAGTGTCAATGACTACTGCGACGGTACAAACACTCGCAATGCCACCGCTGCCGCTGACGTCTTTCGGTACTATTGCAGAGCTGCTAAAGATCTAGTTGTTGCAACTGTGACCGAGTCTATCGTCCAGTCTCACGTCACAGCCAACTCTAGTACCTATTCCGATACAGCTATCTCCAGGACAATTAGCTCAGCTGGAGCGACTGTAACTTCGACCACTCACACAGACAATGCAAAGGAGTCGGGCTCCAGTGACGAAAACGAAAAACAGGACAGCTCGCATAACAATGTCGTACCCATTGCTGGAGGAGTTATCGGAGCTGCCATATTTACGGCTCTCGGTATAGCATTGTTCTTTTTTATCAGACGGGAGCGCCGGTGGCGGACTCGTGGAGAGCGACTTTGTGATGAACCCCCTCAGTATTCTGGACATATGGGCAACAGCGTCTTTATCCAAGGTTACAAACCAGCCCCAGCTGTTTCAGGACTACGATCAGCTGTGTTATCTAATTCCAGGTTCAACGGAGGGAAAGACTTTCCGGGAATGTCTTCAAAGCATGCACCAACAGTTGAGTTGCAGGCTCATCTTGCAAGGATGAATCAATCTCCAAGATACTCGCGGCAGTCTGGTGTGGGAACCCTGTCGGGGGCTACAGAGTCATACGAACTGGGTTCAAGTTTTCGGATATCAAAAAAGTGAGGACTGTCTTTTGGTATAAATGTAATGGCAGAAACATGGGTGTGGTGTCTTGAAACTGGCGTTATGAGCTATCTGGTCGGCGGCGCAAGCGAGAGGGACCTTTGGGTATAAACTGCCTCCAGGATTTCAACGAATGGGATTAGAATATTTTGATAGATAGATATAATGATAATTCATAGATTCACCAAGATGTAGGCGGGTGATATCATAAACTCCAAAAAAAATGATACTAACACCAAAAACATACAACAGCGGGGATTCGCTGGTCGTCACCGACCCAACTACTAATCCGCCCCTTACCAGCTTATCTATGGGAGAGCGGACGGGATCCCGAGTTCTCTGATAGGTATGGTCGTATGTGATAGTTCCAGGTCGTAATTGGGGTTTTATGGCCTTGCCTCTTAATCCTCAGTTGTAGAGCTAAGATTTAACTCCCCAGGAACTCAACTAATGATGGCGTTAATGACCTTTGACCATGCCAATTCGAACTCCTTTTCTATGGAAAGGTAGCTTGCTACTAATATATACATAAGTGAAGGGCGTGATTTTGTTGCTTAAAGCTCTAGAATCCCAGATGATGATGCCCAGATACTAGATAACAGCAAACTGGTTGGAAGGCCAAAGATACGTACAAGGATTGAAATAGTTCGTACAAACAGTCACAAATTATCCGCTAATCTTATCCGTATTTTTATTAATGGTCTCGGTCGTAATACTCTTTGTTGAGATAATCTCACTGATGAGTTCTGAGTTGAGCCCCTGTTCCGAATCTCCTCAACTCACCCTCCACATGCATCCTCGGGCGTCTCGACCACAACTCCCTAGATTATATAGGAGAAAAAGTTCATATTCAGCGGTTAAGAGTTTAAGTTTCCTATGTAAATAGGATCCATCATTCTTGTTGCGTTTCCCTGGAACCCCCACCGTTGTCAGGATTAATAGGAGAACACTAACATATGAATGTTTAGTAGAGCCTGGTCTATTTAAGTATTCAACTGGAGTGGTCAGTAGTTTATTATAAATATACTCATGTGCAGTTGAACTGTGTGTTTGCAATGGTGGACATGGTGTGGTTATTGGTTTGCATATATAGGTTATCGCAGTTCAAGCTGTGGAAGATGGCATTCAATTGGATGATGACTGGTAAACAATTATTGAGGCATAATTTCTAACAAGGGTTTTGATCGTCCGCAATAAGAACTTGATACGATGTTGTATTTTCTTTTAACTCCTGCATGGAGGGATAACATGAATGTTGAAAAATGGTGTTGTCTTTGTGCTATGCTAACTACAACCGTTGAGCCATCATCGAAAGTACGAGGTGACGCTCTCACATTTTGTGATTCACTACTTTTCGACTTAGCTACCTAATTATATTCAACCCTACACTGGCTCCGTCTTCGAAATCTAGAAGTAGCATATTCCCAGAAATGATTTATATCTTCACTCCTGCTTCAGGTTCCAGGTATAGGGTAGTATGGAGGCTTCCGGATTAATGTTGGCGCCGTACAACGCAGCAAGCTCCTGTAGTAGGTCCGTGCGCGTTGCTTCTTTCCCTGGTAGCAAACAAAGGTACCGTGTCGGATCTTCAGCTTTGAAGCTCCAAATTTCCTGGTCTCTCTAACAACAACCAAAGCCTCCATTTCCTTTGTCGGGGATTCTTTCATCAACGTCTCACATTCGTTCGTCAATACTGGAGATACAAAGGGAGCAAAATTTTACGTCAAACCTTGATCTTACCGCTTGTTTTTTCCCCTTCGAGCGCGCAGCTACGGGAATGACGAGTATCGCGCTATCGATCTGATCCGACCACGACCATGGCGGCCGCAAACGTGGACATCGGCTACGTCGCAGGCCACCTTGGCCTTGATCAGCCTGTTATCGCGTCCCTGACGACTGAGCCAACCGTTGAACTCGTAAACATCATCTTGCAGGCTGTCGCAGACAGAGCGCACGAGTTTGACGCTCTGTATGCCGGAAAGCTTGAAACCGACATTCTGCTCGAGAACGCGGTGCGCAGCAACGAAACGCGATCGCAAACCTCCAAAGCTACCGTGGACAAGGCCCTGAAGGATGTTGAAGAGGCTAGGCAGCAATTGAAGAATGAAGGTATGTGTCGGTGAGGCGTGGAGTGGAGTTGCATGATTGTTGACATTGCTTTGTCCACACAGAAACCAAGCGCCAGTCAGTTGAGAACGAGCTTCAAGTCTTCAAGGCTAAGAAGTCCGACTACGATGCCGAGGTCAAGGCTCTCAATGATAAGATTGAGACTCTCCAGTCATCGAACCGAACCAACTTGAGCATCATCGAATCAAACAACAAACGGGACCAGACTATTACCGAAGAGCTTACAAAGCAGCATCAGCGCAACGTCGAGCTGTCCCGCGAGATTACCGCTCTACAGCAATCAGAGCAAAATGCGCGAGGTCAGCTCAGCAGTGCCAAGTACCGAGAAGAATCACTTCAGCAGCAGCTTGACCTTGCCCGAAAGAACAGCGAATGGCTCGAGAATGAACTAAAAACCAAGAGCGAGGAGAGCCTCAAGTACCGAAAGGAGAAGGGTGCCCGCATCGCTGAACTGCAACGACAAAATGAAGACATCCAATCCCAGATGGATGCTCTGAAGCGAACTGAACAGCAGCTCCGCGAGCGACTCGACGCCATGCAGTCCAAAGCAGACGAAGCTCTAGTGAAGCTCCAGAAACAGGAGGGAACCCACGCACAAGCGATCGAGAGTTACAAGCACGAGCTTGAGGACCAGAGACGGCTGGTTGAGATGTCCGACCAGTTGAGTAAGAAACACCAAGAGCGAGTGCGTGATCTCGAGGCCGAGAAAGAGCGGCTCCGAGACAATTACGAAAATGAACTCCGACGTGTTCGAGTCGAGCTTGAGCAAGAGCGGGAGAACTCTTCGCAGTTGGAGGAACGAATCAATCAACTCCAGGCCGAAATTGACGAGCTTCAAGTGCGAGCCGAGCAGCACGCACCCCCACCAGCCGAATCTGCGCCACAGACCCCCCGTCCTAATGGTTCTCTTATGCGACCCTCCTCTCCTTTCGCGACCCCCGGATCTATTCGAGCCAAGGGCGCAATCACTGCCACACAGGCTCTTGACCAGCTGTATCAAGTCAAGGGTCAGCTGGCTACTGAAAGACGTCGTAACCAGCAACTGTCTGAGGAGCTGGACAACATGATGTCTGCTTTGGAGGCGAAGGCGCCTGAAATGCAAGAGCTCCATGCTGAAGCTGACCAGCTCCGAGAAGAGATTACTCGTATGTCAGAACTTTCGCAGGACAGCTACAAGGAGCGCGATGACGCTAAGAAGGCGGCGAGAAAGGCCGAAGGAGCACTTGCAACCGCACAGTCTGAGTCCAAGATCCTGCGCACTCAACTACGCGACCTGGGTACTCAGATCAACATGCTTTTGTTCCAGATCCACGCCATGGAGAAGGGTATGGACAAGCTCACCGACGAGGAGACTTACCGTCTTCAGCAACTGCAGAAGGGAGAGATTTCTGAGGAGGCCATATCCGACATGTCTGACACTCACCAGTTCATCACCCAGAAGTTGGTCGTCTTCAAAGACATCCAGTCCTTGCAATCCAAGAACGAGGAGCTTCTTCGTATTACCCGGGAGCTTGCTGACCAACTCGAGAGTGAGGAGGCACTTGCAGAAAAACACCAGGCTAAACAAGATCACGACATGGTTGAGAAGCTCCAGCAAGAGCTGGCTCACATGACTGATGAGACAAGATCAATCAAGAAGACTATGGATAGCTACAAGACTGAGCGAGACATGTTCCGACGACTCTTACAACAGCGAGGTCTGAACGGAGATGAAGCGTCTATGATGCGCAACTCGATTGCTGGCGGTGAACGTTTGCCTTTGGCTAGTATCGAGGCAACTGAGCAGACCGAGGCTCTCAATGAAGCCATCCGCAAGCTTCAATCCGAATACGACAACTATCGTGACGCCCAGGATGGAGTCCGCAAGGACTTGCGCGACCAAATCGATTCGTTATCAGCTGAACGAAACGCCCTTCAGACTGACAAGGTCAAGCTTCAAGCCGAGGCTCGACTTGAATCTGAAAGACGCGAGATGCTGCATACCAACTTTGTCGCCCTCCAAGGCGAGAATCACGAGCTTCAGAAGCGAAGCCAGATTCTGTCTGAGACGGCTGCTAAGCAGGATATTCGCACGCAGCAGGTTGCCGAGGAGCTAATCGAAGCCAAGGGACTACTTGACAGTGTTCGCAATGAGACTGCCAATCTCAAGGCAGAGAAAAAGCTTTGGAAGGATATCCAGGACAGGCTGAGCAAGGACAACGAGAACTTGATCGAGGAGAAGAATCGCCTTAACAACTTGCTCGCAACCCAGCAATCGCTCGAGAATGAGCGCAATATGGCCGACTCGGAGACGCGACGCAAAGCACAGGCCAAGATTGAAAGCCTGGAGCAGCAACTAAGCGACGTCCAGAGGAAGCTAAACTACGAGTCAGAAGAAACCAAGAAATTGCAGCTTAGGAAGGAGTACGAGTCGAAGGAGTCACAGAAGCGAATTGACGAGCTCATGACTAGTTTGAGTCAGATTCGTGAGGAGCACGTCGCTGTTAAGACCAGCAGGGATCATCTGCAAGCTCGTGTTGATGAGTTGACTGTCGAGTTGCGCAATGCTGAGGATCGTGCCGGACGACTTCAACCTCGACCTACCCCCCGACCTGGCACTATGGAGGTTGGCGAACAGCAACAGCAACTTGAGAACGAGATTCAGGACCTTAATGTCGAGATCTCCGACCTCAAGCGAGATCTGGACATGGCCAACACACACCTTGAAAACGCGAAGGCACAGGCTGATCAGTTCAAGGAACTTAGCCAGGCTAATGAAGAAGCCCTTGAAGATTTGCGAGGATCGCAGGAGCAGTACCGTCAAGAGTTGGAAGCACTTATTGAGGAGAAGGATGCCAAGATTAAAGAGATTACCGAGCGCGCTGAGGATTTAT